TCTTCATGATATGGATCGACACTGATCAGAACTACATGCAGATAATCACTATCAAGGCCCTTTCTCCCCGACTCTTTCTCATGCTTATTCGCTGATATCTTGCAATGAGGGAATACAGTCGATTGCCATTCTCGAGGACTCTATATGAGCTCTTTTAACTCGCGAGGCTAAGTGAAGCGAATTACACATTAGCCATGCAGAGGTGCAGCACCAAGAGGACTACCAGACATAGTACTAGATGGTTGCTACGAGTAGCCCGACGCGTTACTATATTCAGTATCTGTATGAGGGTGCCTGAACAAGCGAATATGACTTAGGTTACGATGAGAGTAAAGGTTATAAGAATAGAATGGAAGAGTGGATAGTGGAAGAAAGGATGGCAAAGTTGAAGGGTTGTACCGACGGTGTTGGAACGCTCGGGTGCATGCGTTCTGCAACTGACATGTAGAACTCCTTCAGCTGTTACCAATAAGCAGCTGATAGAATTGCTGGGTTCGACTCTTACGAGTTCCCAAAGTGCCTCAGAAGTGACGTGGTAAAGCCTTGGTGGCAAGAGCTCTATCTGAACTGGGATTTATTCTCAGTAAACCGCCGCGACAACCAGCAGTATACCCAGCTCGCCGCGGCCTGGTCAACAGGAAATCAGGAGACTTATTGCTCAAGGAGAAGGAAACGGCCGCACAACATATTCATTTCCATTACCTAACCGCTCTCAGTGGAAAGCCATTGATCATTATACTCGCTTTTATTACCAGGTAAAACATAAAATTACTCACAACATAGACGGGATCTTTTACGGTCAAAGCCCGTCCGAGACAGAACTGGGAGCCCGCATCATTTTCATTATTGAGTTTCTTAATCGATATCCACAAGCCGTCGCGAATCAACCTTCCCTCCGGTGGTGACATTATTTATCCGAGCCTTGCGAGTGCAATTTCTACTCAATAGCCAATGCTATCAGCTCTTTAATGTTATGTTACGCAACATGTTGCCGGGGATGCTGCTATGTTACGTTGGAATATTCATGCTAGTATAAACACTTGCACATTTGTCTTATTGCCATAATCGTATGGATTCTAGAAATAAAAAAGAGAAAACACCCATAGTCTAGTTGCAATAAAAGTAAGACCACCTCCAGTGAATAATGAAATACTTCAAAACCATCTCAAAAACGCCCATGATGTCGAAGCAGCACCGGAATAATAACCAGTTTTGAAGAAAACATGATAGGGATCTCCACTTAACGTACAAACCAGCCCCGATGGAAAGCAACGGGCAGGAGCAGAACAGGAGCAGAAACAGCGAAGGCAATGGTTAGATATGGTCAATTATTAGGTATGGCGAGGCACGGGCTACAGCCAAGCGTGGCGCATCAAGCTACTTGCTAACACCATATGCCTGCAAGGTGTAGAAGAGAAGATAGGCGTCAGCCCCAAGAACCTCCGACTCAGCAACGACAGTTACACGGTCATCATTGAATTTGAACCACTCTTCACCGTGCCGGCAGTAAGCAAGGTAGTGGCCAGAGTCGATATCGCCGATGTGGACAACGACGCTCAAGAGGTCGTATTGGAACTGTGACCGGTTCTCTGATCTAGGGCTGGTGGTGTATGGCATCATATTGATCGAGGCAGGGTATGTGACTTTGGTTTCGACCTTTTCGGAGACAGATCGATTGCGCTCGAATCTCTTCAGTTGCATGCAGAGGATGACTGGCAACTTTCGTAGTCGAAGTTGCTTGGTAACTCCCATGTTGGAGTTACATTGGGTGCATCCATATTCGCTAGCTGCAAGCTTTTCAGGGGAGATATACCCTTCCAAGCACCCCTGGAGGGTTGGTGCAACGTCGGAGCTCTGATCCCTGCCGTCAAGGGCACGCTTCTTCTTCTGGACCTGAAGGTCAAGGCTGACGTCCATCACTGGGTCTTCGGTGCGGGAAACCTTGCCGCAGTTGCGGCAGGTTATGGTGCTTCGTAGTTTGCCGAAGAATGCGGTGTGGAAGAAGCAGCGACAGGCGGGGTCACAGTCGAGATGCCCTGTGGTGCTCTCGTGAAGTTGGTTTACCAAGAACTGGTAAAATTCGTGTGCGTCTTGCTGGTGGTAACCGGCGAGGTCGGAGGATGTTTGCCACGAGGCAAGGAGGAGGTTGAGGGCACCGAAGCTCTCGTCTTTTTCTTCGTTGCTGAACTCAGCAAAAGCATCTGCGAGAGCACAGCCGAAACAGTTCGCTTTCTGGCACTCGCTCGTGCTATGCCCATTCCCAAGGAAGTAGGCCGTTAAGACCGGTTCGTGGAATAGGGTTTGGAGAATAACATTCATGTAACAGGTCTGACCGAGGTTGAACAGTCCTCTGACACCTTCTTTGCCGCAAATTTTCTTGTTGGTATTCATAGCGATATAATTCGCGTACTCATCATCCTCCATATTATCGACCTTTCGTTTTCTGGAGACTACAAGGAGAAAGTTAGTCAGAGAGTTGTGATAATAAATGTAGTTATGCAATCTTACCAATAGGCTCAGTGCTATTCTTCAAAATGCTTTCCAAATCGATATCGTAGATGAGGTCGTCACATCCTTGGCAGAAGACATGCTTGCTTCTGTAGTCGGCAACTAGATTGACGAACTAGTTAGACGTTGATTTCCCTCGTATACTCATGAAGTGGCATTTTACAAAATATATGTCCTGTTTGCGAGCTATGCTCACAACGTGCAGCTTTCACACCGACAACCGAGCAATGGAGGCACTGGTATTGCGGTTTCAGGGAGAACTTTGGCCCAGAGCTACTCTGTTTCGAGGCATCAAGACGAATTTGCGATAAGTTCCATGGTCCCTTGCCACTCAGTTTTGTGTAGTTCTCAGCGAGTCTGGTGGCTGCGTCTGTGTCTTTCTCAAATATATCCTTGAGGTGTTCTGTGCGAAAGAAGGTCAAAATGCATGCTTTTAGATTCATATGGAGGAACGAACACGTACCACAGCCATAAGCTGGCTCATAAAGAGGAGTAGACAGAGTAGCCATTTTGGGTATAGTAATCCCCAAGGACGTAATGTTGAATAATGTGTAGGTAGATGCAGATATCGTGCAACACCGTCGAGTGGGTATTAAGATAATCCACAGAGAACACTGACGCCGATAAGCAAGATGGAAGGTGTTTCCTGCACAATGAAAGCAGTATGCAAAGATATAGCTTTGAGATCACCCAGATAGATGTAGGGAAGAAAATGTGTGTAGGGAGCAACTGGGGAGATGATATCTTCACTTTCGAATAGACAAGTGATGGCAAAAACAAGAAAGACCACTGAGATACGGGTATCAAGTAACTGTGACCGGGCAAAGCTGGTGGAATATCCTGCTGTCGGTATGAAACAGAGCTGGGCCAAAGAGAAAAGAGAAGAGGAGGAAGAGGGTGGAGGCCAGGCTGCTAGGTTTATATAAAGATGAAGATGAAGAAAGGAGAAGACGTCGCTCTACGCGAGAGGACAGGACAGGATTATGTAATAATTAGATTAGATAATCAATATTAAGCTTTAGCTCGGGAACACTAAACTTAAACTTTGTTTTCGCGCTAATATAAGTGTCGTTTTTCTCCTTTGCTTTCACCGGCTTCAGATTTTTTAGACGATACTCGATAAAGAGGACATACCGCATTACAAACTCGTTCCCCCACTCGTCATACACGCAGATCGGGGCCATACCAGAAGAGGCTCCAACACATTACTCACGCTGGTGAAAGCCTTTTTAGTAATTATTAACTCAAGTGTTTTGCCAACGCAACGCGGCTTATTTCTTAACAAACCCTCCGAACCTCAACTGGGAGGCTGTTCCGATTCATACCATGGAGAAAAATTCTCGTTTCGAGTCACAAATTGCTTTGAATGCTTAAGCTCTTCATGAGCTTAGCCCACTTGTGGTTAAAATATCTCAAGACAATATGGCATCTCATGGAGGCCTATTGGAAGAAAGCCTTCCTGCCGTTATTCAGGGGCTTAACCGAGCAATAGTTAAAAGCGACGTCTTGTAGGCTCTTGGATCAACTGTCGTACTCGGCCTCAGCGAAGAGATAACCATGAAAGCTGGTTGTGGCATCGACATCGACCACATTCCAATGATGAATTACATCCAAACACGAGTTCCCCGGCTTCGAGCACCACATATACATGGAGTCCTCCAGGATGGTCGCCGTAGCTTTGTGTTCATGACTCGCATTAAAGGCGAGCCACTTGACAGAGTTTGGAAAACGCTCGATAACTCCCAGAAGGAATCTATCAAAGAGCAATTAGAGATCATGTTCTCTGGCATCAGATCACTAACCCCACCTCCCTCAGACGAGCCACATGCCCTTCTTGGTGGTGGCATTCCGAGGAGATGCCGAGATGCAAGGAGGCATGTACGAGTCGCAGAGAAACCCATTGAAAGTATGGTCGAGTTCAACCTATTCCTTACCACTGATCCACATCGTACGGAGACTGGGAGGTTAAAAATGATCCGCTCATTCCTTTCCTCCGATCATAAATTTGTTATGACATACGGTGACCTCCATCCCCGCAATATCATGGTCATTACGTCCAATATACTCCCTTCGGACGTTTTTACGCCGTTAGTTAAGGTTACGGGTTTGCTAGACTGGGAGATGTGTAGCTATTATCCTGATTATTGGGAGTATGTGAAAATATCACATACTATTCACCCTGGGGATGGTTTTGACGATTTGGTGGAATTATCTACCAGCTTCGATTGGAGTATGGCCCAAGGAGTATAGTGTCGACGAGCTGATAAGTCGTTGGAAAGGCTAAGGCAATAATCCGGCATATGCTTCTGGTTACTATTTTTCGTGGACTTTCAACTCAACTTTCTGTCGGGACACGGTATCCAATAAAACTAGGGCAATGTCCCTCCCTAAGAAGTTGGAGGAGAGTAGAGACTACTGCGGTAGACGGGTTACGAAGGCCACGTTCGCTCGTCCATGTTTTGGAGCATGTTAGCTTATGATACAATTCAGGATGCATCATAAATGTTACTTAAGATATGGCCCCAGCTAATTTGGTACCTTTAGTTACTTCGTTAAATGAACTAGCTAGTGAACAGGCCTATACACGAAACCCCAACAGCCAAACAACTACCATGGGGTAAATCAATCATACCAGATCTTCAAAACAAGGCCTCTGCTTTGGTGGCTTACTCGCCAGTATTGTAAATAAATTCAAATACGCTAGGTAAAAGCTCGTTGAAGTGATACATAGTTAAGCCTTGCAGATTATAATTTGACGTCATGGTGCTAGTTAGTGCCACGCAGAACAAAACTTCACCACCTCACTGCCAGTTCTGCCTCTTCGACTGTAGATTTGCCTTTGCAGTAGGAGACACCTACATAAAACCCCCCTCCTCCAGGTTGTCCAGGTTTTCCATGACCCAAGATTCGCAGTTCCAGGTTGTGCTTTGGTTGTCGACTGGACGGCTTTGGATTTTGCCTTCTGCCTCACGTTCTTTTTCAGTTGGGATGGTGCCGCAAATAATGGATTCCTTGAGCTTGAGTGATCGACCTGGCTCCTTACGAATTGGCTGCTCGACATAATACCCAACGCCGCCTTTGTCGTCCCCAACTTGGAGGATTGTCGAGTCTCCATTCTCGCTTTTCAGCCATAGTGCCCAATGACAGGGTCCCGCTCGTCAGAAGGGCTGTAAATTGCGACTGCCACGGTTGTCATCTTGAAGCGTCACTATTTGAGAACGGTCAACATCTCAGACGATGAGGCACTAAGTTATCTGTTGGAGCATGCACGTTTGAAACATCGAGGTAGCAAGTTGCTCTCTATGCACAATGCATAGCCCCGGCAGGGTAAAGGGCGGCTACGGGAGGTATCCGACTAGCTATAGCTAAATATGGGGTACCATTATTAGACCCCTTTGGTGCAATCAACCGTCGCCTGGTTTACAGGTTGAATTTACAACACCTCCCAGCGGGGATATCCCGTGGCTTACTCCGGGTTTTACGGAAGGGGGTTGACATTGACATTCCCGCTATAACTAGTTCGTACTCCGGCCCCCAACAACCACCAATTCTCGGGATTTCATGCATGGACGGATACTCCGCCACCGCAACAAGTTAACCGCCAGCACGCCCTGGTTTTGTAAGTATCAAATGCTCAAACCCACCCCTGAACTACACGTTGACTCACCAACAACCAACTACCAAATAATCAGAAGAATATGGCGTTTCCCGGCCTACATATCGTCGAGCCCAAAGGCGCCCATATGCACACTATCATTCTGCTCCATGGACGTTCTAGTGACGGCCCTGAATTTGCCGAAGAACTCCTTGATTCGAAAACGTCCGAGAAGAAGACGCTTACGGCGCGGTTCCCAAATTGCCGCTGGGTATTCCCTACCTCTCGAGACCGATGGAGTTCAGTTTTCCAGGAGGACTTAACTGCTTGGTTTGATATATATTCTCTGTCGAACGCTTCCGCGAAACAAGATCTTCAAATTGATGGCTTGAGAGAAACAATGCTATATATTCTAGAGGTTATGAGTCAAGAGATTGATCTTCTTGGAGGAAGGCCCGAAAAAGTTGTACTTGGTGGAATAAGCCTGGGCATGGCGGCGGCTTTATGGGTACTCCTATGCTCACCAGGAAGATTCAAAGGGAGAATCGGCGGCTTCATCGGGATGTGTGGATGGCTTCCATTCGCGAATAAGATCCAAGACTTACAGCACCCAAGGGAGATGATACCAAAGTTCCTTTTGGATACCGTCCGATGCGAAGAACAGGTGCAAACCAGCACAATAGATACTGAAACCATGCTATCTACGTCAGTATTTCTACTGCATGGATCTGATGATACCTGGGTTGATGTTGAACTGGGTCGCGCGGCGCATAGGGGCCTCTTGAAGCTGGGGATGAAGCCTGAGTGGAAGGAGTATGTGGGTGCAGAAAATAACGGACACTGGATAAAGGAACCGGAGGGGTTTGATGCTATTGTTCAGTTCTTGGAGGCTGTCTGGGCATCGTAGAGCTTATTAAACGCTTCACTGTCGCGAAGGAAGATCTCGGGTATGAGGCTGTTGTCCAACTGTTGAACGAGAAGCACACCTCAATTTAGCATGCCCACAGCTACTGTCAGATAATGTATTCAGGGTGTCGTGGGTACTTCAATTCTACCCAGGTAAATCGAGCCATTGGCATGAGACGATAATTTTTGAGTAGAAGTTCAAGGTTCCCTCAGAAAAATTAAGACTCGTTGGGTCATAAAATGCATTTTGATAAATTTCATTTAGAATAAAAACCCAAAATGTATTAAGTATCAATGAGCTTGGTCGAATCGTTAAATATTTTCATTATTAATATGTTTCTTATGTTTTAAAGTATTTATTTATTAGTAGAAGCCGCCAGTAAAACGAAATAGGTAATAGGGGTCGATGCCAGATTCAAGGTCCTAACCTTTGGGATGACCCTACGAAGTTCAACTTTATGCTTCTATCGCCAGTACCGTTTGTTGGGAGAATACCGTATCGACCATAGGTTTTCTGATCCACAGAAACGTAGTGAGGTAGCCTTCCGAGTAAATTTAACTTTGTTTCAATCCACCTGAGGACTTTCTCTGGTGGAAACAAGAATTTCAAGTATCCCAATCCAACTAAAACGAGGCCTATTAGCACAAAGTCTTGAAATTCTAAGTAGAAAGGCACCTACGGAGATATCCAACAGCGATGCAGCACGTGTGGCCCATGAAACTTGTGTTGGGAAGGACTGAAAAAACTGCATTTAGGATCAAGGGGAACGTCCAGCTCGGAATTTGGTATTTACCCCAACTGTTCGTTTAAAGTTAGATTTGTGAATGATATATTGTAAGGGATGCTGTACGGGCATACCTGATGTGAGGGTGTGTTTGAAATCTTTTTATAGCCTCTGAGCCAAGGAGTAAGAAAAACCACGAACTAGGAACACATTCATTAAAATCGCAGAGCCATGGTATCGTTGTAATATTGGAAACACACCTAGAGCCTAGAACGGGCATATTGGACCGGAAAACAAATCTGGAGAGCACAACGTAGATACCTGCCGGCAGTGTTGAAAGGGCTGGAAAGAAACCTGTGAGCTCCCTGAATTATGCTAGTGAAGCAAGTTCCGTAAACTTACGTCCAAGAAACATGGCAAGGGAGGTAAGAGTTCCATGTTCAGCTTCAAACTTCTCTAGTAAAGGTGTCACGGCAATTATGTTCAAGAATGCGTGTAAAAACCCGGCATGTACGATAGGATATGTATTTATTCGGTACACTATGCAAATAAAATCATTAGCTACAAGATCCGTTATTGGGATGGTGTAGTAACCTTGCAGCAACTAGCGCTTGAAGTCCTGATACTTACTTCCTCCAGCAAAGCTGATCTTAGAGGGATACAAAGCCCCCCATTTCGGCACATCCCAAACATTCTGTAAGCCTATCACCCAGAATACAACAATGCATAGAAGGGCAAGTCGAGTGAAAAGAGGGAGTCGGAGTAAATAGGATCGTAGACGTGACGGATCGAAGGTCATTCCAGGAATAGAGAGCATCCTGGGTATCGTATTAAAAAGCGGACCGTGAGAACAGTGGAATGGGTCAAAAAGAAACGTATATAATGCTTGCGACGAGAACACTTCTAGTTTTCAGTGCTATACGTTATTTCCTGCCGAAGTATGAAGAGTTCTTGTTCTCCTAAAGGTATTCCTAGGCATATAATGACGGAATTCAATGTAGCAGTAATAGCGAATGAAGATTCGTATCAATTATATAATGAGGTGGCGGTGTTTTTCATTAGTTGCTCATGATATTCGTCTCGGCTCAGGCCGGGTGGGAAATGAAGGTCGTGAATTCTTCAAGCTGCCTTAGAACAATGTCAGATAGGCACGCGAGACTCGTGGATTTGGCTAGCCACCTTTTAAAATATGTCAAGCGTCTGATTAATGGTTAACTCATCCGCGGTATTGCATCCAACATGAATTGCATCCAACATGAATGCAGCCGGACGCATAAAACACAAAAAACCTTCACTTAACAACTTCCTGGAGTTCCTTAGGAGGGAGAAATCGAATTTCGTCTCAGAAAAGGTGAAATGATTTGATTAGATCAGCAAATATCACGTGTCAGTCCCTGGCGTGGAGTGAAGATCTGATAAGATCAAACTTTAAAGCTCAGTTTTCAAAAGTTAAAAGGAGCGCAGCTTTTTTTTTTTTTCGTCACGATCAAACGACCAAATAAAAGAACGCTGGCTTCATTCGCAATTAACTAATTACATTATAGGATTGGGTGACGAGGACATATCAAAGCAGTCAAAGAATGTTGCAACAGAGCAGGCTGACAAAAAGCTAGAGATAGGAACGGGGTATAACGCTAATGACAACAGCAGAAAAACAAATACCAAATGAATCTCATACGAGCAGTGTAAAGAATTAAGGCTGCTGTGTCTTTCAGAACAAGTTTACAGTTGTTGGGAAAGCTATAATTCATTATTGGCGGCGCGAAACTCCCGCTCCTTATTTATTCGGGAAACTTGAAACCATCACGTATCGGTGATGTGGAAGCCGAAGTTTTGGTTGCCCATGCCTTTAGAGATATGACAACGATCTCCCAGGCCATGGAAAGCGCTGTGACTCCCATTCCAACTGTGAAGACAACCATTGCACTTACCTCATAATATTCCATGGCTGCAACAATATCCGCGGTCTATACGGTCAAGTTAGCATGGGTTTGTCGACTGGTCTATAGTCTGATATAGTTTGGGGAAGCAGGAAACTCCAACACAGAGGAATGCATACACTTAACATGAAAACAAGTCCGCCTGATATAAGACAGAATGAGGTGACCAGCTCTGAGGGTGGCCGGGAAGGAAGAATCGAGATTGGTGGGTTGATATAGAGCAGAATATATGTGACAGCGCGTGCCAATGAGAACCCCACCAGGAGCATCCCCCACTGCGTGTGAACCATAGTCGACACCATACTATGTTGGTGGTGGGAACTCATCATTAAACCCAACAACAAGATTATTGTTGCAGGCATAGGGTTGAGAGATACTCCTTGGGACCTTGGCAGCCTCCATTCGTCAGCACCTGAAGGGTATTCTTTGTCAAGAGCGATTGGAGGTGGTCCCAAAGCAGTCTGATTTATCCAGTCACGAACTCGACGAGATTCAGCCAACATTCCGCACTGAAAGCTCATGGTCAGCCTGAGTGTGTAAAAGCAGAGTTCAAAACAAGAAAACTTACCAAGCCGCCGCCGAAGAACATGATGGTTATCGAGACATGTTCAAGATCGTGGGCCGTCCATGGTCCTCCCCACCCACCAAGATGCTCCAAAAACATGTTGGTGGCTCCATATAAGAAAATAACAAACGATTCTGTGAATTCTGCGGTTGGTATTCTTGATTTCCAACCCCCTACGATGGCACGTGATGGCTTCACATTCCAGGCCCATCCGAAGTCTGCAAAGCAACCAAGCCACCGACCTAGAGTCAAGAATCCATACCACATGAAAATCCCGCCTTTGATGAAATGCGCCAGTCCGTTGAAAATTTGTCGTCCGCGCTAGGTGTCACACACCCGTTAGCCAACAAACGAGATGCCATGGGGAATTGTCAGCAGTACTTACGAAAATTCCAGTATAAACAACAGCACCCGACGTAAGCGCAAAGAATCCAAGGATTAGGATTGTTCTCTCAATGATAGTGTGGATCAAGCTCAATGCACTGAGGACACGCTGTGAAGTCAACTGAGGAACACGAGCTGTCAAATATCTGTCGAGTGACCCGAATGGAGATAGCCGTTGACAGCTAGGCTTATTGTTTCTTTCGAGGTTTGGTATCGCCATGTCCTCAACCTCTTGTCTGTCATGTTCAAAGGAACTACATCCGCTACGGGGGGAATACGTGTGCTCGTCGCTGCCTTGACCGCTGTCTGCAGACCACCGAGTTTGCCGATTGGTATCCCGAGAATAGGAGTCATTTCTGCCTGAGTTGGTATCAACAGAAAGGAAAGCAACTCTTTCATATGCGTTATCTTGCGCATGGCCTTTGCCGTTGGAGTATGCGAGAAGTAGCCCCATCACAACCTCCGCAACCATGACCCATGTGGCCACCCATCCTATCTTGGTATGCACATTGTGCTCATAAAGATCGGGAGTTTGGTTACTATATATGATGCCGCATAATACGGCAACAGCATTGACGACCAAGAAACCAAACTGAGTTGGCAACGCGAGTCGGGACTTTGATACACTAAACACAATACCTTTTCACCAAGAGCAGATTCCAACCGTTAGCTACGCAAGAAGCTCTCCTGAATCTCATCAAAATTGTAATCGGAGAGGAGATTTCTTACCTACTGGGAGGATAACGATCCAAGCTATGGCCATCAACACGATATGGGCTAGGATCGTTCCCGAATGTTTCTGGTATCTAAAATAGCTCATCAAATGGGCTGTGTCTCCAGCAGCCATGGTCGCCGTCGCTGCCGCGGCTGGTGCTACAGATGATGTCGTTTCCGTCGCTCCCGCCATATGTATTGACTCGTGGCCATCACCATGCGGTATCGCGCCCGCTACCGTCGCGAGAAACAGTAGCAAGGAAGCATAGGAGGCGTGAGGCGCGAGACGATGTGGCAACATCCGGAAGAGTGATTTGAGAGAGCACCCCAATTCGGCAGCCTAGGATGCTTTGTAGGAAAGGCTTCTCCCGTGGGCAGAGCTTGATATAATAATGGATGACTATTTATATACACGATTTGAGACTGCAGGAGCGAATGATGGAGCTTATGACACTCGGGGAAGGAGCCTGGTACTCAGGGGAGGAAGCAAAAGGACATAAGGAAAGCACGAAAGAGCAGGAAGCAGCGTTGAGGGAGGGTCAGCCATGTGCCCTTTGTCATAAACTATTTATGTCTGGCGCATTGCCTGACATCGGTTCTTCATGAAGATCAAGGCGGGCTGACAAACCCACGAAACGGTCGGCCGCCGGAAGAAGAGGATCCCAGAAGGACCCAGGCTTCGGAGTTAAGTGCAATATTCTTTCTGACGAAAAATGAGAACAACTTATGACGAAATATGGTTGGAGAACTTTATGCATCAGCTTAGAGTTGATGTGCATGATAGGCTGGCCAGGCCATGTACGAGGTACGAAGTACGAGAGGCCCTTGTTCAAGCTCTCAACTCTAACGCATTTCCTGACGAGTCCGCCGCGCAGTCAAGAGACGTAAGGTAAGATGTTGTGCCTTCCCCGTCTTACTGCGTATTCCTCTTTGCACAGTTCGCCATTTTCACCGCCAGGAGCACTTGGCCACACTGCTTGGACATGAAGCGCAGGCTCCATACATATGCATGGCTTCAGCTGAATCACTTCCAGGTTGTACCGTGGTTGCTCATATCACCACAGGACAGGGTGGGGAACAGCATGGGAGTGGGAAGGAAAAAGCAACGGTGACCCTCTCGCCGCTCCCTTTGCAAGGCTCAACAAACGCCTTATTTCCACCGCTGAAATACTTATAAGCGACCAGCAAAGAAGAGGCCCTTTGCCTATGACAAATGAGTGCTCAACATAGGTTACGTCTGTATAGAACAACTCTGCTTGAAGGGAGACGGGCGAGAGTAGTTGTGGGGTTCGGTGGTGCTCTCCGGATGGCCGGCAACGGAGATGAGAGTCATTTCGAAAATTTTGCATGAACTAACTAGTTAGTTGGGCCTATGTGACTTGGGTCGGACGAAAATTACCGACATCCCGAGGGGATTTTGGGATTTCAAAACAAGCAAAGTATCCAAGAAGTACCTCTTGACATACTTGAGGCCAGAAAGTGACTTAAGAAGTACTTCACTGCTTTGTCTTTCTGGTCCCGCTTATCTAGCCGGCACATCCGCCAGAATTATTAATTTCACACGCAGCCCAAATACTTACCAAACAACTCACAGCCTGGAGCGTACGCTCTGCCCGTGCTTCAGCCATTAAGACCTCCTTACCGAGGGCATCGATGAATCCGTCCCCGATCATCCGATGCCTCTCGCTTGTGGGATGGAGCTAATCAACGCTCTCTTTTAACCAGTTAGTTCTCCGATTTAGCCGATGACAACGAAAAGATTGCCCATTTAACTCGATATGAGGAAGAGCTAGCCAAAATAGGCTGCGTAGCCCAATACTTCGGGCATTAGATTTATCATTTCGGTTGCGACCCCTCGTAATTATCATTATTTCCAAGCATTGTGCATTAAATTGTATCGTGGCCGTTTGGTTTCTTTTTTCCCCTTATTAACTAGTTATTAATATAGGGATGTTTATTCACAGCGCCTCATCATGTAAGTAATAAGAAAATCGCAATCCCTCAAAGCTCATGAGTAGAGAGAGACTTTATGTTGGGTTATAGGATAGTTAAGGATAAAGTATTATAGGATTAAGTTGACTGGACAGTCCAGTTAACCAATCTACACCATTACCCATTGCTCGTGACAACCTATTAACCAGTTGTTGGCTAACTAGTAAATTGATGCATGAACCCTATCGAAAGAGCTACCCGACGTCGTCATATAATCGACAATCCGTTTCTGGCTATGCAGTCTTCGTCGGCTATTTCAGATTAAGTCTCTGCAAACCGATGTCCAACGAATGGAGGAGAGATAGAAAGAGGGAGAAGACTACTTTGCATGTTGCGAGAATACCTGGGCTTGCTACTAGTTACTTATCTACTGCTTGCGAGGATTTTTTGTTGTCAATAGTTAAAATGCCACAGCGACGTCGATAAAAATAGGGTGCGAATGAGCCTAAGCAACCCGTCGATTTCTTGCCGATAGTGGTTAATCAAGCATATTCTACCGGAGGCTCCGGCCACTAAGACAGTTAGAACGAAGGAATCTTATTGAAATTGAGAATCCATGGAGTCACTGTCTGTGTTCACATTAAGATGTGTCTAATAAGATTCAACCCGAAAACATGACATGTAATGATGTGCTAGATTTACTCTCCTAAGCTAATAACATGATTGGATTGAAGTGTAGATTCGTGTGCCGAATAGTAGCCCTTTGGTTCGATAGTATTTGAGCCTCATTTTATTTTTGGAGAGGATAAATGTCTACAATACCAGACCATAATTGTCCCACTATCCCAACAAATATCAGTCTTCGAATATGCCATAAAGCCAGGCGGTTGATTCGCTGCCCTTGTGACTTGGATAAATTGCTCTGTCGCCCACAAGAGGACGATAATGAGCGAAATCTATATGCCAGTGAGGCTTTTCCTCGAAACCTCTCCAACTTAAACCATTTTTCCACCTAACATCTGATTTATATCCAGGATTATTCCTCATTCCAATGAACAAAATCCCTGGAATCCACCAGTAGACCGGCGGCCGTATGCTCAAGTTTGGCAGTCTAGTTGAGTATATCGCGCTGTCCAGAATACTGATCGTATTTAAAGTATCGTATAGAGTTTGATAAGGAATGTAAGGTGGCTAATAGTAGGTTGTGCTCGGACATTTATTACTCTCCTTGTTAACTCATGAACGCCTGCCCTACGGCGTCAAACTGGAAATGGCATAGCTCAGGATTCACGAGGAGGGAGAACATCGCCAAGTATTGCTTCACCTGCTTCTTAGGAAACCAAGATATATATATATAATTACCCCTAAATTTCCCAAGATCCCCAAACAACAAAAGATATGGGATCGTTTGCTTCAAGGCGTAGCTGTTTAATGGGTATCTCTGGATGAAGGGTAGACGGACATTGTGAATAGCACAGGCGTCATCCTAACGACAGAAAGTAAAGCAGCCTCCGTAGGTTGTAGTCAGAAAGCGTGAAAATAAACATGGTCGAGGTTTGAGGCTCCTCGAGAGTTTTTTAAAAGTGGATTTCCATTTTGAGTTTACCGCTAACAGCCCGCTCTGGAAATACTTTATTCCTTATTTTGACATCCGGCAGGATCTTAGGGTGAATTTCCACCTTGCAACAAACAAACAATGAAAACCCGAGTTTCTACAAATTAATCCTGCGTCTCACTTTACCACCAATAAATATCCATGAACTAATATCAATACTGTCTATATAGTGCAATAACAAGATCAAATACCCCTATGACGGACTCTATCAAACTTGGAAATCGAAGCATCAAACTCTTCTTTACTGGCCTTTGTCAAATCCAGCCCTGAAACATCTGCTAGGATGGAATGCATTCAGAAGAAAAACAGAAATGACCACAAACACGCTCTCCATTCCAATAAACAATCCTTCGTTGGATAGCAGCGGTCCATCCCATCCTTCAGACAATTCCGCAATTCGATATATACTTCGTACATATATGCAAACTGTCGATCCTGCTAGAGACAGCAGAAAGAGTTTGAACTGGGAGGATGATCGAAGATGGGAATAATTTGGATCTAGTGCAGCATTCCCCAAGGCACGGATGCGATTGTGGGTTCGAAAAGCGAAGTCCGCAACCAGTCCCATGAATATAGTCAACGTAATGACCTGAATCACAAGGCCAGCCACCATAATGTCTTTCCCTAAGTCAGCTTGCGTCCGGTCATTGTCACCCGCGGTGCTGGCAATTCCACCGCCGGCACCTTGGAGGGCCAGTGCAAGGATATCGCAAGGAATAAAAAGTCGGGGATACCATCGTGGGCGGATTCGGGAGTTTTCGGGGCCAAAAGCAGTCACGATCCGGGATAAGGTAAAGTATATACCAGCAGCAAGGAACGCAGGCGCAAGAGTAAGGCAGCATATCTGAATCATAAATGGAATCTACCTCATAGGTCAGTGATTCATATTTCCATGTTTCCCAAGGCAAACAAGGAGATTCGTTGAAGATAGATCCGGTAGCTATACCTGTTTCCATGGATTATCCCACATCATAATTCTACCTATATATCCAATCGTCTCGCCTAGGGTTCCCAGGATCATGGCAATGGTGAAGCCCAGAAATCGTCTCGTTGCAAGTCCTTGGATTATGAAAGTGACAGCAGAGATAAAAAACAGAGCTGTAAATGTCGCATTTGCCGGCAATGATGGCCGGTACTTATACCACGAAAGAGAGATGTCACATATAGCAAAGGTACATAACTCTCTATCAAAGACCTGCTCTCGGGCCGCAATGGGTGTGATTGCTGAGATGGCACTAGTCATCTTGAAAGAGACCGTATATAAGATCTCAATACAATATTAATTGCTTTCAGGTATCTGTTTTATGGAAGGGAGGTTGGATTTCTGTCAATGGCTCTGGCTCTCAAGGACCATTGCGTTGTTTATATAGTTCTCCTGAAACAGGTACACGTCCGTTCGGCAGGCCAGTGCAGAATTCACACTTTATGGCAAGACACGGATGTACGGGGGGAAGCGAGGGGTGGCATGCCCCTTCCGTGAACCCCTGAATCAGTACCAGATGCATTATTATTTAACGAGCCAGGGTATCTCGGTATGGTCGATATGATTCCCCTATAGACTAGGGCTAAGTGGACTAGGGCTAAGTGGAAGAATGTGAATGTGTTTGTGCCAAATCTTCCAGGGTTGTTAAATTTGGAAGCCAACGTAGGCCCTGCTGTGGCTGCGCTGGCCCTTTTTCCGGGAAGTAGAACGGTCCAGCAAGATGTATAATCGGAGCTCGTATAGAAGGCTTCAACGTTCTTTCCCACTGCGTTTATGCTCTAGATTTTGAAGGATCTAGAATTTGCCTCACGCATTCGTCAATGGCAGCGACTTCGTCACAGCCTAAATCCTTCAATAGTCAATTACGTATTTCGATCTGTTGTTCGGCCTCAGAGACTGTAGACAGATGATGTAAGAACATACGTTTATTGCTAATTATTGTTGCCTAACACCAAAGGACTGCAAACTCCCGCATTGATATCTGGACCTGATGTCCGAAACTAGTAAGAACTTGGAGCTTCTATCATAATATTTTCTACTTTGCGATGACATCGAGCCCGGTAATCGACTCCATCTAACACTTATCGAATTTTACCAGAACATTGTAATTTTGCGGGTCGAATTTTTGACCAGCAACTTTTGTACGGGATTGCTGGCACCCGCGTAGAATCTCATCCGCATAATTTCCAAGAAGAGGACAAAATTCCTCGAACCAAGAATCACGCTACGGATCTGTTAGTTTTTTCTCTTCAAGGAAAAGGGGGAGAGAAAAGAAACACGATCTGTGTGAATACTCACATCGTTGCAGAGGAAGATCCCACTATCCCAGGAACAGCTAATCCGACTGCACGATCGATTTCGAACCCTACAAAGTGATGCCTGCGGAGCGCGTTTGAGATAGGCGACACCCTCCTCAATATGTTTTCGCCATGCTCTCTTGGTGCCACTGGGATCACAGATTATATCCCCCTTTTGCCATTGTATGTTAGATCATCATTTGTATCCTAAAGACTTTTAAATTCTTGTAAAGTAAGCGAAACCAGTAGATCTTACTGGTATTCTTTTCTCCAATTTAGAGCTAACTTTGCGAGGGCTATGGGGTGCGTCAGGGAAATCTTCCGGCTTATAGCTGGGGTTTAACTTGAGAATTTGGTGAAAAATCTCTTGAATAGTGCCCTCAAGAGTCACATTATCCCCGCCTGGTGTGACTGGCCCAGTATATATCATCGAACTCGTAGCGAATGATTCCACGGTTGCGCTCGCAAGGACCTGCCATAGTCAGACGGAATTTCATGTTAAAACAGGCATCTTCTCGAGGATATTACCATGAAGGCGGCAAAAATAAATGCAAGTAGGAGACTTTTCGTAACAGCCATGTTTCTAGAAGTAGATGGTAAATGTAAAAGAAGATATGGTTTGCGCTTGCGACGGACTTGAGTTGGGGGGTTTGGTATTTGGTTAGGAAGTGAAGGTCCCTTTTATAACCATAAAACGCGATTTTGCTATCGTCCATTTATCCATTAGCTTCCGAAATTTGCAGTAACTTGTGCTCCCACATCTACAGCCATCAGTCACTTTCTCACTTGCCCCTCACTGGGATTCCATTTACGAGATGTAAATGATTGGGCTTCTATGGGACCTTAACTCGTAGTTGGACCAACCCTCGCTTACTGAGGTCCGAGAGAAGAGATTATTCATTTATTCCCAGTAACACGGACATCAACATTTCATTGAAGTCCGCATTACACGCAGCCTGCCAGACAGGTAACAAGACACCGTTCGCTAATCGCCATATGCGAACGGCTTCCTGCTGATGAAGCAAGATTCAATTATAGACCAGGGTTCTGCATTTTGCTGAGAACCACTCATAGAGATGATGTTTAATCGCGCATCAAAAATTTGGGTATAGTTATATATTTGTATATCCACATAATATAGCAACTGCTATTGAGAATGGCCCCAAAGTTACGCAGTACTACTGCATTCAAATGCCTCAGTCACATCTATAGATTAATACGCCAGATAGATGACCCATCCCCTTCGCCAAAAACAGATCGCTCCTTTATATCCTCCAGAGGGCTGCGCAAAGAGTTGGAGTTGAGGAGTTGAGAAGCCGAAGACGGAAAAAAGGGGGGAAGACAGATTTATATCTTGGCACCCGCCAATCACGTGCTGGACGACTAGTTATCAGCTGTAGACCAAGATAGAGATGGAGAGTCACAGGAGCAAGAGAGAACAGCTTTTTCTTCCCGGACCATACCTGAGGGATACATGCGGCCTTCATTGGAGGCAGTCCGTGAACGCCTAATCCCTTATGGCGCTAATATGTACGTATAAACTGCCCTTAGCCCTCATGAGATGTTCCTCAGTTAACAAACTGTTTGCAATAGCAACTTTGGTCGCGAAACTGCGCCATGACCCGCGGCCGCTGTACAAGCTTCCACCCTATATATCGGTACTCCTTGTTCTAGTCGGCGCGATCTGGCTTCTGCTGCTCCCCCTGAACGAATACTCGCGAGAAACATACATTTCAGAAAATGCCCTACTTCCCGGCCAGGTACACACTTACTTTGCTGGGAGCGAGCAGAATATATTCCGCGCATACAGACAAGAGCTTGATACTGTGAAAGATCTCGATTACAGCTTGTATGTGAAATTTTCATTCACCTTGAAACGGGAGGAAATTCCCGCGAATTAAGGAACGCTGAAGCTAATCCTTAAATTATACAGCATATCAGAAAAGCTCCAATCAGTGTTTCGAGAGTCGGGACTGAAAGTTGCTACACAGAACTACGAGTATCAGTCTTCGGGGAATGTGTATGCTGGCCAAAATGTTTACAGTGTTATTCATGCTCCGCGTGGAGATGGCACCGAAGCAATGGTGCTGATAGCATCCTGGAAGACTGTTGATGGGGAACTCAACCTCCACGGTGTTGCGCTAGCACTGACACTCGCAAGATATTTCAAACGTCTGTATCCTAAAAAATGTCGATGGATCTTCAATTTTTATGTCACTAATCCATTCTGTTTGAATAGGCTGGTCTTTGTGGTCAAAAGACATTATATTCCTCATCACACCGGATAGCAAGTCAGGAGCACAAGCGTGGGTTGACGCTTACCATGATATGCATCCACCCTCTGTTCAGCCCTTACCACTAAAAAGTGGAGCTTTACAAGGGGCTATTGCGTTTGAACATCCTCAGAACCATAGATTTGAATCCCTTCACATCCTGTATGACGGTGTTAACGGTCAGCTGCCGAATCTTGACCTATTCAATACTGCCATTGCTGTTGCTCGCGGTCAGATGGGTATTCCAGTTGACTTGCAGCATGTATGGAATCATGACAATAAATACCAAAAACGTCTCCAGACTATGCTTAAAGGCATGATTCGCCAAGGACTAGGCCATGCTGCCGGGGTTCATAGCAGCTTCATCCCCTATCATATTGATGCCATCACATTTCAGACCATTGGTAGTGGATGGGAGGATGAGATGGCTCTAGGAAGATCCATCGAGGGCGTTGTCAGAAGCATTAACAACCTCCTGGAACATTTCCACCAAAGCTTCTTCTTTTACCTACTTATGCACACCAAGCGCTTCGTCAGCATAGGGACTTATCTGCCTAGCGCAATGCTAATTGCGGGGAATTTCACTATTATGGCAATTGGTCTTTGGCTTAAGAGTGGACGTCGGACTCCAAACGCGCCGCTGGAGACACACCTCACCCCTCTTGATAGCAAATCAGGGGAAGAAAAGCAAAACGCCACCACCATTGCTATTGATGGGGTCAACAGGGCTGTAGAAAGGCATCTGTCATTGCCGTTGGCTCTGGTGTTGGGGTTACATTTCTTAGGAGCTGTTCCCTTATTCACTTTCAACAGCCTTCCTCATAATGTATGTGTATACCATGTCGTACAAGTCGATTCCATTTCCAGGCCCAGCTAACAAACTTATTTTAGCTCCTATCTTATGCAGCATATATTTTTGCCGTGGCGAATATCGCCATTCCCCTCGTCATTTCTGTGGTTGTGGTTCACTTCTTACGACCTACCACCCAACAGTTTATACTCGCTAAATCATTTTCTCTTGTTCTTCTAGGATTATTTCTCTCCGCTCTAGCCACACTCAACTTCTCTTTGTCCCTTCTCCTAGGCCTTGTCTGTACGCCACTCACTTTCATCGGCTACATGGAATCTTCTTCAACTCAAATGGGGAGGTCTAAAGTTCAGCCGCAGACAGAAGCGGAAAGAGATGCGAGAGCTTTGCTACTGATAAAAACCGCGCTTGGCATATTGCTTCTTTACCTTCTCTCGCCGACGGCTCTACTCCTTGGCATATGTACAGTTTACAATATCCCCGTCGAGCTTGTTCTGTCCGAAGCAGCATTTGGATGGAATGTCTGGGGGATGTGGACCCAAGTTGCGGTTTGGTGCATATGGTGGCCGGCGTGGCTGGCGGGCTGCGTGCTGCATTTTTCCTCGATTTTATGATTAAATAGAAGAGCAACGGTTACTAATATGTATACATGATTTAGAGTACTCATATACCAGAAATATTCTGTTGGTACTGGGCTGCATCTGTCATCGATGTATGCTTAGAGCCACAACCGAGTAACTCATTCCGCTGCTGAACCTGAGTCTCAAACATAACATACTCTGTTGGTATTGCAGCACCTAGCCAGGGGGTCTCAGCCTGTGCAACGCCAAAGACCTAGCTCAATTTCAATCATTCCACCTCCAAGTAGGCTACGTTGGGAAGGTTTGGCCTGACATTTCCAGCTCGTATATGTTAACTTTGCTCCATGACCCTCCAATGAAAACATTGATTGGAGGCTGCATCTTGACATCAACTGTGTCAACAGCTGAGAGCACACCTACAGGGACGTGAAAGATAAATACGAAGGATTCATATATGTTGCAGTGATGGATAACATATACCCGAGCTGGACCACGAGCCCTGGGTCTCTCTCCTACATTGACAAACAGGTATATATATCTCAGAGAATGCCCTGGGGCGTCCCTAATTCTCTCTCTCTTTTTCAACAAAAACAGTTGAAACTAATTCATCTATTCGAGAAAAAATGAAGCCTCAACTTGCCCTCCTCTGCCTTGCTTCGCAGGCAATCATTGTTGTTGGAGTCCCTGCTGGGCTTGAAGGTACGTTAAATTGAATATATAGCTACCTCCCAGTTCCATTACTGAGATATTTCTCTTCACCGTCGGACATTGGCCCGGCGGAGTCAAGATTATATTGGATAGCCACGAACGATATGAAGGCTGTCAAAGCAGCGGAAGCGTCTCCAAACTGTGAGTTTATTGGCTAGCATCTTCAGAGAATTCAGCTGCTCTAAGCGTATAGTTTTCAGGCATGAGATGAAGTCAAGCTAACCGAAGTGATCGAATATAGGGTGCAACACTTGTATCGGGCTCTGCACTGGAGTTACATGCTGCTCTCCCCGTCCATGGTGTATTTGGACTGGATCGTTTTGCTACTGCGGAGCGTAGGTGGGCAACGGGGCTTTGTACCTACCTGGATATATGGACAAACTGATGGCGTGTTCTGTGTCGGGCCCCCAGTCACTCTTTGAATTCCTTTCGGGGCGTGTGGATATGCGCAAGGGGTCGTAAACACAGCTACAAATGTTGATGCTCATGAAAATCAGTATAGCTGTGATTTTTTTTTGTATATCGCTCAAGTCAAATAAAACTTCCGTACTGGAGTTCCTGAACATAGTATTTTTGTACCCTACGAGAACGTCATAGAATAGCTGGAGGGGATGAAAGTGTCATTGTACCAGCATATTTAATACCGTCGGTAACATTGAATTCTTAACATTTAATTTTTCGGTCTATTCCCCAGGTAAGGTGCAGTTTAAATTACACGATTGTTGAGGGCCACGGCAAAAGGCCATTTATGCAGCCCAGACATCTTTCCCCACACTTTCAATCCAGTGGCCGAGCTGGTTAACTCCAGCATCCCATTCACGTAGTCTCGTGCGCATTCCTTCGATTTGAGCCATATCCAGGACCTTTGGCTGTACCCAGTGGATGTGTGCTATTTGTGCAACCTGGTCAATTGTGCCCTTCAAGAGACCCAGACTGAGGGCTTTCATGATCAGATGTTCAATTTCATTGGGTTGAACTTTGGTTTCCTCCGATATGGTGGCAAAGGTCATGCTTCTATTGTGAGGTGGCCGGCGGAAGACCATCTCGGTAAGGGCGGCAAGAGATATCTTCTGATATAAGAATACCTTATGTTGCTGAAGCAACTGATTCTTATCCATGTTTACTGCCAGTACATCATATGCACTAAGGTCGCCTCGGTTAAAGGCCACAAGCAACTCTCGAAGCCAGGCATGAGGGGTACCCTTTAGCTCATCCAAGACGGGGTGAAGCAATAATTCACCAAAATTGTAAATGGTATCAGAAACTAGAGCTGCAACACTCAGGTCATACGCTCTGGCAACACGATGTTCCCGTGCCAAAGACTGCAAATCAATGCACGCTAAATATAGGAGAGCATTTTTGTAGTATGAAGCAAATTCAAGCTTGGCCTATGTTATGGTTCGTCAGCAAAATGTATACCTCTCCCAAAGAGTAGACTCGACACTGCTTACATGATAGTAATCTGCGTTTACTTTGTAAAATGCTGCGTGGACTACATTCTCGACGGAGTCGAACATGTCCAGTACTGCCTGTGAAGCATCAAGATCCTTTCGAGCTCCCTCGAAGTCTTTTAACCGTAGTTTAACGCTAGCAACGTCTGCAATCGCATACACGTGGGCATCTTTTGACTCTGGCTTATCAACTTTGCTGGCCAATGAAGCTAGGAAGGAGAGTCGCTCTTGGTCATCTAGTTGAGGAACATTCGTTAGCAATCGAATCCAGGAAAAAATATCAAGACAATGGTCCCACGAACCACTGCACTGTGTCGATGCCATCAGCCCCAGTGTTACAAATTTTAGCTGATTTATCTTGTCTGCAAAGGTAAGGATAAAATTTTTGAAAAAGGACAGCCTTTGGGGCGCGCTCTCCGGTAGACAAAAGTACTCGATCAGGGCATTTGTGAGCTGGTGCCATAGTTTTCGTTCCCAAAAATCTTCAACTTGTAAAAGCAGTGACTGTGATTCATCGAGAGCTTCCCCTCGTTTCTCCGCAAGGAAATCTGGGATCTTGTCAACCTGCATGGTGACGGGTGGTTTTGGCGAAACGGCGTCGGACGGAGGGACGAGACCGAGAGAAAAGAGTCGCGAGACGAGCGGGAGACCAATATTCGAACGTGGGGTGGTATAATGTCGTAATTTCTAAGGGCTTCTGCTGTCCCTGGTATCACTATCAAAACCGCTGGAAGGAGATGGCTGTTTGTTGCGGCGTCGAGCAAGGTCGGGAACGATGTTTAGAAGCCAGAGCTTGAGTGGTCCCTGCGCCCAACCGTAGAAGCTTTGATGAGTAAGCGTTTGCTTAGTCATATCGTACGCTCAAATTTCTTTTTAGCTTTTCTCTAGATATCAAATCGAAACCACCACCTGGACCGCTCAGCATCACCACTAGCATGACCATCATGTTCAACCGTGCTTCACACTGCTAATACGAGGGATTGTTGCGGGGACTATCCCTGGCTGGATACACGGATACCCGGGGCTGACTGCATCCGAGGACCTCCCAAGAATGAACTAGAGAATGTGTCCGAGTATGTGTCCGAGGCCCTTGTACATTCTGCGATGCATAATAGCCACTGGTGAAGAATACCTGCCATGACTCACAGACATGGAATATGGGGCTTGAGAATGTTTGAAGATGGCGCGGAGATATCCAAGGGGGCAAACACTATATAAACCATGGCTTGAGGCCATCTAAGTCTTTGTATCTCAATAACAATCAATTCCTATCACCTCTGCTCTTGTTATCTATTGTTAAAATACAAAGATACCCCAATACAATGCTGGACATAGCTGCGACGAATGAGGCGCATTTCAAGTGAGAATTATGAGAACCTACCTAATATTCACGTCTACCAAAAGAGGGCGGGCATACTAACAATGTCTTAGTGCCGCTGCTTCGACATACGAAACTCGTTTCGCAGAAGCCCTTCGAATTATTGGAAACGAAGTTGGAGAACGTTCCAGATGGATTTGCCCGCAATGGGGTGATGCGACCGACGATGTCAAGCCATTCAGGATGCTTGACTATGCATGCGGTGCAGGATCGATGACTCGAGTAGGACATTATCCTAGTTCGGTCATCAACATTATGCTAATCGTTTATGTAGGCATTACTACCTCATGTTTCGGATGCCATTGGAATTGACGTTTCCCAAAACATGGTTGAAGAATATAACAAGAACATTGTTGCCCTGGGATTACCAACAGACAAAGTGTTTGCTAAAAAAGGGAATCTGCTGTCAGATAATCCATCGGAGGGATTCTCTGACCCAGAATACTTTAATTTCGACCTGATAATCATCGGGTTTGCCCTTCATCATTTCAAGTCCCCCGACCTTGCCATGAGGAGACTTGTTGAAAGACTAGCACCTGGTGGGATCTTGGTAGTGCTGGACTTCGTAGAGCACTCAATCGAAGTTGAAAATGGAGTTACGGCTTCTGGTTTTGGCCCTGATCTAAGACGACAATTTGAAAATGCTGGTGTCGGGGACGGGTTTGATTACGTGGTACCGGATAGAGGAGTCATGCGTGGAAAGCCTCCTAAGGAGCTGCGGTATTTCCTCGCTCGTGGGAAACGCCCGAACAGTGTCACAATACAGAGCTAGCTATTTAAAGATGTTCTACCTAGTCCAACGCGAATCATTCTTGAGCTGTCTACTTATCCCCTTCCTATTGGATCATCTCCTTTCAAAATTTCTAAAGTGATTCTCGCCGTCTAGTTGCCATTCTTAATTATCTCTGCACATTTTTCGCCAATTCCGTAGGCCGGCATCTGGTTGTGTCCTCCGTGCAACGTGGGCATGACACTACAGTCTGCAACTCTCAAGCCAGCAACGCCTCGTACACGCAATTTCTCGTCGAGGACCGCATTTGGATTATCTGATTTACCCATGGCACAAGTTCCACCAGGGTGATAGCCTAAGCCCGATTAAATAAGCATAAATGTACATTAATATGGCGTAAAACTTGATAACACTTACAAGTTGTCCCATGCTCCTTGACATAAGGTATCCATTCATCTCTGGTCTTGAAGGTGTGGTGCTTAAGTTCTGGAGGCCAAGAACCTTTGATAATATCCTTCGTGCCAAGTCCTTCAGTGAGAATCTCATTGCCCAACCTGCAGGCCTCAGTAATAACCAGCATATCAAGCGGGTCATCAAGGTAGTTGCAGTCTACTGCGGGTGGATCGAGAGGGTCTGTTGATTTGAGGGTTACAGAGCCGCGAGATCTAGGGCCAAAGAGTTCGGCAATGAAGGAGAAGGTATGGCTGTTTGTTGGGAAAGTGTTGTAGTGCTTCGGTCCACCATAGCATTCGGTGTTGAATAGCTCAATATTTGGCTGGCATGGGGCAAGTCCCATGGGGTCTTTCCCTTCCTCATGCGGTGCATTTTTCCAAGCCGGCACATCTGCCAGGAGATCATCAACACGGGCAAAGGCGAAGGCTCCAAAAGGGAACGAGGACAAGAAGCCTGACTTGCTCTCTTTCCACTCGGAGTAGGACTTTTCGAAGGCGCCTTTGTGATAGACGAGATTGTCGTTTGTTAGACCTTCCTCAGTTTCATAAAAGATAGCTACAATCTAATGATGTTTTAGCGGGTGGCTTGAAAGGCAGCTAAAGATTGGCGGGGAGGAGACATATAAAAGGTATCCATGTTTCCTTTTGTTTTCCAGCCCAGGGCGCGATTGTACCACTTACAAGATGGTCCATTAGATTCTTGCCAACACCAGAAAGGTTGATTTTGCAAGGGATGCCATGTTGATTGAGTTCCTCTTTTGGCCCAATTCCAGATCGCAAGAGAATAGCTGGGCTGCAATAGGCACCGCCACTAATGATAACCTCCCGTGTCGCTTGGAAAGTTCGATGCGTCTTGTCGACAGTTGAAATGGTTGCAACTCCTGTAGCCTTCAAGCAGCCTTCACGGGGCTCAATAATAACCTTATCAACAGAGGTATTGCACAAGATAGTTACGTTATCCTTGCGATTGTCTTTGGTAAGGTAGTCAGCAGCAGTGGATCGAAGCCCCTTATGTACAGTCCTTACAACATGGCCGCAGCCATGGGACACTTCGCCGGTCGAGAATAAGTCTCCCTTGTATGGAATGCCTTTGGAAACGAACGAATCCAAAATCCGCTTCGATATCGGGGCAAGATCATGGGGTTCAGTATGAATGGGCCCTGACGTTCCATGAACACCTGCCGCGCTTTCCAGCCATGGCTTCGGATGGTATGTTTCGGCCTTACGTATGTGTCAATTAGTGTTAGCCTTCTCTCTCCCCCTCATTTCTTTTTTCCTTATTACTCCCGTTTTCCTTGGGAGCATGTAAAAATCGGGTTGAACACACCTTTGACATGCACTTGAAGAATTCCTCTCCGCTCCAACCCTCAAGACCCCAATCGTCATAGTCCTGTTTGCATCCACGGATGCACAAGGTGCCGTTACATCCACTACAGCCACCGAGGAATCGTCCTCTGCTTAGCTTGATTTCCCTGCCGTCCACACCTGGCATTGGATTGGTGATAATATTCCAGTCGGTCTCTGAGTCAAAGTTGTTCAACCAGCTAGGACTCGCAGTTAGTTATGTATATATGACTGGTTTAGGAGAGCGGAAGGGCTTGTATACCCTCCCACCATGTGGACATTTTCCAAATCTGCACTATCAGGCCCTGCTTCGAGGACCAATATTCTGAGGTTTGGATCCTCTGCAAGCCGCGCAGCGACAACACAGCCTGAAGTGCCTCCCCTAACATCCGAATGTCAGCGTTTTACTCCATCCCAGTCAGAACTATTGATGGCCTTCCATACCCGCATATAATGTAGTCGTAAAGTGAACTCATGGCTAATTAGCTAGCTATTTAGCGCCTTGTTTCGCTGCCTTCTCCCTTTTATTCAAAACACAAGGTGATTGTCAAATGCTAGCTTCTGTTTTTGCAACTTTGACGGGTTTCTGGAAGCGACTGAGGTGTGAAAAGTCGGTCTTCACCCCACCAGGGCAGCGAACTCTCTCAGTAGTTTGCATGACACTGGCAGACAGGGTTTGATTGGCCGGACAGGTGCTCTCGGGACGCTGTCAGTTCTTCTCTTGGATGAGGAGATTATGGTACCCCAGAAAAGGTCCCATTGAACTATCGGAACTAGTAGAGGGAGATCGACGGCTTTTCCACGCTACTGAGGTGATGCTGCTTGTGGATCTCGTATTAATTTGGCATGAGTGATGATTCCCTTCCGGCTCAGAAAGGGTCTGCCAAGGGGAAACTTCGAGGACGTTCTCACATTTTGCGGTGGAAAAGGTAGACTCCATCTCAGTGGAAATCCGTAAACTTCATAGTTATCGCTAACCAAAGGGTGACTACCTATCTGTTGACGTCTGGCCATGCAAACAACCAGGCGCTACTAGTTAGTTTCTTGTGGATTAGCGAAAATTGAAGATCACCCACTCGCACCGCTTGCGCTCCAGGCCAATAGAGAGGAACTCTAGGGTGGCGCGCTCCTAGGAAGGTTGAATCCGAGTCTCCTCTCTCTACCGATCATATTTTGTTTCCCATTATTTTCATGCTGGCGGCATGCACCGTAGCTATGTGGCATCCGCGCCGTTTCCACGACGGATGAATGTTCCTTTTCCGCCTCCATGAGGCACCCGCCTTCAGCAATGATAGATCGGCGATTTGCCTGCCTCTAATTTGATACAGCGGATACCCACTACTTCTTAATTCACCCAGAAGCGAGAAAGAACACATAGCAGCTGGTGTTGATATTCTGTCTGCAACTGGAGACGCTCGGAATGTTGCCACTAAATAGCTCGAATCGACGCTGTTGAGTTCACTAAGTAGCTCACTAATCAAGGTTAGTTAACTAGGGGTAGTTGGTTACAGTGCGGCATTCGTCAATAAACAAAAAACCTTTCGTACGGAGCACACATTATTGCTTTTCCCTCCGATATAATAATAGATCAATCAGCATGGTGATTGATGGGTTTCGCTAGACAGTTTAACTCTTCTCTGCACATACAATTATGGCCTTCATATCGATCAACAAGGAGTAGCTGCTTGAAACAGTCGACTTTGTGGACAATGAGAAGAAGTCTCAATCTTCCAAAGTCACTGTGCGAGGCTTTTTTCTTCTGGATGATTTAGAGCCAGAATCGAGATGTGGGATTCAAAGTCAACACCGTTCAAGAAGGAGGCGTGGACGGAGTATGGAATTGGAGTTGCGGTAATCTTGCTGCGAATAGGCGCTAGATTGAAAATTGTACGTTGGAACTGGCATGGGGATGACTTTATCATCATCCTGGTGTTGTTGTTGTGGTCGGTTAGTAGATTCAAGACAAACTGTTCCTCGTTGCTTTCATCTTCTAGACCAAGATTAAAACAGACGACTAACTGTCAAGTCAGGGAGAGCTCGCCATGCTGGAATTAATAGGTATGGCAGCGTGGGATGCCTATTGCTCTTGATCGTTCGCCAACTAAAACTTTTCGCGCAGGACGAACCGGGACGAATATCGGCCTATCGGACGCCCAAAGAGCTGCGCTTACCCCGGATGAAATTGCAACATTGGAGTTTGGCACCAAATGCAATTTGGCGGGCTGGTTGATGTATACAACTCTCATCTGGTCTCTCAAAGCATGCATGCTGTTCTTTTATGCCCGTTTAACGTATGCTCGCGTCCTTCTGCACCTCCCATGAGCAACATAAAAGACGAAAGCTAAACCTTGTACAGGATAGGTCTATACAAGGAGAAGATGGTCAAGGTTGCTGCAATAATATGCACATGCACATATATTATCAGTATGATAACCATCCTAACACATTGTCATCCTATCGAAAAAAACTGGCAGGTCAATCCAGACCCTGGAGGTAAGTTCGACTTCTCACGGAGCGGTAGCACATAGTTCAGTTTTGCTGAGCTGATAAATATAGACCTTTGTACCCTGGGTATTCCGAACTACATTACAGTAGCAACAACGAATTTGCTGTGAGTATTCCGAGGAATAAAGAAAGAATCCAAGCTGAGCATCACATAGCACGGACATGCTTCTTCTTTCGATCCCATTACCTCTTCTGGTAAGAGTTCGGATACCACTAGCACGGCAAGTTCTCCCCTATGTTCCAGATATGGTATCGATGAGGCTAATGCGTTATATTTAGAAAGCTGGTCATTGGGCTCTTGCTCTGTGGAGGCCTCTTTATCATGGTCGCAACTCTTCTCCGTTGTATTTTGTCCATCCAGTCCATCCATGGTATCAACATCAGCACTATTTGGGCTATAAGAGAAAGCGTATGTTCTCAACCTCAGCGCAAACATATATACTTCAGCTGCCAGCTGTCAGAACTTCAAATGCTGACTGGGTATCCCTCTAGTTTGTTGCCATTCTTGCTATCAATGCGCCTTGTATAAAACCAATATTCAGCCCCCGGGCCTGGACGGTTACAAGCGACGACTCCTCACCTAGAAATAGCGAGAACCCATCCTCGGTGGGGACAAGCAGTCATCAACTTAGCAAGATGTCTAAGTCATCCCGGTTTGACCAGTTATCTGTTCTCAGGACAGTCGACGATCACTGTAGTGAGGAACTATCACTTCCATACAACCAGGCACAGATGGGATTTGCTAGCCAGGCTACTAACAGTGCGCGCGGGGCCACTGCGTTTTCAGAAGACTAGTCCCTCAATATCAACCGCTCTGCGCACGGAGGCATTTATATCACTACGACATATGAGGTTACTCCTGAGCCTTTCGAAAAAATTCAAGCATGAGTTATGATACTACCGTCCTCGCAGGCATATTAGGGTCCCTTTTTTCATTTGTACAGCACGGAGTTGGTTTTCGTTTGGTGTCCTGTCGCACGTTTATGAGGATCTATATCTCTTCCAGGTTACGAAAGGCGGGTTTATTCATTTCCGTATTGTCTCGTAGGCGTACGAGCTTGGGCCTATGGGTATATCCTGGGGTGGGGTGTATTGGTATCGCATTTATTTTTTCCAAAGGCTCTCGGCGTTCAAGAAAGGGTCTGTTTTTCCTAGTGATATTCCGTCCCAGTCTTCAAATGCATTAGTCCATAATGATTTTGCTTAGGAACGCAGTGGTGACATCAGCTATCAGCTAGATTCCATCATGTAAACAAAACAGACTAGACTGGCAGTAACGTCGCTTGCCCGTAGCTGTAGTTACCACTACTGTGGTAATATCATATTATCATCCACATGATAGTTCATAAAGTTCGTTGACTTTTTTTAAGAGGTGAGTGTATCATGTCATTCCACTTCAAACCACAGATAGGTTAACACACTTCTAGTCTATGGTGACTGGCTGATGGCTGATGGCGAAGTCTAGCACACCTTCTGGAGTAAGTAAAGGCTCCGATTGATCTATATTTAAATAGTGATCAGTAAAAACCTAAGCTTAGATTCCTAGGTTCTTGGATTCACACGGAACGCTTAAACCCACCGAGAGAAGAGCATAATCAACTTTGGAGCTAAAACAAGGCCAAGTATGTCCGACTATTGGCTCTATGAAATGTGTAATGATGGCTTGAAAGTCTCCACCGCTCTACCAGGACGGTTGTTGGATAAGCAGTGCTTTACGGTGAACTGGTTGCTAGTTGCCTTTAAATTAGGGACCATGTCCAAGGCCATTTCGTGGTCACAGCTCTTTAGTACTCATGTTGTACAGCATCTCTGGCTGGGCAATCGTAATCGTTCGCCGAGGACCATCAGATGGAAGGCTTCCACTTTGATCACTGCGTTGTAGTGTCTGTCAGATATCGGTATCTTATCTGACATGATACTGGACAAGCATATATGAAATATGAATCCCCGGAAAGACTCATCGCGAATACGCAGGTCTATGATCGATCCCGAACGCTGTATTCTTTCTTCGAGCAATTATGAGGTCTTGTCTTCTCATAGCTGCGAAGAATCGTCTTTTCCGAAGCGCCATCCTATCATCCCGTATACACGCGCGAAACAAACGCCATCTGTGATTATGGCATTATAGCATGGTAGCTTAACAACGTCTAGCTGATGCCGGCCGGGCAGACGACATGTATGTCATAGACAATGTTAGAGAACAGGAGATGTCGACGAGAGGAAGCGTCGATGTAATTCGTGTTTCGCTATTGGATAGAGCAGGGTTAAAGCGGCCAGAGTTATCGCCGCATCAGGCTTAGCGTCGGCTTCAGACTCTCCCATCAACAACCAGCAATTTATCAACTTTCGAGGAACGACAAAGACAAGCCATCGTCGGAATCCCCTGATATCGCAACTCTCTCGACCGGCCCGCGTCTGTGGTGGACTATTTTGCTCTCGACGGGCGTTAAATGGTTCATTGACCAGGGTCACAATGCAGAAGTGCCGCGCCGTGCAGAGCGCCCTGAGCTCCAAGGCCGCCCTCCCAATATCGACTCCCGTGCGAGCTCAACCTCACATCCAGCGCAGGAACATACAGGATGTTTTCATTACCCGGACCGGATCTCCAATTATAAAGGTGCAGGGCGGACGGTATGTATTTTCTAGGCCTAGTGTGGCGCCAATGGCAACGGAGGGAAGGGGGGCACTTTCGCTAATGTCGGAATCGTCACTAGGTCGTCTCTCGGAGGTATGCTTGCGAACATCATATATGCAATTGGCGGTCCATAGATACTAAAAATCATATCTATTTCCAGGACACACTGCTACCGTTTTCGGCGCAACCGGTTTCTTGGGTCGTTATATCGTGAACAGACTTGGTATGGGAAACCGCATTACGCCTGGATGGGATGGATTGGCTGATATTGGTATTTCACAGCACGTCAAGGATGCACCGTTATTGTCCCCTACCGAGAGGAGATGACCAAACGACACCTAAAGGTTACTGGAGATCTGGGCAGAGTTGTTTTCATGGTATGCATGCGAAATACTACGATTGGTATACACTTTTTGCTGAACAACAGTAACAGGAATATGACCTCCGCAACACCCAATCGATCGAGGAGAGCGTACGCCATTCTGACATTGTCTACAATCTAATCGGCCGAAACTATCCCACGAAGTAAGAATCCCCAGTGCGCTGAACTAACATTACCACGACATTAATAACCTGGTATAGGAACTTCTCTTACGAGGATATCCATGTTGAAGGAACAGAACGAATTGTGGAATCCGTTGCCAAATATGACGTTGACCGATACGTCCATGTTTCCTCCTATAACGCTAGTCTTGACTCCCCTTCGGAATTCTTCAGGACCAAGGCTCAAGGTGAAAACGTTGCAAGATCCATTTTTCTCCGAGACCACTATCGTCAGACCAGCCCCGATGTTCGGATTTGAGGACAGGCTTCTGCACAGACTTGCCGGAGTTACCAACATCTTCACTTCCAATCACATGCAGGAGCGATACTGGCCAGTTCACGTAAGTTTCCCTCTAGCATATTAACAGAATCCCATTTCTGACTGGGTCATAGGCTATTGATGTTGGTCGGGCTCTTGAAATTATGCTCATGGAAGAATGGACCACTGCCCAGACCTTCGAGCTCTACGGTCCCAAGAACTACTCTACCAAGGAGATTTCCGAGCTTGTTGACCGTGAAATCATCAAGAAGCGCCGACACATCAACGTTCCAAAAGCTATCATGAAGCCTGCTGCTTACTGGTTGAACAGACTCCTCTGGTGGCCCATCACATCTGCTGATGAAGTTGAACGGGAATTCATTGACCAGCAAATCGACCCGACCGCGAAGACCTTCAAGGACTTGGGAATTGAACCGACTGATCTCAACACCCTTACTTTCCACTACTTGGTATGCATTTTACAGCCGTCCATACTCCTTGAGATTCTCACTAACTTCTCAATTACAGCTTGGATACAGAAGCTCCCAGTACGCAGATCTACCGCCAGCTACCGAGCGGGAGCTCAGGGAGGAGAGAAAATACCTCCATGTTCTGGACTCTCAATAAACTGGTATTATACCATAGTTCTTCTTGCATTTTTAGATCTTGTATGTATGTACACACAGTGTTTTTCCGACGCCCTCAAATTTCTTTATCTTGTAACTTGCACATTCCAGTTAGTTCATGCACGGGTCACAAATGGCACCCCTCTAGTAGACTATGGCTTCCAAGTCCTTGCGTTCTTCCCTAAATGCTCATCTCCATCCCACCTGAGAACCGGTCAATGGTCGCAGGCTATCTACTACAAATATGGACCTAACTCGCTGAGGCCCGGCGTTTATCGCTTATTACGTGCTGAGCTCTTCCATCAGCATGTATTCGCAGGGCGTAGCTCCCTTGGGCTTGAGAAGAGCAGCATCATCAAGGCTTTCGTCTGCATCAACAGCCGGCCTCTACTGCCTATATCCAGACAAATAACCGATGGAATCCATGGGCACCCAAGGTTTAGCTAAAGGCCCCGGTTATCTCTATCAATCTTCCCAGTCCAGCTTGAAAGCACCAACCCAACTTTAATCCTTTCACCCAAAACCTTCATTGAGATATACTCCTAGCCATACAGATGCAGTGCCATCCGAGTGACCGTCCTTTAGACAGCGAACTCGATGTTCTTTTTTAAAGAGGTGCTAAGGATGAGGATACCTGTTGTGCCATTTGTGGTGTTCCAATAATTGTGGTGAGTTGGATTTTATAATTTTATATCAGTATCATAACTATGTTGTTCCATTTGCTACTACTAATCTATCCCATGCAATTATAAACGCTCCCAGCGAACTTAGAGAAAAGAATTACAGAAGATACGAGTGGTGGACTCCATGCGCAATCCATGCTGAGGACAAAGAGTATGATTCTGTACCTGGTGGGAATGTCTGGATTGGCCGACCTGGTCACGACGTACCGGTAGAGGTATACGGTGCAGATGGTTTAGCTACCCTTTTCTATACTGTAACCCCAATGATAACGACTGGTTGCCCAATAAATAAAGGCCTGATTGAGTCTGTTAGATCTCGAAGTTGAGGATATCAATCGCGGACCGTCATAGCAGACGAAACTAGTGAATTATACCCTACAGGGTAAGGCATATATTGGGCTTCACCCAAAATGTCTAGACATGATGCAACGCCTAAGTTCTTACCGAACTACGCTTCGTCACCGGGGAGTGGCTATAACAGGGCCAAGAACCCTCAGCCAATTCTATGAGGTGTTACAAAACAGGGTATGCGCATCGAAAAATCGTGCTCTACAATATTCGGTTACCATTCGCAAGCCATTGGAGTCACACTTTTACTACTTTAGACGAGCTTGCATTTGTGAAGCGCGATGGCCAATTGGTATTCCAGAAGTCTTGGTATGCCTCTCGGTTCCCACTCTCAGGTTGATTTCTCATGCTTATTTTCAATCCGCAGGAATATGAAGTAGAACCATACCCTATACAAAACCTTACGTCTGAAATTCTGAGATATCTTCAGCCTCTTCCTGAAGGCCACCGGTCTGGCTTCTCTGAGAAGTCCATATTGATGAAGAAGCTTCCAGCGGAGATAATTAAGCACATCTGCCTCCATCTCCACCCGTTTGCTGACCCTGGGGTGATATGCACCTACGAATTGTCACCAAGTATTTGGCGTGATCTTCTATTCCGTCAACAGCTTCTTCCATGGCTCTGGGATCTAGATCCAGCCATCCTCGAAAGCCAGCCATTACAACATAGTAACGGCCAACCTTCATACTCTAAAGATAACTTCTGGGACTGGGAGCAACTCGTCCGGGAGCTTGCTCAAGTACAGGCCTTCGAGCCAGGAAATTCGTTAGAAAATGCTCCACTACGCTTAAGAAACCGAAAATGGATATGGAGGCTGTTAGATGAAGGCAGACGTTTTGATATAGAGGATTGGATATGGGATGGAAAGTACCAGAAAGAGCTTGACCTGTTTTACGAAAGTTGCGAGGCATCCGGTTTGATATTAGCAAGGGATGAAGATCTCAATGTGCTTAGTGGTCGCCCACGTAGATAGCAAGGAACTCGAGGTTTAATAAGAAGACTCAATCTGTCTCTATTCACAGCATTTTGAACCTGAAAACTTACAATTGGAAATTGATGATTCTAACCCTGTACCTCCTTTTTCAGCCTCGGCAATTCTGGCTCAAGAGTAGCAAGCATCTTTCGATGTGCTTCTTTCTCAGGCTGTGTAAGTATTCTTGATTTTTGTCCTAGTGTCAATACTCGGTCACTTGCTATTACCATTTCGCCCGACAACATCTGCATCAGGGACTTGTGATACCACTGGAACGCAGTCGGAGTCCGTTTTGCTATACTACCTTGGCATCTGTTGACTTTTTGGTAGTGTATTGGATATGGCGTATGCGATGTACTGAGTTGCACCTGTATATTCAGGAGCTAATGTGCTATTCCCTTTAGCGAATGTACAACTGCCAATATTTGTAACAGTTTCAGCCACACCACGTTTGTGGAGAGAAACATAGGATGGCTGAGATAAATCTCGAGCTATAGTATTATCCTGGGCGATTATCCCGGGGCCATGGATGGCTTTCCCTATCAAGCAAGGGGCACAGCCATTGTAAGGATCCACATTAGGAGGAATGGTAACAGGAGGGGTAACATGTGGGCATTCATCACTGCTCATCGATGTGATAGTAGTTGTTGTCCCTTTTGGTTCACAGCTAATGGTCGGGACACAGGCCGTCGATGTGCAAGGAGTCATTATTACCATGGCCATATCAGTTGCAACAGTGCAATATTCTGCACATATTGAGGCTGTTTGTCTCACAATGCATGAAGCCGTTGACGTAGGCTTATTGTCACCGTGTCTGTCTCCATCCTTGTCTCCGCCTTGAGAGCCTCCAGATACAGAACAGCAGCAGCCAGCCCCCGTACAGCCGTCGATCCCACCACCACCTCTGCTGCCGCCGCTGTTTCGCCCAGGGATATTACAGCCCAATCCGATACAGCCAATACATCCGAAGCCGTTGCACACGCTGGCTAGTCCGAAGCAAGGGCAGCCTGGGCCCTTGCACCCAGCACACCGTCAACCTTTACAACCGCGTTCAGAGCCGGCACATATACAGTCCAAGCCAAGCAGCTGCTACATTGTATCCTAGTGCATCTACCGTTATAGCGATCTCTGCCGGTACAACTTTGACAGTCAAAGCCGATACAATGTCCATTATGGCAGTCTTTGCCTTTGCAGCCGTCCCAGCCAGTGCTGTCATCGCCGGCACAGTGGCCATCCGTACAGTCAGGACCATTACAGGTTTGTTCATGGCAATTTGGGCCGTTACAGACCCCATTGTCATCACAGTCCAAACAGGCGCAGCCGAGACTAATGCATTTATCTCCGTGACTCTGTCTGTTTTTGTTACAATCTGAGCCCACACAGCCAGATGTCACACAGCCGTCACTAGTGCAAACACCATTGATGCATCCAAGGCCCAATGTATCCCCGGACGATACAGTCAGGACCGGCGCAAACACCATCAAGGCAATCAGACCCGCGGCCGCCAAAGGAAACGCAAAAAAGCCCAGTGCAAACACCCATCTTGCAGTCAGGGCCTTTGCACTAGCCATTGGTGCTGATAAGCCAGGGGTCTGCTAGAGTTGGTAGGAACCGGTCCATCCGGGCCTGTTGGGGTCGAATCTTCGCTGCCGCCTCCGCCGCCCCCAGGGAACTTGGGGCCGCTTCCAGCTGGACACCATTCAGGTGGGGGTGGACATCTTTTCTGTGCTGGAGAAGGCCTGGGAGAAGGGTCAAGCACGCATTTTCCTTTCGCAAACTCGGCATTGCCGTTGTATGCGCTAACACACCAGTCGTAATTCCAAGTTCCCGGGAAGAGGGGATATTGGTCGCTGCAGGTCATCTCAACAGTATTATTTTGTGCCTGCGATATGTTGTCTGGCTTGTTGACATTGTGTGACCATAGCCGATACCCTGCGGCGTTGGGAGAGGCAGCCCAGGTTAGTTCAACCGTAGTTGGGTAGTTAGCATATATCTCTAGGCCAGAAGATGGCGGTGGTGTCCCCCTGCCGACCATAACGCTGCTCACGATTTTAGGAAATTCTCCACCAGCAGCATTCCAAGTAATTGGCGCTACAAGATAGCGATGTCCAGGTACAAGGCACTTGATACGTGCAGGGGAGCTGAGGAAGCCTGCACTCGTAATAAATGCACATTCTTCATCCTTGTCCCAGTACAAGATCTCATACTGGGTAATTGAATCCGTGTAAGGTCCAGTAGGAGGGTCCCACGAGACATCAAAGCCAGTTGATGTAGTCCCAAGAAGCACAGCAGCCGGGCCGTTCTAGGGGTTGATTTTGCAAAAACACCGCCGTCCAGTAAATTGTAATGGTATCTCCAGCACTAGCTCGAAGCCTGACATCATATACCCAGCCATCTTAAGTTCAATGGACATCCCACCGACTGGTACAGACGCTCCCAGTGGAGAATTGTGTGACCCCCGAAATGCGAGACTCGACATCTTAGCTGTGTGCATCGTATACTAATTGGCAGAACTCGTTAGTTAAATAACTAGTTAGCCAATCAGCGTATTGGAAAATGGACAACCACGTCCCATGTAGCTGTCTGTCAAATTGAGAGAAGCAGATAAGTGCCTAAACGACCTGAGCGGCAGCGGCGCATCGTATAGTTATCCGAGACGCTGGCCAACCTACGCGGGCCGGCTCCAACATATAATTAATTATCTATCTGACACTAGTTAATGATTTTGTGGCTGCTCAACATCTTGAAAGATAACAAAATGCTCACGAATATCTCAACATCTCTTTCTGTAACTCAGTATGCGTTCCAGAGCATACTATTCATTATCGCGCCCTTATAGTCTCTGTCTGCCATATTTGATACTGCAAAGGCTCGTTCCTTGTGTCAGGATGTCAACTGCTACAAGTCGGTTGTATGAATGTACCACCGATGTCGAGGATCCAAACGGTTATCACACGGGACGATACTTTCCAGTGATATTGGGGAATGAGTTCAAGGGCGGTAGATACCGTGTTCTGCATAAGCTTGGATGGGGTGGATTCGCAACTGTCTGGCTGGCGAGAGATAACCTGTATAGTTGGCTCCGTCTTCGTAACGGGAATGACAGAGCCGGAACTAAATGACAAATAGGACCTGCTCCAATGTGGCCGTGAAGATTATCAATATGAACGATAGCTCCCAAGAGTTCAAAGTTCTACACCACCTTCAACATTCCAGCGTTACCCAGGCAAATGTTGACCACCCAGGCCGTGCTTCAGTGCTCCAGCTCCTTGACCAACTTTGGTTTAAAGAGCATAGGGCAAAGGAAACAAGGGCTCCTGATTTCAAGTAACTAAGCTACATAGATGAAGGCTGGAAGCCAGCGAATTCGTCTACTTGTAACGAATGCAGTAGATGTTGCAAAGATAACCAGACACCTCTCATTGAATGTCCATGTATCCATGACCTCGATCACTCAATTTGCTCTCCAGGCTCGCCATCCGTCACCTTTTCTGGTCTCTCGTCGAAAATTGCGAATGACTCGTACTCCTCTCCCTTGTCGTCTTTTGAGTAAATATGGACCGGCCGAACTGTTCCTTTGGCTATCATTTCTGCCGTTTTTATATGCAGGGTGATATGGTGCCGAGGGTCAGTGTGGCTAGTATGCACCGTGTTCCTTCATACTGTCAGCTCTCTATATATCACAGCATTACGCTGGTGTTGATGGCAGTGGGTGTGCTAGCCATCGTTCACAGAGATGATGAGGTCCATCGATCCCGAAGAGGCCTGCTAATACACGGGATACAATGAATACATAGCTATTGAAAATATCTATATATCATCATGTAGCTTATATGAAGTAGATATCTGGCATTGTTTAGCGGCTTCCGAGGTAACTACCGCGGTCAAGCTTATTACATTAGCCTAACTAATATCTTCTTACCAAACATTGATCTTTATTGCAAGTTAATTACTTATGTATCCGCCAGTTTTTAATCATGTCTCTATTACCTGTTACCAAAGAGATCCCGATATATTTCCTTAAAACAAAATCAATTCCTCATGATGGCTACGAGGAGTACTTTTCGCCGTCCAAAGGCTTCAAGCCGTGTTTTATCCCGGTCTTGGAACACAAATTCAACCACAATAACCTACAAAAGGTGAAAGACTTGATCCTCTCGGGTGCCGTGGCTAAACAGTATGGCGGAATAATATTCACTAGCCAGAGAGCAGTTGAAGGATTCTCTCGGATGGTACAGGATGAGGTAGGGAGTAAGTGCCGGCCGTCTACGCTGCTGAATATAGGACATGGCGGCTAACAGAGTGTCTCTCGCCCGTTATTAGAAAACCACACCGTAACCCTCTCTCACTCTCTGTCGTTTTACTCCGTGGGCCCAGCAACATATAGGTCTCTCAAGTCACTGTGCGATGTCTACTTCCCACATTCGCAGGTTATGGGCGAAGAGGCAGGCACTGGAGAGAAGCTATCTGGCTTAATTCTCGCCCATTATAACGGTCTACAGCGGAATACATCAGATGAAAATGGGCCTTCGGGAGGTATAAGGGAAAAGCTACCTCTTCTTTTCCTTGTTGGCGAACAGCATCGTGATATAATACCGAAGACACTCATGTCGCCGTCTCTAGACGAAGAAGAGCGCATCGGAGTTGCTACGATGGTTGTCTATGAGACCGGAGTCATGGAGAGCTTTGGGCAGGATTTTGTAGCAGCTCTCGAGATGAAGGAACGGGCTGATAATGCCAATATATCTGCGGGAAATACCAGTCCGCATAAACAGTTAATATGGATTGTGGTATTCTCACCTTCAGGGTGTAAGGTAATGCTGCAACATTTAGGACTCCTAGAGGAAGATCAACCAGAAGAACATACGTCTTCAGTACAGGCCCCTGGAAAGAAGAGGACACCGAGCAGGTGGTCAAGGTTTGACTATCGAATTGCAACCATTGGGCCGACTACGAGGGACCATTTGGTCTCCAATTTTGGGGTCCAACCGGACGTATGTGCTGAGAAGCCTTCCCCTGGCGGTCTGTGGGAGGGAATTGAACCTGTCATAGAAGAGTGGAAAAGGTCTAGAGAGCAAGACAGATGACCTACCCAGGCATCATCAAATATAGATCATTCATATCCGAAAACTCATTCATTAAATGCTGGAATTAAAATCAAAGTCAAAGACAGTGTAACATTATGTGGCTATGGAAGATGATATCTCAAAACAGCATCACCGACAAACTATCTATAAAACGAGGCACTAATCAAAATTCCAAAGCATATAGACATTGATTCAAGACTGCAATGATATAGGCTACTGTCAAAGATAGCAGATTTCCCTAGGCCCAGCCATTTGTACCTTGAAGCACACACTGCGTGTGGTTTCCACATTCTTTTTTCAATATTTGTAGAAAGAAAAAATGGGAAATAGAGAACAGGCGGTGGAGAGATTGTTAGTTAGATATCACAAGTAGGAAATGGGAACGAAATGTTAAAAGTGGAAATAAAAAGGAACTCTAACGCATGATTTCTTCGAATATAAGGACTATATTCATATAACGTTAGTTGACTGTAAGGAATAATAGGCGGCAGAGGAGATTCAACGTACGTTTGAGCTGCTCCTTGCTCAGTGTGTCCTTATCCTTATCAAAATCGAAGAACTCCTCTGGGATGGGATCTGCAGAGGGTTCATCCTCTGGGTCATGGTAGGGTTCCAGGTAAGGGTGACGCAGTGCTTCTTCAACTGTGATGCGCTTGACAGGGTTAAATGCAAGAAGTTTCTCCAATAGATCTAATGCCAGATCAGAAGTCCTGGGGAATATGGCTTTCAGCGCAATCTTCTTCTTGAATGGTAGGGAGCGAATATATTCTCGTGCACGGCGGGATTTAATTCCGTAATAATCCTCCATCGTTGGCGTTCCAAGGATGTCCAAAATGAGGGTTAATTGGTGGTGGTCTAAACATTATTATTAGCCAATGCAATAAGGGGGGTTTAAGTTAGGTATTGGGAGATAGAGCAAGCATACAGTCCTTTCCGGGGAAGAGGGGTTTGCCGCTGAGCATTTCAGCAAGAATGCAGCCCACGCTCCAAACATCGATGGCTTTGGTGTATTCTTTGAATGTTAACATAATTTCTGGAGCGCGGTACCAACGGGTTGCAACATATTCAGTCATGAAACCAGAGTTGTCGTCTGTCGAGGCAGCAGAGCGAGCAAGTCCAAAGTCGCAAACTTTCAGGTCGCAGTTTGCATTGAGGAGCAAGTTGGACGGTTTCAAATCGCGGTGGAGCACGTTGGCAGAGTGCATGGCCTTGAGCGCTCTTAGAGTCTGATAGATGAAGTATTGGCAGTGGTCGTCAGAAAGGTCTTGGGTACGGATGACTCGGTGCATGTCAGTTTCCATCAATTCCTGCGACAGTGTGTTAATACGGTTCATGCAACGATAATTCCATATGAAATAACTCGTACCTGAATAAGGTAGACTTCGGTGAAGCTCTCAAAGTTGCGGGGTTTCTGAATATCAAGGATGGATATAATGTTTTCGTGGTTGAAATATCTAAGTAGTTTCATCTCTCGTAGAGTGCGAAGACAGAACATGGAGTGGTCGAAAGGTGTGATCTTCTTGATAGCAACTTTCTGACCCGATGGCTTGTGCACAGCAGAGCTAGATATGGGAGCAATTAGACACGGTTATTAACATATTGAACGGTGGGAGAGTTTGAGAATTACCAGACAATTCCGTACGCTCCCTCGCCTATCACATCCTGGATATCATACTGGTCAGAGACGTTGAAGGATATCTTCCTCGAGCCCCCGTTGGGAGCTGGTTGAACCATGGTGTCTCTGCGTCAAGAATAACAAAAGGTCCTCCTGGATATCGGCTGATAGTGGCAGGTATGAAACAAAGCTATCTGGCGAAGACAGACATTAGAGAACGGTTTCAGGACGAGTTAAAGTATGCGAGAGAGAAATTCTTCGGGTCTATGGCTCGGAGGAGGAACGAGAAGTGAGGAGAAGAGGGGAACGATCTGTAATGAGAGGCCCATATATCAGCATTCAAGTGGTCTCATCAATAAGGGGCTTCCTATTCATTTGCGCCTGAATAACACCACCGGGGCAAGCTTGAAACCGCGAGGAACTCCAGCGTCACTTACATCTGAGAGTATAGCTGTGTCGGCTGTCTCCCCTCCCTATTTACGCCCTCAACCGCCCAGTGCGACCGGGACCGGGCTGTCCTTCGAGTATTGAATAGGAGAGATAGGCACCGTGACGTACCGTGTGGCCTAACGCGGGGCGAGCAGCTATAGTCGGCCTTTTAACCCTGATTTCTCCTCCAAATAGACCGTTCTACTCCAACGATCGAGCAGACAGACGAGACGACTACCGGCTTGATTCACACGTTGCTGCTTGGTTTCCGGTCGTTCTGCGAGTTCGCTGGCAGGCCGTTCAGTCAACTAACTAGCTGGTGGGATAGGCAGTGGTTAGACCTCGACTCGACTCTAGAGGCAACACAAGGTTGCGGCAACACGGATGACCACGACAACGACGGGGAAAAAAAAAAAAAAAGACAGCTCACAGGCAGTCGATGCGAAGCGCAACGGAAGCACAGCACGGCGCTGTTTATCCTGCCGACAATCTGCCTAGGGACGGGCCAGGGAGGACGACGGGGGGCTGCTTTTGTTCGCCCAAGATGTGATGAAATGTGATGGACTGAGGGGTAACTAAAGCTTACAATGCACGGAGTAACTCGCAAGACAGCGGAGAGGCGCAGGAGGAGGGCAGAGAGACGCCGCGAGGACTCGAGCTCGTTCGGTCAAGGGCAGCGAAGGGCGAGGACGGCGACGGGAATCGAGAGAGACGGCCGTCTGTTGCTATATCAACAATCGTTGACCCGGTCGACTAATAAACTGGCCCCTCGCTGTGAAACCGGCGGCTAAAAGGCGCTTTCTCAAACGCCAGCAATATCCCGGTCGAAAAAAAAGGGGGCCGGCGGTTACATGTCGACAACTCCCCAGCCAGCCAGCCAGCCGGAGGCGCAGCATGCGATGCAGTGACAAAGGACGGGGCCGTCAGGCTGCTTGCTGGCCGTTTTTCTATTCGGCGCACGCAGATTAGCTATCTATAGGACGGTCACCAGTTACTCGGTGCTGCTGGGACGAACACATGCTGGCCCAGCCCAGGATGAGTATCTCCCAGTGATATCCAGGCTGCGTCGTCCCCAGAGCTCATATTTCAACATGCTATTCGCCCGCTATTCATACAGATCGTTCGTCGAGAGAGCTGTTCTTTAGCGCCCCGGTGACGTCTGCCCCTGCTATCGAGTGCTGCTCTCGGAATAGTGTCTGCGTCGAAGCGGGATCAGCCTGCTTCCTGGCCTAAAGCAAGTCGTGGAGATCTCAGCTTGCGTTATCCGTGATAATGATACTTGAACATAATGATTACGATATCCATTGAGGCCTTCGGTCTGGAATAAAAGTTACCATATACCGGGTTCAGGTGGTTATATCCAGGAGCAATCCGGTGATACCTTATGTACAAATATACATATATACTTGGGTCCGAACAGATATAAACGTGCGAGCAACGTGAAGGCGACATGAAGAACAACAGTCTAGGATCAAGGACTCCAGGGGAAATGGACGAAGGATATACCTGGCTGGAAATACTCTGTAGCATGGTAGAAGCCTCCCAGGCCAACAATTATATTCAGCTGATCATACAACTAAACGAGCATGCTATATATTTTGAGATCTCTTCTTCTTTAGCAGTTATACATTTATTATTACCTTTGAGGCGATATTCAATGATAAACAGCTATCAAAAGTTCAGAGGCTGGATGTACCAAAGAAGATCTTATATTTAGTTTTGTTTGGATACTAAGCCTCGCATATTATGTATCTGGCGTTAACGATGAAAAATAGCGAAGACACACAAAAAAAGACAGTCAAAACCAACCCGTCTAGTACTGAGATGCATTTACTGAATGACCTATGAAAGAAAAAAAAAAGGGAGGTAGATGTTAGCTGCATAGCCAGATTCTTAAAAAGAAGACAGAGGGAGGCTTACCTTCTCTCGCAACAAGCCCATCCACTGCTGCAGACTGACGCTCTGGTCTGCGCGGTCCTCTACCATCATAGACTGTGCCCATAGTCTTAGTCCGGGCTCGCCGTCTTCTTTCACTACGTAGAGATGGGGTGAGATAATGCTTCCTACACCTCGCGACAACTTGTCTCGGCTCTTGCTGATGACTGCCCTGACACGCTCGTTGAAGTCATTCTCAGTCTCCGGCAGGACCTGTTTGCCTACTCGGAGAAGAGACTTGTCACTGAGCCCGAATACATCGTTGATAAGCTGTGGTACGGCATCGCGACCGATCCATAGGAACTGAGTCTGGCCGTCGTCAATCAGATACATGCCATGCGGCACAAGACGTTCGGATGAAAGGTTAGTTAAAGGCGGGAGCACGATTTTTCCTGTTTCTGGGTGAGGGATGCCGGCGTCATCGGGCATGTCGTGGAGAGAGTACATCTTGGGGTAAATGTACTGGATGAGGAGAGGAAGCGGTAGAGTAGAGAGGAGGCAGAGAGCAGCAGATCGCATGTCGGTAGGTATTTGAGCGGATTTTCGGAGACCAAGCTAGACGCCGTCTGTTAGCATGACGATATACCGTCAGCGCATAAAGGGGTAGCGAATCTACTTACGTTCTTCATCATTGCCAAAAATAAGATTGGTAGTCCACGTAGGTTAGCAGGGAACTGCAGACCACCACCGCCCACACTGCCACCAGCCAGCTCCTTTCTATACGTAGAGAGTAGCTCTATGATCTTAGCCTGTAGGGCATCCCTGGCTGCGTCAAGGCCACCTCCGAGAGTACGCTCAACAGCCTTATGACTGAAGAAAGTAGCAATAGCACACTGATCAGCGGAAGCGTATACATCAGCCAGATTCTGAGTAGTTGGCAGAGCCAAAGTTAGGACCCTGATTCTTCGTTCACCATTGCAAGTGGTGTGCAAGACGGCAGTCTGCAGACATACGACGGGTTTGGTGACGGTTTCATCAATGGCAACCTCTATGACATAGGCCTGATCACGGGGGAAAGCAGGAAAAGCACAGAGATCCGAACTTCTGTTAAAGAAATTGCCGTAAAATGTGTTCATCCGTAAGCCAGTGGTAGCACGGACACGAAGGACAGCCTCGAGGCCAATTTCAGATGACAGGTAGTCAGAGAACTCCTTGGCAAATTTGATGGCATCTTCGCTCCTGGCGGCATTCCAGCCAGGGTAAAAGTATGTCTGACCGCCAGTGTATCTGGGCAGGTTGCTGAGAGAGGCCACGTCTTGGTATTGGGAGGAGAACAAGAACATATCCACGGATATCTGCTGTTTGGAGCATTCGACAGCAAAGCTCTTGTAAAAGCTGTTACCAGTTTGCAGCAAGCTGCTTTCCTTACTCGTGCCAAGGACCTTCTTATCTTCTCTCATCTCCAAGCTGCCAAATCCCATGTTCGGTAATGAGGCAGTCAAAACGGTAAGCTTGCCACCGACAGGTCCGATGAGCTGGTGGCCCGCTCTAAGCGCAGATCCCATAGCAGATCCAGGGTTTTGGGTATTCTGGAACATCTCTTGTAGTTTGTCTAGGAAGCTCTCGATGTTTTCGCGGGATTCAGCCAAAGTTATCAAAAGATCGCCGGGAATGGGCATGAAAGGTTCATCCAAGTCGCTAACAACTAACATATTAGGCTCAGAGCTCTCCGATCCATCGCGGGGTATGGTGAAGTAATGGAGACTAGAATCAACTGCAATAAAACCGACTCTGGTTCTGCGATCGGCATTTGGTATCCGGTCGAGGCTTTCCCGAATGCAGCGTGCGGCGGTAGCCAGCAATCCACTGGTAACTGATGCATAACTGACATCAATTAGGAAGAGATAGACAAGTGGTTGTGGTGGTCGGACCATGTATTCCTGTGGAGCAACGAATTCTACAACAGAGTGGTTGAGGTCTGGTCGCTGCCATCGGTCCAGTGCCTTTTGTGCTGCAGCATCCCAATCAAACGCCTGTGGTACGTCATTCGTTAAGCTGCACATGTTACATCTCCAACGGTGGCCATGGTCGAGGAAGGTAACGAAAGGGTTGATATATGAACGACAACGCCGACATCGAGAGATGACCTGATCCGACACAACTGGAATTTCATCCTCGGAGTCGTGAAGAGAGGCGTATGGCTGAACAACAAGGGCGAAAGGCAGACGTGATTTCTTCAGGAGAGAGTTGGTCGTTGGTACAGCATTGAGAGTAGATCGAACGTATTTTGCGGGACAGTTTGCGTACACAGAAGGTGTCACGCTTGTCTAAGAGTATGCCAAGTTAAACTCGAGTGCTCTCATTGTAGTACAAAGCATGAAATCTTCAACTTACGTTTGGGGGTAGAACAATTGGAGGTGGAGGGTAGTCGAGTTCGGCAACATTGAATGGATGTGTGAGTAGGTCGGTTGGGTAAAGCTGATTGAGCTGCATCTGCCGCTGCATTCCAGGTTGCGGCTGTTGCTGGTCTCCCATGCTCATTTGTCCCATCTGCTGCGTTATCTGTGCCATACCAGGGCCCGGCTGAGGCGGATATGAGGGAGCAGGTGCCTGGTAGCCCGCATCTGGGCCAGGATATTGTGCAGCCGGCACCGGAGCTTGTTGTTGGATAGGATACGTTCCCTGGGGATAACCCTGTGGCTGTTGAATGCCTGGATATCCATACCCTTCAGTTCCCACTCCCGGCTGGTTCAGGGCAGCATTGGCACCAACACCGAAGTCGAATGCTTGGTTGGCGTATGCACGTTTCTTTCGGCCATGGGAGTGTGTAGGAGCAGGCGCGCTATCATGTGGAGGCGCATTGGGTGCTCCAGGAGCGCCTAAAACAGTGTGAGTTGGAAGATTTTGTGCTGGGGGGGATGTTGTGTGTCTGGTGTTGCTGACCGTAGCCCTCTTGACCTGGAGGCGGGTAGTTTCCCTGCGGAGCTGCCATTTAAACTGCTAGACGGGCTCCCTTAACCTCTGGCGGCGCAGACAGGTTTGTGACAAGTGTAAGAAGACCTGGAGTGGCGGGACGGAGGAGGTCTGAAGCCAGGCAGTTCGTTAGCAAGGGCCCGTTGGCGGTCAATCGTCATTGCAGGAGGGGCTTGTCTAGTAGCCTACTGTTGCTGCGTATTGCTTTTTCTTCACAGAGCGAACATCAGGGACGGTATATCCTTGAGATAGCAGACGGTGTTCAACAAGGTCAAGCTGCCGTTAGCCTCTTGGACAAGCTGTGCTGCGAGTGCGAAGTTCGTGGCGAGTCGTGATCCTGCTGTTGGCCCGTGGAGCATCGAAGTTTGGATGTTTTTCTTTGGGGTCACGGTGGCCTTCTGCTGCCAGCCAATCACAGCGCAGAGCTCGCCGTCTCCGGCCCCATCGCCAAAGTTGATAGACACGACGGCGGCAGAAGTCGACAGGATGAGGATGAGGATGAGGATGATGAACAAGAGATAGTGAATAAGTAACAGGCTATGCCATTTAAACGAAATATAAGATATACCAGATGCCACAAAACGCCGCCGCTAAATGCAAGCTATTTCAAAACTCAACATGACCAGGAACAACAACGCCCCCCTTTTTCAAGCAATGACAATGCCATTTCTCATATTTTCCACCGTCTTTATGCCTACTCCCTTCATCTTCTCGAGATCAGCAAGGCTGTGAAGCTGGATGTGACCTTCAGACCCGCCGTCCATGTCACATAGACGGTCGACAATGCACTCAGCCTTCTTAACCCCTACTCCACGCAGCAATTTGATCTGATCAATATCTCGAGTATTGATCACCGACAAGATATGTGAAGAGCGAGGTGACAATCCTCCCCCTTCTTTCCCTTTTCCGTTACCTGGTAATGTCTCCGGAACCAATGAAGAGCCCTTGGTGCGTATCTGTCTAGGCTTCTGGTGAGGAGCATCAGTTGTAGACGCTTGGTCATAATCACCCTCACAAGGCTCTTCCCCATTCTCTCCAGGATTCTCAGACTGCTCCTGGGGCTCCGCTGTGATCTTCTTTCCTGCTGCTTTTTTACACCGGAGTGCCTCAATCTTAAGAGCTAGTTTGGCATTTTTCGGGAAGAATGGCTGGGCAAGTTCATACATTATCAGAGCCGATGAATATTCGCCTCGAGCCTGATGTTGTTTGGCCATAAGGAGATATGAAAGCCCATCAGCCCTGGAGTCCTCAGTCTCGTCGATCCGCTGTTCCAGGAGCTCGAGTCGGCGCTGCACTTGCTTGTTCAACTCTTTGGACCGGGTTTCAAAGTCATCCGGCTGGCGAGCTGAGAGCACTTCTCTTACTTTCTTCTCAACCAGCTCTTCAAACTTTGCAGCTGACATGCTGCTCATACCATGCTGTGGCCTCTCCTCTGTTCGAGCCATCTTGAACGGTCTGGGGGCTGGCTGAAGGCCATTTCCGGATCTTCTCTTCAAAGGCGACTTTCGTTGAGCAGCCTCAGAGGCTCCGGGTTTGGTGGAACTCTTCGAATGTGACATGTCGGTATAGACCGCAAAGGCCTTGGCTGGCTTTCTGTCCGATGGCTTTCGGGCTTCAGCTGTCACAGCAGCGATGTTTGTATTTACTGATGCAGCAAGGGGCCGCAAGGGCTGCCTCCTCACACCAGGGCCGGTGACACGGCCTGCTACAGGCCGAGGTGGCCCCTTGAACATGGGCTCATTCTCAATCTCCCGCGACTCAATCTTCTTTGTCCTGTTGGCAAAGTTGAGTGAGCTCAGAGTGTCAAGATGGAACGACCGAACAGGGGCAAGGTTCAAGATCATTATGGTAAGGCCATTATTCTGGCCTAACCCCAGAATTCTAGTCATTTTAGACTCCCTATATGGCACTCTGGCCTGCTTCTTGTTGATGGCTTCGACGCACTGTGCCAGCACAAACAGACTTCTGTTGATGCTTGCAGATTCTACCATCCTCTCCTTACCATTTTCCGTACGGCGGTTATCTTCAGAACCTGCAAGGTCAATGCATGATGCAGTGCTAATTCGTGTCTGCTGCTCTGTTGTCACCGTCAGCTTTACAGAAAGCACTGCATGAGACCTGGATGAATGCGCATTGAGCTGCCAAACACGTCAATACTAGTCCTCTTATCATAACTTAGCACCCCATCGGTTAGAGCGTTATATCTCACCTTTGTAGCAGAAGTCGACCTGTTCATGTTTGCCTGGTCGTATATAACTTCAAACTCCTTTAAGCTGGTGCAAGGCCGCTCAGTCAAGCCAACAACGGTAGTCTTGACCCCGTTATCTCTCAACGGCAGTCCAGCCGGCGTCCTCTTTTCCACCGGTTCAAAAAGATCGAATATCTTGTCATTATATATCTCATAATAGCTCATAGCGACTTCGACCTTCGTTTGTCCTTTAGAATCTCGCTCAATCTTGCGGCATCGTCTATAGATCCCGCTCAGCAGTCGAGGAATCACGCCACGGTCCGCCAGGCTCTTCCCTCCTCGCATTGTATGCGTCTTCCCGGTTCCCGTAACACCGTATGCGAAGAGAGTAATATCAAACCCATTGAAGAGGTGTTTGAGAGTAGGCGCCACTGCAGGTAACAAGTTCACAAGGATAAGCAGTCCATTCTAGTCCTCCTTTTCTTGATGATGTATTATATACAGTTAAAAACTGCAGCAAAATGGAAATTCCCGCTGGAAATAGGAATCAGAAAAGAAAATATATCAACTGACCTTCTGCATCAAATATCTCCTGCTGGGTTGCAGTGCCATCATATACCGAGTGGAACTTGAAGCTGAAGTCCTCCCCTTCGTTCCTGGGATTCGGTATTTTGACTACCGTAGCTTTCGTCGACGATATATCCACATCATCTCCCTTCCCATTCTTTACTTTTTTGGCCTTCAATGGCTTGTCGTTCTCCTTGGTCTTAGACAGGGCCTCGCTTCTACTCTGTAAGGCCGTGGACGAACTTGACGGACATGGCTGGACAATAACATCACACTCCCGTTCCGTTTTTAGGAGAGGCCGAATGCGAGCAATGACCTGGACACTCATGGCTAGGCACCGTATAATCGTGGTTCTTCTTTATTTCGTTAGGTTCTGTTGGATGTGTACGATTGCTCACAATGTAAACAACACGCCGGTTAAATGCAGGACAGGAGATAGATTCGCAGAAACGCAGGTCATAGAAGTATATTCGATAGACAGTTGTCCTGGAGCTAAAGATATCCAGTAGAGATTTGGTTATCAAACTGTAGGCGCTTCCAGCTTTCGAGTCTAAAGGAAATCGATCAACCAAACGACAACGAACAACGCAAATCGAAAAAGACACGGACGAAAAGAAAGAGAAAGGAAAAATGAGAAAGAAATATCTTCGCTGGGCGTGCTAGCACTCTTCTCCGACGGGTTTTGAATCTCTCAGAGGAAAAGAATGGTAAGTTCCGATTTTGCTGTCAGTTGATGTTGTAGCTAGTTTTGCTTATTTGTGGGCGCAGAAGTCGCTGTTGTCCGGGCAACGACATTGGAGCCCTGGACCGATCGGACTTTAGAGTCGCCGATATGCATTATTAGGAGGTTAGCAAGACGGAGTGAGGTTTGATTCTTGATGAAAGACTAAGATAGCTGGAAAGTCGGTTGCTCCGTTTCAAGGCTGTGATATCAGCCGACTTCCTGTAACCCCCTTAATGCTGAGATGCTTGAAATATCAAAATATATCGACCAGACGCTAAATCATGCCCGAGAAAGAAAATAAACAGATGCCGTAACAAGCCACATCGGTGGAGTAAGGGGAACAATTATAAAACAAGAAGAGAATGACGCTAAATGATTATTATATCTTCTTCATGATGGCTGTTCCAGCCAGCCTCATGCGGGTGAAGACGAAGAACATGCTGCCAACAAGCAGCATTGAACCAGAGAATACTTGCATTCTCCAGTAATCACCATGGATGACGTCAGGAACCAGTGATCCACCTAGGGGGTTGCCTAACAGGACAGCTATCGAGACCGTTGCAAACATGCTTCCACTTCTCACACCGATTTTGCGTACGTCTGAGATGTGTGCAACTAGACTGGGCGGCAGAGAGACAAGAGAGCCAGATGCGAAACCAAAGAGGGCTGCAAATATTACGTCTGGAATAGTGCCACGAGAAGGTAGCCATATGGCAAAGACCACGATGACGCTGAAGAAGGACATGATGATTACCACGTTGAAGAGTCCCATGCGATCTGCAGCGTAGCCGGGGAGAGTCCGTCCAAGAATGCTATATTCTAGAGTTAGCGGCCGTTGCTATAGACTGTATCGAAATAAAAAAAAGGGCTATATGTACCTTGCTGCGTTGAAAATTGATACCAGATAACTGGCCAGACCGTCCGGGACGCCAAACCTCCTTGCATGTAGGACCAGGAAGGTGAATGGCAAGAACATACCAAAGCAGTATAGGAAAGTCGCTGTAGTAAGGAGAATAAAGGGCATCTCCAGGAAAGGTGTGAAGAATTCCTTTAGGACCAGGGGCCTTGGATGAGGAGGAATCCTGGACTTGACGCAGCTGCATGCCACTATACACAGTCCGAGAATCAAGAAGGCACAAACACGCATGGTCCACGGAAACCCAAGCATGGGAATGAGCTTGGTGATCATTATTGGCATGATGATGCCTCCAAGACTGGAGCCACTGGCCACGATACCCACTGCCAGGGCACGCTTCTTGTAAAACCATGTGACGGTGCTGTTCATCGTTGGATAGAAGAGAAACCCGGCACCAAAGGGACTGCAAATTCCTTGTGCAAGGAGAATTTGATAATACTCAGTCGATAGTGAGGTCATCATCAGGCCGAATACATGGAATAGCGAGCCACCTATCAAAAGATACCGTGGACCAAAGTTGTCAAAGCCCTTGCCACAAAGCGGCGCCTATATTTGTGGTAAGTCAAAGACTATGATTTCGCTCAATTCTTTTTGCCTAGATGGAGACATACAACAAGATACATCATGAAGAGTTCCAAAGAAGGGATCCAGGCTACGGAGCTTGGAGAATATGACTTCAGGTCGTGAGTTTGATAGTAGTCCTGGAAGATACCAACACCTATCCGCATACTGTCAGCACTGGGGATCGATATGGGGGACTTCTTAGCGGAGCAGAAAGCTCACAGTTGATCCACCCAAAGCTCACAAATAGGGCACAGAAACCCCCAAAGACAACAGTCCATGCTTCGATGCCACCGTCTGGATAGCTGTCTGGATCTATAAAGTTGTCCTTGGGAGTTGCCACCACGTCAGGGCCCATCTCAACGTCCGTATCTTCCTCTGAAGCCATGTCGGGAGCATCATTTGGGCTTGTATTTATCGTAGCGTCTCCTTTTTTCTTTTCCCAACTGCTGTTGGTTAACGCTGCAACGGTATGAGGCAGTACGATGGTTGACACAGAGGAGTTCATGGTCTGCGATCGGGTAAACGTTCCTCCTCCAGAAGAATCCATACTTCCATCCAACATGTTGTAGGAATGCAGGATTCCGCCAGTAAATAAGCTAAACAGGCCTTCGTATATTAATCTGCGCTTCTATTCTCTGTTTCCTCCCTGCTCACATCTCTTCGAGAAGGAATCAACGAAAAAAAGGCAGGCAAAGGTCCGATTTATTATCGATGCAACGGGGGGTAGGAATAAAAAAGAACGACGACTCCCCGCATATGCATAGATGGTTGCAGCAAAGAAGAAAATGTAAGAGAACAGAAGAAACCAAATATGAGGAAACAAAAAAATCAAAGTTGCTTGAGGATTACCGCAATCCAGCGGTGTTTTCGTCTCAGCAGTGGCCGAACACCCGAAAAACACCCGCCTTAAGCATCCGGCGTAATGAACGGGGTTCAAGCTGCGAGTCTGCGACAAGCAAGCCATCCAACAAGAGGCAACGGAGCAGGAGACGTGGAGCCGCCAAGCGGGAGCCGGTTTGGGGGTAGAGTTTTGGGCTGTCTGACAGGCTCGCTCCCAGCCAAAGGATGGCCTGCCTGTCGAGACACGGAACATATCTGCGGGAAGAGGGCTCGGGAGTCGGCGTCGTCGTCGTTCACAATATATGCAACGAAGAAGCTGACCAAACCGGAGGCATAAGCGGTTCGTCCATGGGAGGAGCAGTTCTTATGGTTATCAGATGCTGTCACAGTTTGTTGATCTGACAGAGTAGCAAGCTTGCTGCTGGGTCCTGGGAAATCCACACAGAAGAAAAGCTTAGTTAAAACACGGAGTAATAACAATCGTTAGCCAGCTAACTATAGAGCCGCAAAACAGTTCCATGTTCTGACCGAAAGCTGGTGTATAAAGTCCAGCTGTGCTGCGGAGTGAAAACACAGGCAGAGTGTCCACTGCTGGTCGCGATCCCCCTTGGTGTCCATCCGGTATCAGTATTAATTGCTACTCTGGCCCTTCCCTGCGAAGAGTTCGAGGAGAGCAAGACGGATGATGCGTCACCAAGCCAGGGGTTCAAGCGTTAGTTCTTGCAGGGATGCAAACCACTGGCCCATCGCTCGTATTTCACCGGCCTCGTTCGGCGGCAAGGCAAGTCACATTATTAAACTGTCAACGAGTCAAGAGGTCCCGAACGTCGTTGGCCAGATATGCAGCGCCGTCCGCCCCCATGCAAACGCCATCCGTCCGGCGGCTGGCTGGTGAAACTGTGGCTCATCTTGGCCATGTGTTTGAACCAGAATGCCATGTGTTGGTGTTTATATGGAGATTGAACCCGTAAAGAAGGAATATAGAGAGTCGGAGGCCCTTCCGTCCTGTCCTTTGAGGTTCAAGTCAACTGCAGGATTTGAAAGGCCCGGAAGTATCTCATCTGCTCCTTGCTGTCCTTCTCAACAGCATAGGAACGAAAAACAGCGTATCTCCCTGCGGGAGACCAAGATCCTGCTGGCAAACTGTTCCTACTTTTGTTGGTGGCAGCAGATCTTTTTTTCTTTTTCTTTTTCTTTTTTTTTTGCCCAAGAATCTCGTCGGGGAAATGAGGAAATAAAATCGACATATCAAGTTCCAAAATGTTTATAGTAATTCCAATCTCAATTTGGTAACTAGGTAGTTATAAAGAGAACCGTTACACGTCACAGAAAGATGTGTCTAGGGGACCAGCGAAACCGGGAACAAATTATGTCTGTGGTGAATCTCATCCTTCTAGCGGTTTAGTTAACTGATTGCCAGCAAGACGGAGCTCATCAAAGACACAGATCAAGCAGAGCCTGAGATATCGTAGAGCCTCGGATTTTACATCCACCTTCCGGGCCAGTGTTGGGCACACACCCGTTTTCAAGTACCTCAGCAATCGCATCTAACTTCTCCTCCGAGGTGGCATACTGCATCAGTAGCTGATGGGCGCGGGAGCAGGAAATTTCATCTCCTGCTTGGAAAGGATCCAGCCCATCATCCGGGGTGGCAGTAAGCTGTGCTATGTCGGTATGGGGCTCGGCAGCGAGACGGGTAAGTATTTTGCAAGGGGGGAGGGTAGGGAGACCCTTGTTGCAAGCAGATTTTCCCACCTGGCGCTGCTGACAACTGCGAGATGACGATGACTCGATGCAAGTACTCGACTCGGCCTTGGAGGGGGTCTGACTGTGAGCCGGCGAAACACTCACTATAGGTGCTTCTGACGCATCAAGGGTTCGGATCTCATCGTTGGAGTCAAATTTGCCCAAACATTGCTGCGAAGAGGTAGCAGATGGAGTGTCCAAATGCGGGACAGCATCCTTCTGCGTGCCGGGGTCAATATCTTGCTTCGTCCGATCACTTGTCCGGCTTGCTACATCCATGCTGCACCTCTGTTGACGGGGACCTTGTCTCTCAGTTTCGAGCTGTCTCTTTCTCTGGAGCCATTCCTCAACAGTCTGCCGACTAAGCCCAGCAACAAGGCAGAGCTCTCTCAGATATCGATTCTCTTCTGCAACATGTCGAGCTGCTGCCTGAACCTCAACAGTAGCCTGAACACCTTCTTGCTGCAGTTGCCTCAGTTGCTTTTCGAGGCTGGCAATGTATTCCCTCTGACGCTCCCTGCTGCGGCGCTTGTTCTCCCGTATGCGCAGAGTGCGTTCAACGTCCTAACCCCAGACCAATCAGTTTCAGTCCAGGTGAAAGGGGGCCAGCTAATACCTTATGGGGTGACATGCAGTGCGCCTGTCAAGTAGCTAGTCAGTTAGGCCTCTTATTGACCACGACTCGAGTATCACTGGATGAAGGAACCCCCAAGCTTCAGACGGCAAGAGCTATGCGGAGTGAGGGGCTCGCGAAAACAGTGACGGGCTGCTCGTGCATGATTGGCAGAGAGAGCCGGTTCTTATCTCCCATCAGGTTTCATCCATGGCTAACTCGTTAGTTTAGCAAGTTAAAAATGGCCTGTGGCTGATGAAAGGGGATTTCCTTTGGCGATGCCGGGACACCAAAGCGATCATTGGTCCATGGCAAGCCACAAAGCTTCCGAGTGTTTACTCCCTCTATCAAATTCATAGTGCATTTAGAGCAAAGTGGTTTTTAGAGGTGTATATAAAAGAGCCAACAGAGACAATCATAATGAGTTGGCACTTCATTCTCAGGCCGATTCTCTCTAGGCTCAGGCTAGGTAGTTATGACAGGAACTACTGCAACATCCTTAGCAACGGGGCATCCCGCTACTGATATCGAAGCCCTACCCTCAGCCAGCGGGGATGTCAACAAGGGGACGAACACGGAGTCTTTATCTGCGACCTCTGAAGCAAGCCCTTCACAGGAGGAGGATGACCTGACCATTTCGAATGCGCCTAGGCTCCCCTTGCACCGTCTGTTCTGGTTCTTCTTCTATAATTTCGGCCTCTTCGCCTGGGGTGGTCCTGTCGCCCAAATCGCTCTTATCAAAGAGAAATTGGTCGTCCAAGACAAGTGGATCACACTTGCCAGATTCCAACGAGTCTTTGCTGTGTACCAGATCCTCCCAGGCCCAGAAGCTGCTGAACTATGCATGTTCTTCGGGTGCTTGAGTGCTGGCAGAATCGGTGGTATTGTTGCTGGCCTGGCGTTCATCTTGCCTGGATTTACTCTGATGCTGGTTGCCAGCTACTTGTATAGTTTGGCAGGTTTTGAGAATAAATACGTGAATGCCAGCTTTCGAGCATTGCAACCTATTGTAGCTGCCATGGTAAGTAGCGGACGGGTATTGACAAGGCAACGCGTATTTATACTAATGGGAATTTAGATTCTGAGAGCTGTGCATAAGATAGCCGACCATTCAGTTGTCAAGCCCCGGACAAAGAAAGTAGACCCATTCCTGATTATTGCGATGGTCTGCACGATGGTCAATAGTGCCCTACGCATCAACATGTCAGTTTTTAATAGCATGTCTTTGCCACTAGAGACGACTGACCTTTCTCCGACAGCTTCATCTCTCTCGCTGTCTATGGTATCCTTTACATGCTCATCTCCCGCCGTCTTTGGATCCCGGCAAGTATCATCTTTATCCTCCAATATGTGGTTTATGCCATCTATGTTGTCTTCCGTGGCGTACCCTTGCCGGTCTCTCTCGCTCTTGGAATCGCAAAATCACCGTCTCTCATCAACCTCTTCGTGCTTGGCTTAGTGGCCGGCACTCTCTCCTTCGGTGGCGCGTATACTGCAATACCATTTATCCAGGTTGAAGCAGTTCTCAAAGGTGGATGGCTGTCTCAAAGAATTTTCATTGATTGCATTGCCATTGGAAATGTTCTACCAGCCCCTCTTGTCATATTTGCGACCTTCGTCGGTTTTCAAGGTGGCCTTGTAGATGGCGGCCTGGGGAATGCATTTGGAGGAGCAGTGGTAATTACAATTGGCATGTTTTTCCCTTACTTTTTGTTTACCATTGCTGGGTTTGACCTCCTGGAAAAGCTGGTTCATAACAAGGTATGAAGGCTAACTCCGGTACGATTTCGCAAGGAACATTCATCTGACCTCTTCCTCCAGTTCCTAGCAAGTTTCTTTGATGGCCTATGTGGCTCCGTTATTGGTGTCATAGCGATTATTGCCTTCCAGATCCTTAAATCCAGTGTTAGAGGTGGCGAGCAAGATTCCCAGCTCAAACCCGTGGAGCGGTCGGTTTCCAAAGCAGCGAACAGCGGTCCTGCGGCGGTCTTATACTTACTCACGCTGGGTATTTTGTACAAGGCCAACAATAAGTGGGTTCCTCTCTTGCTTGTAGTTTTTGGATCCGTCGCCGGGCAGTTTATATTTGTTGATTAGATGCTAGAGCCAATCGTGGGCACTCGAGATGACTTAGCCTGTTGTGATTCAGTTAGTTAGTTCTTGGTTAATCTTGTCTAAAGGGCAACGGGATTACTGGGGGTTGAATACAAACAGGAGGCCTCCTGTTTCACGCACCTTGAATATGGATTTCTGTCTCTAGGTTATGTCGAAGAAATTAGGTTGAAAATGCTGGGTCGAGACGTAGTTATGAGGATCTATTTGAGTCGTTCCGCCTCACCCGTGCCTCGATGGCTCAGGGTGATGAAGGCAGCCTGTCTTGTAAGCCAGTCCGGCCTAGCATTTGCTGTAAGGACATATTGGCAAACATCCTTTGACTATTCCCCGTTGATTGTTATGGGTAGTTCTTCAAAAGCCCGGACGAGGAACCTCGTGCCGTCAACGATAACCACCCGCCCAGGTGAACGCCAGGGCCCTTCACCCTCGCCGTTGAGCTGCAGGGTCTCGCCGGCAGCCACCAGAGATGGGAGACTGTCACACTCTGCTCCAACCGCATACTTGACAGCAGCGTTTTGTCCTGTGGTGGCATTCCACATCTCTCGTCGTCCAGAAACCTCTCCTCCGGCTTTCGTCAGGACTGTCTTCCCATCAACCTGCTTCTCCTGGTACCACTGTGTCTGTCTCAGAGCAATGTAATGGCCAGGCACACGGCCCAAAAATGTCTTCACCACCTTGACGCTCTCGTACTCCTGCTTGAGCATTGAGATGTTAGGGAGCATTTCTTCTGACTCGAGGACCCACGCATAGCCATGTTCCTTTGGCACGGTCTTAGGGATATCAAGACTCCTCCAGAGCTCCTCATATTCACAGACCGGGGCTCCCGGTAGGTCGTGACGGATCATCTTGCCGGTTTCGAGGTCGTCTTCATTGGAGAGCTTCTTGAAGGTGCCTATATCCGCGGTATCGAAGAGCTGGAGCGAGTCAATGGCGTGGGTGAAGACGACGATAGCTGTACAGTATTACCATCAGTTGTTAGCCGGTTACTAGATATCTCTCAAGCTGAGCAGGTAGTTAGCAGTCTTCACTTACAAGGAGACGCGCTCTCAACGACTCTCTGGCCTGCCATCGCCCACTCAACCTTGCCGGACTCACGATGAATCCGCAGGTCGACATACCATCCGCCCACCGAAAGCGAAACCGTGTCCGTGGTCTCGTACGCAGGCTCTGGTGGCCATCTCAGCGACACCCGGGTAGAGATATTCGCCGTGCTCATAGTACAAGGACGTTAGTGGCCCCGAACAAACTGATGTAGCTGTTCTTCTCTCCCCGTGTGCAAGGCGAAAGTACTTCAAGAAACGGTGAAAAGTGCCCCACGCCCGTTCTCCACGGGGAACTTCGTATACATAAGTACAGAAATGCGGTTCGATACTTGTCCTTGAGATAACTAGTTAAACAACTGGCCAGAAAATATTATTCAAGCAGCGTCAAGTTGGTTCAACTCCGGAACTATGTATTCAGCTATATTCACTCGTAGCCTAGATAAGTATGTAACAAGCAGAAAACGCCTACACGCTATATACAAGTAGGTATGTTCGGTCATTGTTCAAGATTAGTGTAAATGTACTGTAGGGGCATGAAGAAACCCAGCTTCATCGCCCCTGAAAATCATCACGAATTCACATAACCGGGTCGGAGATGTAGGATGGAATAATTGGCTTCATTGCCTTTGGAGACCTGTTGTTGTTATTTCCTGCACGGAATTGCTTCCACAGCATCTGCATTCGCTGGATCTGACCAGGAGTGAACTCAGTCAAGCATGAACTGGAACAGTCAGCATTTGTAAAAGCAGGGTGATGAGGTGTAAAAAATGAGCTTACTCGTAACTATAATCCATAAAGTTGTGGATGGAGTCGACTCCCTGCTGTGGACAGGAGTCCTTGCCTTTGGGGCAACCGCTGGAGGGTGTACTTTGGACAGGAGTATCGTCAACCATGTCGCCGTCCTGTTGGCAGCTTCCTTTATTTTCGTTGAAGACGTGGTACAGACCTTCATGATGTAGTTAGAATACCGTACAAATCCCACTATCAAAACTAATGATGAAACACTTACCCATGAAGTGTCCAACCTCGTGGGTGGTGGTCCTGCCCTCATCGTAATTCTGCGCACTACCTCCGGGGACAGTATTGGAGTTAATCACACATCCATCCATGATGAGTTGTCTTTTGCCTGGGTTTTTCGCGGGGAAATAACAGAACTATTTCGATGTTAGCTGCCTTCCATTATTAAGGCTATGAAAAGATTGGTAGTAAAGGGAAAGCATACACCAAGGAGGCCCTGCCTGAGCATGGGAACGAAATAGACATTGAGAGTATCGTAGCCACCCTTTCGCAGGGAGCTCTTCATGCCAAAATCATCCTCGCCATTCGCCCATCCAGCGTTGTTGGTTCTCTCAGATCCTACGAGCTTGAAGTTGAATCCAGTTCCGCTGTAATCCTTGTTCAACACCTCGATCTGTTTCTGCAGGGTATCATTCTAGATATGAAGTTAGAAGACAACGAGTAAGTCATAACAGTTCTTGATGATAATTGTCATACATTAATCTGACCCTTGTTACCATCAGTAATGACATGAAAGTAGGTATTGATAGTAACATTGGCGGCAGTGGTGTTGCTGAAGCTAGAAGCACGAGCGTTGTCCATGGCTTCCATTAACTCAGTGGCAAAGCCTTTGTGGGGGATAGCACCGCAGCCACGTTCAGCAGTGACCACGGAACTGAGAGCAGCAATAGCTGCGAAAACGACAGAGAAACGCATCCTGAGGGCAAAAGATGTGTAGTCTCCGGGGGTAAGAAGGGAAGCTCTGAGAAATTTTTACGAGACGATTCCAAGAGAAAGGAGAGGAAGGGTGGGCAGCCATTCGTATATCTTTATATCCCCTTTCATCTCCCCCTGATAAAATTCTGCACTCTGCTGTATCCCGAAATTATGCTTCATGATGCTGAATTTCGAACATCATGCATCCAGTCATTCCCACCATGCGGCCTTACGAGTCTCAGCTTTTGCTCCAGTCATGGATATTTGGAGCACTGATTGGAGGATACCGTTGACGGAACCGACAACAGCGGCACAGATGGCGTGAAGGTTTTCATACTTCGTCTGGATGAAAGGAACCCCCATACTGATACCCATTATTAGCTGTCACTGCCAAGTAGCTCCGCCATGGGGAAGGTGTGGTAGTGGAGCTTTGATGCAAAAGGGAACGGAAAATTTTTAAATGACCGCCCGCGGAGGCCGGGCCAGGAACACCATCAAAGCGTCTGCACTCTCCGGAACGTGCTGAGAGATCCAGCCGCGGCAGAGAAGCGCGGTTGGGGCACAAGACAGAATGGCATTGATATTTATACCAGCGTCAGAGGCACGTATCAAAGGATACCAATCACGAGCAGCAAGAGTATCAGCGGCAACGCATCTGCCGTGCTGAGGGTATTTTACTTATAGATCGCCCTCTGTGATGGAGCAGGAGGAATCTGCAACATAGCATCGATTTCCTTGTGCAGGGTATTAACGGGATGATCGCTTCCTGAGACGTAGAGATGTCAAGCCCAGAGAAGGTTTCTTGTTGGTCAGATATATGCACGTCAAACAGCGTCTGCCACAGCTGGCGCGCAGATCGAGCATCCTTTTCCCCGAATCACTCTGAAGAACGACGACGTTGCCGTGTCCACTGTTTGTCGAATTGCCGGTTCGAAACGTCAGGGAAGCGTTTCAGACCGAGGTTATTTTAAGGTTTTTATCTCCGCATGGGATGGGCACTTTGCCCAATATGGTATGGCGCCGAGGTCTGAACGCATTATGTAATCTAAGCGTCTATCTATCTCGTCTTGTCCACCACCAACGTCGAGCAGCTTTTTTTTTTTGACAGCAAACAGCAAACAGAACCCGCACTGCGGACTCAGGACACTGGATTCCCACGCCTTGCGATCTGTCTGGCTGCACTACGCGCACCTTCGAATAGTTAACTAGCAGTTTACTGCCGGACCCACAAGCCGTTGCAAGGCATCATGATACCCAGATCCCTTGGGCCACTACGGCGCGGCACATGGCCAATCCAACACGCCCAGCCGTTATCTTCGCCACATTTCCAAGTGAAATGCTTCAGATGGCTGGCTGCTATCTTGGTTTCTGGGGTCTCAGTGCACTATCAGAACAGCAAAGCGGTTCCGCACGGGGTTTACTCTTGGTTTCGATGAAGAAGGCACTGTGTGTAAGTTGGGCTATTGCGGCGTAATTCCGAAACTGTATTTCGCTGGTGGCCTATATCTTCAGGCAACACAGGCCACGATACTCTACTATTACAAAGTTGAGAGTGGAAACGATGTTGCCAGAAAGTAATATGTACCTCAAGCCGGCTTTGAGATACGGATATTCTGCGCAAATTAATAGATATCTGGATCTCGTCCAGAAATGCTCAGGGATAAAGTGGATATTTTGGAGTCATCAACATGATTCTGAGGCTTTGGACAATGCTATTATATCGGACTTTTCACCGATATATATGGTATTAATAGATGCCGGACTTAGGCCCTAGGTGCCTGACATGGCCACCCAGACGGTCCCAAATTTCGAGCAGTGCATGCATGGTACTGCTTGGTCAGGTTGCATTGATCGACTTTCGTTACTTATATATCATGGCTGCTCTCTTAGACCCAGCAGACCTGAAATTGCCTTATTTTGGCAACCGCTCCATTTTTTGAGGCATTCCACGGTCAAAAACAGGTCGTGGAGTTTCTTCTTCTTACCCAGACCAGGAGCCCCGATTAACGAGATCATATGGCGGCAACATATACACTTGCCTTCAGATTATATAGAGCTAAGCATAAGCTTTTCGGCACTCCATCAGTAATGCACATATTCTACAGCTGTCGAATGTGCTTGGCCGTAGGCCGCATACAAAATATCAACATCTATGCATTGTGTTGGCACAAATAAGACAATAGCACGAACGTAGGTAGTACTATTAATACAGGGGCAGCATAAAAATGGCAAAAACTATCTATTCATCCTCCTTAAGCCCGTCTGGAGGAGTCTATTCGGCGGACTTGATGTCGACTTTTCCATCTTGATGTACACTTGCAACGCTCTGCCGTTGGCTTGTTTTATTTTCCGCAGCAGCCTTGCTAGCAATCTCCTTCAGAGCCGGTGCTTCAGTTGCTTCCACCGCCGCCCTAGTGACTCCTGGTGTGGCATCGGCGATTTCATTTACCTCCCCATCCGTTAAGATATCGTTAATGCGCGCGGCCCTAGATTGCACAAGCAGGGTAGTGGGACCTTGGAATTGCAAAAATAGCTATTTTTATAAATGATTAGCTGATAAGTCACAAATTTTACATTGGTTTGAGCACTTACCCTATCACCCCATATAGTCCTTCTTGTCCATGTTCTGAGAGTATGGAAGATCTTCATCAGCGTCATCCAAGTGTCTGATTTTGATAGATTTGACACAAGGTTAGTATTAGATAGGCGTTTGCCAATACCCAGATTGGGCACCTGGAATCTTAGGGTCGTCGACTTGAACCTGTAAGGCTGCGGAGGAGTGTGAGTCATCGTGTAGGCAATCACATTCCTGCATACAATATATTAGTGTATCATTAGTGTATGAGGGAAGATTCCGGATTAGTTCCACATACCCTGGATGAGCGATATACTGCTCCCCTTCTTTGAGGTTTATAGAGTATATTTGTCCCTTCCCAGCTAGTGCAATAAGTCCTCGGCCTGTAACCTCAGAATTTCCCCAATGCATTATACTCTTCCCAGGTCAGCTCCCTATACCATCATTGTGAAACAAGGTATGGTGATATATACCAACTGACTGTTGATTCTTGGTTTTACTGTCAACGAATGACCTGTCCATGCAAGAAGAGCGTTCCGCTGCGCCAGCATCCAATCTACCGTCCCATTGAGCTGTAGAAGAGCGAGCGACGTCACTGGAGATTTTACGGAAATCAACGCAGATACAGGGCTAGTGGAGGATATCTACGAATAGAAAGGGTCAGAATCAAGCAAATTCATGATGAGAGAAGGGCTTTCTAACCTTTTGGTATAGAAACGGAATTCCAAGTGCCGCCCGCCGGAATGGCTCAAGGATCTGCAGAGTAGAGACGACCTTTCATAATATTTCCATTTAGCTATGTATTCCAGCGCTTTTTCCGTATATATGTTGACAACCATACATTTTCTGCCTTTCCACTTAATCCTACAAGGGTTCCACGTCTTGTATAGAGATTCTGGGATGCCGATAGGGAGACGGAAAGTAAGGAATAGGGTGAGCCAACAACTTCGAATTTGGCATCTGTAGCAAACGGTTAGCACATAAGTTAGCGTAAATCAGAATGATACACACTAACCCGGAGATATAGCAGATCTAGCGGTCGTCGAAGCAGCGTGGAAGTTGTCGCTTGTCACCGAATTGAGTTGGCTGCTCGGTATGGCTTGGATATGAATCTGTCTCCTCTGGCCGCATCTCCGACCCGGCTTAAGACAGCTCGACGCCCTGACGCCCCTTGCGGTAATTGATCGCTTCATCGATGCGACTGTGTAGTCCGCAAGCTGGGTAGACACTCAATGCCTGGCCTCTTGCTGCGGGTTTTCGGTGATTCTTCGCAGAAATGCAACTTTCCATCAGGTTCAAGAAAATGACGATGCAAACAAACAAGGCAAACAAGCTCGAAATGAGGCTCCGAACTCAATTTATCACGCAAAGGCGTGGCTTGCCGGTTGATGCAAATATCTGACAGCCTTTTGTCTCGTTGCTCGTGGGCAAGCCGTGGACCTCAGGACCACTCTTCGGGAAGAGCGGGAGAAGTGGTAGTTGTACAGTGCCTGGTAAGCGCTCTCCATGTCCAGCTGGTGAAGACTTCCGCTGACTCGCTCTGTAAATAGTTAAAGGATCGTGGATAGACGCATGAAACCGCCCCTATCATGACATCATGAAATTTCGAGAGATAGGGAAAGCGAATTACTAGAATACTTACTCTGCATTAGCTGCAGAGTCTATCTACTGCGCGACGACATGCTTCTGCGAACCGCGCAATTGCATTATCGCGTTGCGCACAGAAACCTTTCTTGGTCTCGTGTGCGTCTTTCGGGGCAATCGGGCCAGGGACTGTATCGCCATGGCGGAGCCTGCTGCGCGTTCACAACGGGGCGAAAGTTGTCGAAAGAGCAACCTGTTGATGCCTTGAAACAGACTGCAAAATCTAGTAAGGAGGTTGCACAGTCTGCTACGGACAAAGTACAGAATGCTGGGGGGAAGGAAACCGCAAGCGCTTCAACCCTAGGAAACAAGAAGCCGGGAACTTTGCTCTCGGAGACTACCGTCACGTCCAAAGAACAGAGAAAAGTTGACTGGGCCATCATGAAAGAGATGGCAAAGTATCTTTGGCCAAAGGTGAGCTCAAATTATAGTACAGTGCATTGGAGACCCCCTACTAATTGACGGGTAGGATGACTGGAACACAAAACTTCGAGTCGGGATAGCTCTATCTTTGCTTGTAGGCGGAAAGGTTTGTTGTCATGGAGTCTCGGACATTATGGTACATTCTGGCTGATCAATCTCCAGATTCTCAATGTCCAGGTTCCATTTTACTTCAAAAGCATAGTCGACTCTATGAATGTTGATTTTGCGGCAATAGGCGAAACCGCCTGGACAGTTGGGGGGTCCATGATAATAGCATGTATGAACTTGCCTTTGTCTGAGTGTCTTGAAATTTCGACCCCTAACTGAAAGACACGACTATAGATGGCGTAACAAGAATTGGAGCAACGTTGTTTCAAGAGTTGAGAAACGCTGTATTTGCCAGTGTTGCTCAGAAGGCGATCCGAAAGGTTGCTCGCAATGTGTTTGACCACCTTCTTAAACTTGACCTGAATTTTCATTTAAGTCGCCAAACCGGAGGTCTTACTCGCGCCATCGACAGGGGAACAAAAGGCATCAGCTTTTTGCTCACGTCCATGGTCTTTCATGTGTTCCCAACCGCATTGGAAATCTCAATGGTTTGCGGAATTTTGGTATGGCCTCCTTTCATTGACGAGCAATAAATTCTAGTTGCTAATGAGCTCTTTAGACGTATCAATATGGCGCTAAGTTTGCTGCTATCACTGCTGCAACGATGCTAGCCTACACTGCTTTTACCATTACTACTACAGCCTGGCGAACGAAGTTTCGAAAGCAAGCAAATGCGGCCGATAATCAGGGGGCAACAGTAGCAGTTGATTCCCTGATTAATTACGAGGCTGTGAAATACTTTAATAATGAACAGTTTGAAGTTTCTCGATATGACCAGGCATTGAAGAAATATGAAGCCGCTTCAATCAAAGTCACAACTTCACTGGCATTGTTAAACTCTGGCCAAAATATGATCTTCTCGAGTGCGCTGGCTGCCATGATGTACCTGGCATCTGATGGCGTGGCTACGGGACAATTAACAGTCGGCGACCTTGTAATGGTTAATCAATTGGTATTCCAGCTCTCCATGCCCCTCAACTTCCTAGGATCTGTGTACAGAGAGCTCAGGCAGTCATTGATGGATATGGAGACTCTTTTCAACTTACAAAAGGTCAATATTAACGTTAAGGAAGCACCTTATGCGAAACCTTTACAACTTCGCCAAGGTGGAGAAATCCGATTCGAAAATGTCACGTTTGGATATTTGCCAGACAGACCAATCTTGAAAAACGTATCCTTCACCATTCCAGCTGGCAAGAAAATCGCCATCGTCGGGCCAAGTGGGTGCGGAAAATCAACAATACTCCGGCTCCTTTTCCGATTCTATGACGTGCACGAGGGCCGTATATTGATTGATGGTCAAGATATCCGCGGCCTGACTGTGTCCAGCCTAAGAAAGGCGATTGGAGTTGTGCCGCAAGACACTCCGTTGTTTAATAACACGATAGAGCACAACATTCGCTATGGGAAGATCGATGCTACTACTGAGGAGGTCAAGCGGGCTGCACAACGAGCCCATATTCACGACCTCATCGAGCGGTTACCCGCTGGATATGATACACCTGTTGGAGAACGAGGGATGATGATATCAGGTGGTGAAAAACAGCGACTAGCAGTCTCGCGATTGATTTTGAAAGACCCGCCCTTACTCTTCTTCGATGAAGCGGTGTGTTAACTCCCTTGCATCTTTCGAAATAATTTGCCGATCAGCGCTTTTACTAATTCAAACTGAAACAGACCTCTGCCCTCGACACATATACGGAGCAAGCCCTGCTTCAAAACATCAACAGCATTCTAAAGGACAAGGCTCGAACAAGTGTGTTTGTAGCTCATCGACTTCGCACAATCTACGACAGCGACCAGATCATTGTTCTAAAGGATGGCCATGTGGTGGAAAGCGGCACGCATATCGAACTTCTCGATTTAGGCGGCGTGTACGCCGAACTATGGAATAGTAAGCCACTTCCCGGACTCAGCCCATATTCACAGCCCGCATGCTAACATAGACGTCTCAAAATAGCCCAAGAAACCGACATTGCCACTTTATAAGACATGGCTTAGGTTGATAGGGGAACTGGAAGATCAAACTGGAGGATACATAGAGGATCTTGGTGATATTATACCCATTTTTTCCGGTGTTTTCTTGCGCAAGGGTTCTTTGATTTTTTTTTTTTTAAGGATGGTCAAACACCCAAAGTAGACGAATGTTGTGTAGATATCAATACTTTATATGTCTGCGAACAGGGTCGCCGCAGCGCTGGTTACTACTCCTTCAAACCACTTTCTACACTTTCTGCACATCCACTGCTACACTTGCAGGAAACCAGCAACTTCGTATCCAAGCATTGTCTCACAACCAAGAGCTCCAAGGACAAGAATGCCAATCCAATAATACGTACGATGAGATCACCTTCTGGTCAGGCGATGCTTATGTAATATTTATAAGTGACCGTCATGAACTTCCCCAGAGTTTCTTCAGCGTCCACCTGCATCTCAAGGCAGATTTGCCCCGTCAATATTGATTTCCATATCTCCGGCCCTGGGCCCTCTTTTCCTTGTTATTACAGGGCCCCCTCTTCTCCCTTCGTCGCGTGTCTCGTCTCGGTGTCCTCGACTTTGCGGGAACTACCACGGCCAGTGACCCATTATCCAGATATGCTTGAGCATAGGAATGGACTTCGAAGCCAGCAGTTTGAGAACCGAAGAACAGTTCTGGAATGGTGAGTAGAGACACCTCTGTGGATCTATCCATTCGTGCGCTTCTAGGGAGACTGTCAATCTGTGATTATCATAATGATGCTAGTTCTGAACTTGGTTGGCTAACCGAGTCTCTCTGCCGGTAGAATTGGACGACGTTCTAAAACGGCAATGCGATTCACACGAGGAGATTGATGATAGCTTGCGCACATATTTGTCCTTGCTTGAGAGCTGCAGAGGTATTTGAATTGTTCCTTTGCGGGCATATCTGCCAAAATTTCCGATTTTTCTAACACGAAACTCGCGAGTAGAAGACTTCTTCGACCCCGACCATGACATTACCCGATGTACGGAGCTAGTTTTGTCATCTCCGCTATTCACAAATAATGCAGATTATATACGACTTCAGATAATATACAGCCTACTCCAGGTATATACATTTCAGGTTGAGCTTTGGTTCAGGACATCAGATCTAACCGGGATAACTCGTTTCATAGGAAGATTCACATGAAAATCTGCTCGGGATCGTGTCCCTCCTCCTCTTCGACGGGTGTGAAAATGAAGCTACCTTCGAGATGATGTGTGAAGAAGGGGCGTTTTGTCGACTATTGGAGTTAATACAATCGCTAAGGGGCAATGACCACTCTGGTAGTGGTGTTGAAGCTAGCCTGCACCGGTTGTTAATGGATCTCTTGTATGAGATGTCCAGGATCCAGAGGGTTAAGATAGAAGACCTAGGTGAGTCTTGGAGTGGCTAAAAGCGGTTATTAGTTACAGGGCTGCTTCGTTGCTGGGTACCTGTGAGTAGCACGTTGTGATCGTATACTTACATCTTCACCTCATAGTGACCGTGGACGATGGGTTCATAAAGTATCTTCTACAAATAATTGAAGGGCCGCCAGAGGACCCTAATGACCCGTATCATTATCCTGTGATTCGTGTTTTGGTATGATATTCTTTTCCCTACTTCTGGCATTATCAATTCTGACTTGACGCCTCTGTAGCTAGTTCTCAATGAGCAGTTCATGGTATCAAGCCATGACCCTACTGGAGACCGGACTACAACTATGCCATTAACGAACAAAGTAATGAAAGTTCTATCTATGCATGGCAGTCTTTATAAGACTTTTGGAGAAAACATCATTCTTCTCCTTAACCGTGAAGGTATTTTTTCCCTTTCCCCCCTAACAGTTCCCAAAAACTAATCACATTGAATTAGATGAAACTTCTTTACAGCTTCTCACCCTCAAAATTCTATACCTGCTATTTACGACGCCCTCCACTTATGAATATTTTTATACTAATGATCTTCGTGTTCTTGTCGATATTCTTATTCGTAACCTTTATGATCTCCCTGAAGATGCGATGCCCCTCCGCCATACATATCTCAGAGTTTTATACCCACTTCTTGCTCATACTCAATTGAAGTATCCCCCGCACGATAGACAAGAGGAGCTTAGAAAGCTCTTCACAACTCTAATTAGGGGACAATGGTCTGATACAGATGCTGGTGACGATAGCGAAAGAATTCTTCATTTCAACGAAGTGGATGATACCACAAAAAGGCTTGTCTTGCGGTGTAGCCAGGTTGACTGGATATGCGAAGGAACTAATTGGTTCACAAAAGAGTTATCCGAACCAGTATCAATTGAGACTTCGAAGACGAACGGCCATGCCAATACAGATTCATTAGGAAGCGTGGAAGTTCCTAGCATTGGTTCACCAATTTCTCCTCAGACAAGTCTGGATGAGAATCTTCACGGACATGATACCTCATCATCACCTCATCAGCATCCGGCTGCCGTATCAACGGCCCTTGGACTTGACTCTGCACGCTCTTCTTCACATAGCATTGCAAAGGTAGCTTCTCACAAAGAGAAGCCGGGCGTCGTTATACCGAGTAAAGGACTGGCTGTGGTGAAACAAAAGCCAGAACCTCCAATAGCACGCCGTTCCAGAGCGCGTCGGAGAGCCGAATCAAAGGAAGCAGGTGAGAGGGCAAGTTCAAGCCATGGATATCGAGGATCCTCGGAATCAGGGATTTCGAAATTCCATCTGCCAGAACCAGAGGATACAGCAGAAAACCCTACCTCCGCCTCCTCTCCTGTTTGTAAAATTGAAGACAATACTGCGTGCTCGAGCCCGAAGGAACCTGTGGTTCAATCGCCTGATTCGATTACATCCACGTCATACTGCTTCCCCTCATCTTCTGGCTCGCATAAAATTCATATTTACCACCCTAGCACACCCCCGGCAGTTCCTCCTCCTCGCAGATCTTCACATTCGGTACCTCCAACTCATCCTGTCAAATCCCATCATCATTGCCATGTCAGACAACCACACTCGGCTTCCCGTCCTCCGCCTCCGCCTCCACATAATCCTCAAAATTATGCGCCTAACAAGCCATCTCAGAAGCCAGAGCCCCCGAGAACCAGGCGGTGGCGTGCACATCAACAGCATCAGAAGCATCAAGATACCAATGGCCATGTCAATGCTACCCACCATACCCAAAACTGCAGTGCAACCTTAACCGAAGCCAGCCACAATCCAACTTCATCACAGCCTCAAACACCGCACACAAATGGCAATAGAGATGTTCCTGCTACTCCAACCATAACAGTGGAAATGGTTGAGAACGAACTTCCAGAGCAAGTGGGGAACGTGCACATTACATGAGGAAGAAATTTTTTAATTTTGGCCAAATTTGTACTTAGATGCATAGCGATTTTGAATTTTCATCATTCCGTCCTATTACAGTCGTCATTGCTACATCATTAATGAAATCTAGTGCTGTGTCTACAAGTGAAGTAGAGAAGTGAGATTTTGGTGACAAGGGGTATTCATTCGATGTTCTAAAGTATACTAAGCTAATCCATTTGGGCCTTTTTTTTTTTTTTTTTTAATCCCTTTTTTCCACCTATGTCAGGGTAAAATGTTCTCACTTTGTTGCATCCTTTCGTTTGTCGTAAAATCAGAATTCTCATGTCTATGAGCATCAGTCAGATAGTCGATTACTAAATCGACCTTTAGTAGATACCCCAGTACTTCTCTGCACCGAAAGTGTTGGAACCATCTACTTTCCATGGATCATCGAAAGCAGAGAATAAGAACAGCTCTCCATTGGTATCTTTGTAAGCCTGCTTTATGTTCTCGATAGCAATGCGCTGGTTCTCTCTTGAGGGAAAAGCTTCTCCGTTTTGGTAGCCGCCATGAGGCCATCCAGTTTCAGTGACAATAACTCTCTTGGCTCCGTGTACGGCATTAGAAACAGCCTTGGATTGCTCTCTAACGAACTGTCCGGCCTCAGAAGCGGAGGTATGCGGATCGAAAAATGGGTGGATATTGACAGCACAGAAATCAGATGCGTAACAGATTTCTGGATGAGCGGTCATGGCATTGACGGTGTCGACGGCTACGACTGGGCCATTGTATCCGTTAAAACGAAGGACATCCCTAGAGTGATTGACCGCGTTGACGAGGGCATTAGCTGATGCTTTTCTGGTGTTAACGACTTCGTTGCCAATAGCAACGGCGTAGATGTATGCCCAGTTGTTCTTTGCAGCGGCAAGGAAAATGTTCAAATCAGAGTCGACGTTTTGAATGGTGAAAAGGCCAAGCATAACTTTCTTGTTGTAAGTCTTTGCCGCATTAAGCATCATTGCAATTTGGTTGCAGTCAACGCCATAGGAACGAACAATACTATACTCATTCAGCTTTGCAAAGTCTGCATTGACTTGGTCCTGGTTTTTGCATTTCCCGTCAGCAGCATATGGGGCATAGCAGATTCCAAACCCATTTGCAGGAATCCATTTTTCAGTAGGGTCCTTGGCTGGCAAGGAAGTATGAGCAGGTACGTTTGAAGGCTTGCTTGGAGCTAGAGACTGAATAGATGTCGTCGGAGGCTCGGTTGGCCTAACAGAGGTCGGTTTGACTTCAGTAATCGTGGTCTTGGTGGCGCTCGTCTCTGTTGGCTGAGCAGTCGTCCCTGGACCCGTGATGGTAGGCTCATGCGCTGTGGTCTCTGTTTTCTTTGGCTCAGTGATAGTGGGCTGCACAGGGGAAACACCATTTTGCTTATCAGTGCTTTTCGGCTCAGTAATAACAGGCTCCGAGGGCTTGATTTTGGTGGTAGTAATGTCCTTAGTTTGTTTGATCTCAGTCGACCCCGGATTCAGGTCAGGGATTTTTACCTCGGTGGTAGGCTCTGGCTTAGGGACAGGGGTAGAGACAGAAGTGGGTATATTGGTGACTGTGGTAGTAGCCATAGTAGAGGTATCAGGGAAGATAGTAGTGCCAACATCTCCATTGTCAGGGGTAGGATGAACGGTCTTGAAAGACTTCATCCCCTTAGTTTCAATTGTGACGGTATTGCCAGCATTATCAACCCAGTTGATAACCTCAGGCACCTTAACAACAATAGTATCAGTCACATAAGCGCGTTTCTCCAGGCCATGAGCATGATTGTGGTCTATAGTAGAAGAGAATAAGTGTCTGGCCTAGGGTAAGACGCGCAGTAAGGCTCCAGAAGAAAAGATGAAGAACATACTGTGAGGCCTAGCAACCACAGAGCCCGGGAGAAAGAAAGCAGCAAAGATGAAGAGATTAGTCTTCATCTTGCTTCTTGCTGTGCCTAAAAGATACGCAGATAGAGACGGAGAAGGGTATCTAGAGGAGTTGATATTATGGTTAGCATCTTTATCGACGCGTCTCCAGAGCTAGCAGGTCTAGATAGAACGCAGCAGGCACAGAAAAAGGGGCAAACGGCGTACTAGCAAGCTACGTACAGGAAAGGTCGGTGATAGTTAGAGGGTATTTCTGTGATATCAAGTTGTGGTGGGAGGTTGAAGAAAGAAGAAGAAGAGAAAGAAAGGTTTCAGGAGAAATAAATAGGGGGGTGGGAGAGACGCGTAAGTGAAGGAAGACCACAACAAGTGAAGTGAAGGAAAACAGAACGAATAAAGTGATATCAAGCCATAGTCTACCAGCTTTCTCTTTTCTTTTGCTTTTGTAATAATATCAATCATGAATATTAGTTTGGTATATTTATTATTGCAGAACTTCTGCTTTTACATATGGTAGATACTGGATATAGGTATATAGGTAGGGTATTAGAGTATTAAATGGGTATACAGCATACCAGGAGAACCTGGCATTAGATGTACATCTAGAGATTGGTTAGCCATATATAGCAACCTGAACCACACTAGTCAGGGAATACATACTTGAAGCCATGGCCGTCACTGTCGTAATAGGCCCTCTATATCACCAGACAATCCAGAAGCGGCCATCACACATCCACATTAGTCCATTTCGTTGATTAAAAATATATATATGTACTATCTAGGAGAAAAGTACAGTGAGGCCCAGCAACGAGGGGAAGAAAGCCGTAGGGTGACACCAGAGAAGAAGAAGCTAGATTTACAGTAGTAATATTAAGGGGATATTAAAAGGATGCTTGTGCTTCGTGTCTAGATTCATCGCTTTTGTCGAAGAATCTTCGTGATGGCATGACGGATGACGATGCCGGCCTTCTCAATCTCCTTCTTGGACAAGCCGGTGGTAATGCAAACCTTGAGGGCAGGGGCAGGGGGGGTATGGTTCTGTTTAGAGATAGTCTCGTCAGGGACAGGCTTGAGACGGGTGATAAGCACACCATTGGCTAGCGTCTCATCAACTATCTCTTGTAAAATGTGATGTTGGTCTTCGATGGTGAGCCGTTTGGACGAAACCACTTCGGGCTTTAGTACGAGCATCATGACGGGATTCTCTGGAGCGCTGGTGCAGTACACCCAGTCACTGCGAGGATCGAGTTGGGTCCACATAGCCTTGATGTTCTCTCTGAGCTGAACGATGAGCTCGGGGCTATTGTGCAGCAGCGCTATGGTCTCACTTGCCGTCGTGGCTAGCAGTGCAGTCAGGGCAGCAGAGTAGCAGTAGGCTGAGGCAGAGATGCGCTGGTGGTTGACGATTTCTTTGGATCCGGCACAGAAGCCGCCACCGCCAATGAACACTCCAGACAATGAACCAATGATCATATCAGCTTCTGCAGGGTCGACATTCTGGTGCTCAGTGATACCACGGCCAGTACGGCCAAGTACTCCAAAGGAGACACTCTCGTCCAGGATAAGTCTGAACTTGTATCGAAGTTTCAACTCGACCTACATAGGTTAGTGATTGTTAGAAGTGGAATAGCACACGAGAAAGTAAGAGTCGACATACGATCTTAGGCAAGTCACACATGTCACCCCTATCCTGGAACAACCCTTCGGTGATGATGAATCTCCGGGTCAACGGCTTCTTTGCCTGCTCCTTGGTAATTTTGCTCAGAACACGTTCCAAGTCGTCCATATCATTATGTTCATACCACCTCACTGTACTTCTTGAGATCTGAATACCTTTCCGAATAGCATGGTTAACGCCCTTATCCACAACTATGATATCACCACGCTTGGAAAATGCAGGAATAACACTAGAGATCGTCGAAAAGGCCTGAGAATAGATGATACAAGCAGGAGTACCGAGGAATGTAGCAACGTCAGCTTCAGTACGCATATGCACATCCTGGGTTCCGTAGAATCCGGGAGGTCCACACGGACCGACTCCATAAGTTCGAACGGTCTGAATGGCTTTCTCCTTCAGAGTGTCATTCGCAACGAAGTTGTAGAAGTTATACGACGCAAGGTTCGTAACAGTTCGTCCGTTCACGAGCTTAGATTTTGGGCCGGTAGGACTAGAGACCAATAAGCAATGAACATTCTCATGAAGTCACAAGAACCAACTCACCCCGTAAGCACAACCCGTTTCTCAACATCTTCTTCATCTTGCGCGGTCGAAGGCAAAACAAGTGGCTCCGGGGTCCAATCATCTACTAAATCATCGATTTCCTATGGCGCAGGTCAGCTATCCGACCAAAGAGGCGAAGACAAAACAGAGATGATAGAGAGTTCATACCTCCTCTGAAAGAGGTACAAAGTCACGCTTAGTCGAATACTTTGGCGCAAGAAGATATCTCACTGCGAAAAGGAACAGGAAAAGCTCCACGGCCGAGCGGACAGGATCATTCTGATAGCTCGACTTGATATATCGGAGGACAATGGCTGAGCCGGGAACGCGCTGGAACTGGTCTGCTAGGATATGGAGGTATTCAAGGGTGATTCTTTGCGTCTCCTGGAGGTCCATCATGTCATTGTGTATCCCTTCGGTTCGTTACTAGGCTGCAGATTTCTCTTATCGATTGGGTTGGAAATTTTGTAGGTAGATGAAACAGAGGCGTCGGAAGTAGGAGGACGGAGGCTGGAGAAAGCGTCAATTAACGAGAGAGCACTTCAGCCAGCTTGACCAGGCTCTGTAGGGGGCGATATAGGTAGAGGACGAATTCCTCGAGCAAAGGCGGATGAAGAAGGTGTTTTTGCTCTCATCTCTCTTCGAGCTAACTTTTTTTTTATTATTTGATAGCAGGAAGGATGAGAATCATCACGTGATATTAAGGGGCTGCATACTAATTTTCCAGACATCAATAGCATATTAATATATTAAATTAACTAACTAGCAGCTGCTAATGAACGATATTGATAGAGTTAAGCTTCTGTATTTGTTTCATTCCTTATTTTGTAGGAGAGATGAATATTTGTCCATAATATCATTGACCCATGGAAGAATTCTGTCTCCGGAAGACCTGATTGGCTGATGAACGGGTCATAACCTTAAGTGATCGTCTCCGAAGATATCAAAATCATTGTCTCTACCTGGGGCTCATCTTAATGTTTAAGTCATTGTCAGAATAGCGAGCAGATGGCAGGTCGTCTCAAAAGCTCCTGCTCCCACTAAAAGCAAAAGGTAGCATTGATAATTGCTACTCTGCAAAGGTAAGACCAGCAACGCTTCAGCTGGGTTTCAACTTCAGTCGTATCCATTGGTAGGTAGACTTAATATTTCTATTTTTCCTGGTTATCGGTGATATCTCAATGACAGCGTCGGTTAGTTCCTTAAACAAACGTATATGTGGCCGCCTCTCGGATTTGATAGGCGATTTTCAATCCTTCTACACGGGTCTCGCGAGAGAAGATATTAAAGTAACCTAGAAAGGTGTTCCGGCCAGTGCTTGAATAACCGGATGTACCAAATAGGCTTCAGGTAGTCACTTACTGCCATGGTTCCATAGCTGGAGCTTTTGAGACAAGACAGGAGCCATGATGAGTAACTGTTTATATAGCACAACTGCAGGGCAAACCGGGATGCTCGGATGGGTAACAATTGGTTAATTATTCCGTTGATGAGCTTACGGTCACCGAAAGTTGATGCCCTGGTTGTTTCTCGGGGCGCTCGCAAGTTGTAAATCCCGAGTAAATGGACCGTATAACCTCATATCAAGTCATAATATGTTGAGCCCCTGACTCATCAGCCCGTTCTGAGATTCTAGTCGTGGAACGGTGAAAATCGTATGTAATGGATATCGCATATCAACCATCGGCAAGTTAGAGACCCGGACAGCTTGTATATCTGTACAAAAGTGCTTAAATGCTAAACTGATAGAAAGAGGAGGTATAGACTAGATAGATACAATTGAGTCCTGAATATCATATGCTAAATGTAGTGTTTTTGTTCGAATTACGTACTATTCAAGCTAGAAGGAAAAAAGAAAGGAAAATACAGACCCCCAATACCATGATAGAAGATAGAACATTAGTCTAATACAAGGCCAAAAGCCCACGGAGTGTTTGATCAATAAAGGGGGGGGTGTTCGAAAGGGGTAGGAAAAGATAGAAAACTGACACAATCCAACTCCACATCTTGGGGAAAAAGGAGACAACTAAAAACACACTAGAGGAGCGTTTCATTCCATTATAGAGGTGGCGAGAAATGCAAAATGCGAAAGGCAGGAGGGAAAATAACAAGATAAGAGAGGATAGGAAATACCGTACATAATGAGGTGTTTATTTTCGCCTACAGCCCGGGCAAGCTTTGTTCGTAACATGTTCTTTTTCTTTTTCTTTCATTTTTTTTTTATCTTTTTTGCTTTTGTTTTGGTTCAGCGCACCTCCACCAGCAGATGGCACACTGCAGGGCGAGTGGGTGACACGAAATGGCGGGAAAAGAAGATATATTTTAAGCTGCTGTTTTGTCTTTAGAAGCGTAAGAGCTTGGCAGCTTCAGTGTTCTGTGCGCCAGCGCCACCGGTAGCAGCCTTTCCAGTATGGCTGGAGCTGGTGTCATTGTTGTTAAGTCCACTAGGTTGCAACAACTGGAGAGGGATATCTGGAAGGCTGATCTTGAGGGTCTTCATGATTAGAGGGCCGGCGATAACAATGGCAAAGAGGAAGAACATGGTGAAGTATAGAATCGCAAAGCGGATGACACGGCGCTTGCGAAGCTTCGACTGCTTGAGAGAGTAGATTGGAGGTCGGATTTGACGACTAAAAAATGGTAAGTATATATAATAAGAAGGGATTGCAGGCTATGCTTACCTTGGTCTGAGCCAGAAGAGGATGACGGAGTGACCCTTGTCAACGTATGGGATACACAAGGCCGGAAGCATGAGAATCAAGATGACATGGCCGAGGATGAAATCAGCAGCAAACATGCCGAGTTCAGTGATCTTGCAAAGGAACTCACGGCCAGGTTGAGACAGCGAATGCCAACCCATACCATACCATTTACCAGTCCACCAGGCAATGTTAGCGTCATCTTGTCGGAATTCTCTTGTCAGGGCAAGGCCAATGATTAGTTTGAAGACAAATCGCTGGATGGCAGTGACAGCAATCATTCCAGCAAGGGTACGACTGAAAGAGAAGCCCTCAAGGAAAAACATGATTTCAAAGAAGATGAGGAGGCCGACAACAGCGAATCCGTGGGCAATGGCAGCGAGGACGGCACCAAATTTCTTGCAGCACATGCTGAGAATGGGGCCCATACAACAGGCCATGCCGAACATACCAAGACAGACACCTGCGTTGAGTGCGATAGGGCCAAGAGCAACAAGACCAACACGGATAAGGGAGTTGGTTGGCTGAATCTTATGATCGGGGTTGTTTTCCTTTCGAACACCAGTCTGAGCGTTGATGAAGAGGTATGGAATGAGAGTCACAGCAACAAGCACCAATGGGCCGATAATTTCACTGAAGAAGATGTTAGAGAACTTGGCTCGGGGTATGTCACCAGAGAGCTTCTCAGATGGGGAACCAAGGACTTTGCGCTTGTAACCGGTGATTCGTGTACGCGAGAGTCGGCAATAAGCGATCCAAGAGGAGGCATGGGAACGCGAGTTACCACGAGACAGCCATCTCAAATAATCACGGTAATCAATGAAGAAATCATTCCAAGAGAACTGGTGAGGGTTGAACAAGAAGGGCGAAATGCAGAGAGCAAGGAGCGATACCCAAAAGTACAACAAGCCAGGAAGCCAGACGGTGGCAGTTGCGAATAGAAGCATCATCAGCGATCGTGCACCAAGGTAGATGGATGGACCAGCGAAACGCGAGTAAAGAATACCGAACGGAATACGAGCGGTAGCAAAACCACGACCAGTACCAATATATCGGGCACCACCGAACGACAAGTTGTTGTGAAGAGAGTTGGCGTAGATCTGACACACGAACACTTCGAAAAGAGGAGAGAAGGATCCGAAGTGCTTAGCCAAACGGGTAGCGGCTCTCCAGAAACCACGCTCAGTCAATTCTTGAACAACCAGCGGCAAGAAGGATAGCAGGAAAACGATGCAAATAGACAAGATACAACGGTTGACCCAGTCCTTGATGGGGTTGAGATCAGCACATCCAGTTGGCATCAGTTCGTCAGTAATTGGAACACCCTTCTTAACCTGGCAAAGAATAGTCTCATGTCTCAAGGCTCCGAGGTTAATAAGACAGATCATGAAGAGCTGCACAGACAAAATAATGAAGATGTTATTGATGTGGAAACCAGGATGGGCATAGAAGAAGGACAAGAATCTGTCGAGCGGCAATTGGGTTCCTAGGTAGTAGTATTCACGAGAAAGCATCTGTTCACCCATACCAGTTCCGATTTTGGTGGTGAAGTTAAGAATAGAGCCAAATCCAAGATCACGACCCTTACCACACTGGTAGTATTCACAGTGCTTGATACGGCCACCACGGAGCAGAGCATTCATACCGGCGTAAATATCCTCGTTAAGATGCAGACCCTTTTGAGCTTTGGAGACACCACCACGAGTATTCATAAAGATAGCGTTAAGGAAATCAGGATGTCCGTAGTGAAGCTTGCCACCAATCTGAGCGAGAGTACGAGCGAAGAGAGTACCGAATGTCTGTTCCTTTCCGGCAGCAACGTCACCGAGTATACCAATGTTCTCAGAGAAAATGTATTCACGAGCTCCAAGAATGGCAACAGGGTCAAAGTTCACTGGTGGAAGACCTGGAGTGTATGGAGAGATGTTTTCAGTGGTCATTTCCTCGAACTCAGCAAGCACACTTCGAATCTTCAAGCATTCTTCCAAGTAGTTGTCCTGGTTAGCGTCGATAAGCTGAATATATTCACCGCGGTAGAAGATGATGGCATGGTTCTGGTTGTCAGACTTTCCGTCACCAAGAATTGGGTTACCAGAAAGCTGGACTCTGAACTTTGGTCGTCGAAGGCCGTTCTCCAAGATTTCAGAGTGTCCATCGATGAGGGCTGAGAACAGTCGGGGTTCCTCACCCTCATTCACTGGAGGTTCTTCGTCAAGATAAGCGATCTGAAGGTCGGGGTAGGCACGGAGCAAGAATTCAGTGTTTTCACGTTCTTCTTTGTTGAACTTGGCGAATCGCTGCATGGAAACACAAATCTTGAACTTGCGGCGGGCCATGCGTTCCAATTCACGTTCCAATTTGTCAGAGTTACCGCCAAACATTTGGACAACCTCCGGGTTCTCAACACGGTAGAGCAATTTGATAGCACGGCTGTAGTTCATGAATCCAGAAATGGTACGGTACAAAGTCTGAGAACGGAGGGAAGCCCAAATACGGGTACGGAGAGTGTACTCGGGAGCAGCAGATTTAAAACCAATGCAGTAGAACGGAAGGTCATTAATCTTGCTCTTCTGGGCGTCCTTTGCATTCTTCTCATCATCTCCGTTAAACTGGGAAGTCTCATCAGCCAGAATCTTGGTATCTTTGACGAAGCAGTCCCATTCGTGTGGGTGAAGCTGTTTAAGGTATTCCAACAGAGTGACACGGGAGTATGGCTCATCTTCACGGATAATCTCACGCAGGGACAAGAGAATCTTTTCACTGTAGTGGGGAATTAGGACAGTGAAGGTTGGCATGTTGTCAACAGGCACCGGCTCTGGGATTGGAGTAGACAGAGACTGGGCAAAGAAGGAGATACGACGCTCGGCTTCGCTAAGAGGCGGGAAGAACTCAGTCTTGAAGGAGTGATCTTCTTGAGAGACGAAGAAAGTTGGCGCACGAAGGGTACGCTTTCCTTCTTGCTCGGATGGAACCTGATGATAGAGGAGCTTTTGAACGTGGTCGATAGCCAAGAGATGTTCACGGTACATAGAGATGACAACTGCGTTCCACACCTGAGAGATAAGGACCTTGGGCTTGTACTTGATTTCCATGTCAGTGGTAGCAAGAACCTTGGAGTAGATACGCTTTGGCAGGCGAGAGAAGATATTCCTCCATGGAGTCCAGATGGAAACGCCAAGGTAAAAGGATCTGGCAACGGAGAAGATGGCGTTGAGGATAATGTACCACAGATAGGTATCCAAGAAAAAGAGGACTAGATCGGTGAAGAACATGAGTCCGAGCAGAATCTTTGGCTGGTACTTGCAAAGAATGTCCTTCAAAATCGCGTCACCATGACAGATACCGATACGGGTGTTGGACAAAATTCGAATAGGATCCTTGAGCGAAAGAGTCAGGAAGACGTAAGACTCTCCCAGCTTAGCTCCGAAAACGCAAACCCACAATCCGTAAGACATCCATCGGTCATTGCCTCGGAGTCGAGGATAACTGGCAGTAAATGTCTGACTGGCAACATACTGCCGGGAGTTTCGCTTAAGGTAACTTCCGAAAAGACCACCAAGCGGCATGACCGAGAAGAAGATGAACGTAATCAAGGCAATGAAGAACTGTGCAATTCCAAGAGCAAGAGCAATCTTGTCCTTTCCTGCGTCCTGACTGACGAAGAAAACATAGACGCTGGGTCCCAGGTTGACAACAAACACAGCAAGCAGGAAGAGAAGACGTTTCGACAGATGCTGCGCACCAGCCCATTGACGAGGAACATAGCACCATTCAGCGAGAGTAGCCCAGACGTTGATGAAAGCAGCAATGGCACCACCGAGACCAACGGCGGACCAGACGGCGGCCGCTGGCGGGGACTCGTTGCCTTGCTGAGTATAATTCTTGGTGTAGAGAGTCTGGGAGTTGTAGGCAGTGTAGAACCAGAAAGCAGTAACATGGATGATCCAAATACGGTTGAAGTTGACAACCATGTGGAACCAGGAGCGAGTTTCCTTGTAGGTCTTGAAGAAACACTTCTTCCAGTTGACATCTTTGAGCTTGTTCCATCGCTCAGCTGGAGGAACATCAACGAGGCGGGTTTTGTCCTCGAGAACGATACGCTCGATACCTTCTGGGTACCAGAAGAGCTGGTTGCAGTCGTCATAGCCAATAATCTGAGCGTGGTCACGTTCGCGACGGACATACTTACCGTCGACAATCTCGTAACCCTGGTCACGGCAATACTGGTACAGTGGAGTGATGATCTCGTTAAGGTAAGTGAATTCCGGAACGGGTTCGACACGATTCTGGCACTCGGGGGAGCGGAGGTAGTCGTCAGCACACTTGAAGATGAAGCAGAGACACTCCGGCATGAATCTGGTCTGGTTAGCTTCACCCCAGCAGAGCAGGTACAAGGCGACTTGGCGAGCTCTGTCGTGCTGAGACATGCGGTTCATCCGGGTCTTCCATCTGTACTCGGCTGCCTCGAGACTGTTGTCGCCTTCTAGGGACTCGAGCGTCTCTGCCTCGTCCTTTTGCTCCTCACCGGCCTTCTTCTTGGCGGCCTTTCTGGCTTTGCGAGTACGTCTGTTGGTCTTTCCAAGTTTCATGTTGGCAAATCCAACGGCGTCATCGAGGTCGAGGTGGGCAGCAAAGTACCAACGGCGGTAATTAGCATTCTCACCGCCAATGTAGTCGGCGTGGAGAGAAAGCAGAGCCTGGTTGGGAGTCATACGAGAGGCTCGAGAGTCGAGCTGCACCATGAAGTGATCGTACATGTTACGCATGCTGTCCCGCTGGAAACCAAACTTGTTGACGAGGTCCAAGAAGATCTCCTCGATCTCCTCCTTGGAGAGTGGGATCTGAGCGTCAGAAGTCCATGCGGGATAGGGCTCGCGGGATCGTTGACCCATGGGAAGAGCATCGGTTCCGTAGATGGGAGTAGCAGCTCCAGAAGATCGGTTTCCGTAGGAGATCTGAGAGGATGGAGGTCGGTATCCTCGGCCACCCATCTGGCTCTCGCTGTAGCTGTTGTACCGTTCGTCACCACGGCCGTAGTAATCACCATCACCACCACGGGCATCAGACCTCATGGTAAAGTCACTGAAAGTCTCCGAGTCCTCCTCGGAGTCATGGGGACGGCGTCTTCCACGGCCCTGGTTGTGGTCTCCAGCTCCCTGGTCATAGTACTGGTTGTCATAGTAGTCATCCTGGTAGTACTGCTGGTTGTTGTCATAGTAGCCATCCTGAGGATAGTGCTGATCACCACTGTAATAATCACTTGGAGCAACGCCATTTCAATTAATGACCCGACTAATTCAAACATGGGGAGGGTAACTTGAGGTTTACGGTGGGAGGGGAGAGTGTGTGCTTACGCTCTGTCGTAGTAGCCATCACCCTGCTGGTGCTGGCCCTGGGGGTAATCATATTGGTCGTAATAGGCTCCTCCATGCTGATCCTGGTAGTAGGAGTCGCCGTGACCATGTCCGTGGCCGTTGTAGCCATCGTCATAATGGTCTTGCTGGACCGCCTGGGGGTGCGGGTGGCCGGACATCGTGCGATGGTCTGTCAATTCACACAATCACTGCACCCGTCAGCCCAAGTTTCCATACTTACCCAGACACAGACAAGCACAAAGGGGATGAGCACTCACCTTAACACGAATCCATGCAGTTGATTTGATGCAGCGTCGAGAGAAGTTCTTTGTGGGCGTTGGATATGCAGTCGTGACGTGACAATCGTGAGGGTGCAAATGAAACAAGCCCGCTAACACAAAAATCAAGAAACCGAAGAAACCGAGTCTAAACTAGCGATTGAGCGTGAAGAATCGTTTCTCTGACGTCTTTCCTCTATGTCTTCGCGTCTTTTGTTTGATGTCGTGAAATATATGCTCGAGATGCTGGCGGTTTGAAGTGTTTGATGTCGTCCTTTTTTTTTCTCCTCAACTTCTTTTTCTTTCGTCGGTAGCAAGAACGAACCACCTGAGCGAGCAGTCGACACTCACTCTTCCAACCAGCAGAGAGAGGAAGAAGAACAAGAAGAAAAGAAAAAAAAGAGCGAAAGGTCGAGTACACACAACGAGTGACTTCGGTGCGAGACAAGAAGAGGGAGGAGGAGGAGAGGGTGAAGAGGGAGGGTAGAGCAGAGTCAGAGTCAAGAAGGGGAGAACGAAGAAAAGAGAAAAAAGGGCGGCAAAAGGACGAGCAAGAATAAGAAAAGAAAAGAAGCAAAAAAGGTGACGATAGAGAGGAAAAGCAGGAGACTTGACGTGTCGACGATCAGCCTGCAGGAGATTTAATATTCCTCGCTGGCTCTTTTTTTTTTTTTTTTTTTTTTTTTTTTTTTTCTCGTCGCTCTGCGCTGGCTTTGCTTCTTTTTCTGCCTGAGATGCTTCGTCCGATGGCTTCTGCAGTTTCTCTACGGCTTCGTCGTGCCTGAAAAGACTCGCGAAAGGGGATCGCTCTGTCGGCTTCCACAGCGTCGTCGTCAATTGACCGGATTTCACAGGAAGAAGAAGAAAAGAAGAAGGGAGAAAAAGGTAAAATTACAGGCTGGCGCTTTTTTCCCTCGATCTAATCGTGTATTTATGCTTGTTTATTTCGTACTGATATTACGATATCTCTGTATTACTGTAAGTTACATTTTATTGACGGCTGATATATATGTATGGTAACTGTAATACTAGTACGCGGCTGGTGATACAGGGGCGAGGGATCCCCAGCCAACCCAGATGGCGGCCCCCTTAGCTTTCCTGGCAAGCCTTTCTGCCTCCTCTGGATGGAGATGGGTTTTCCCCTGGCCCCACAGGCTCCTCCTTGATGATTTCCTTGGGATGGCGCAGGCCGCCGGCCGCCGGCGAGGCTGGTGCAGTCCAGTCCAGTCCAAATTCCCCTGCCAGGGGAGGCGGACGAGGGAAACAGGGCCGCCGGGCGCTTCGGGAAGACCAACCAGCACCACGTCAGGGCTTCAGGGTCTGAGACCTTCGAGGCTAGTCCAGCAGTACTCCGTACAGGAGCAAGCCCTCTTATAGTTCGCTGGTAATAGTTCCTAAACGTGGACAGACTGATTCACATAACCAGTTCAACCAGTTGTACCACGCCGAACTGGCGCGCGCCCGGTCGACTTGCCACCTGGTTCAGCCTGCATTCAATCAGGGCATTCCAACCTCCAAGCGAGGGCACATCACTGGAGATTGCGATACATCGGCCCACCGCCAGATCTTGCCTGTTGCTGCTGCTGCTTGCTTGATTTGCTTTTTCCTTTTTCCTTTTTTTTTTTTTTTTTGGTCACTCCTCACTTTCTTCCCTCTGTGTCTGATGCTTCCACATCCTTCAAGTCGAGGGAACAGACCTGGTTGGACCATGGCCCGTAAAAATACTTATATGCTGTCATGTACCTCTTGTTCCGTATCACCCTGGAACCCGCCCTCATGCCCGTTCGAATCACGCTGTATGGGCCCTCCACTGGTGTCTCACAATCCCAGGGATGAGGTGGGGTGTTTGACATTTCAAGGCTTGGGGGGCCTCTCGCGCATTTCTTCTTCCTGCTGGCTGGGCTTACTTTTCCTCCCAGGCTTGCCACTGTGGTTCGCGGCCTCCATCGCGTCTCCAGCCTGTGGCGGTGCCTGCAGTAGTCGTTTAGAGCCGTCATCTTCGAGTGTGCCTCTTCACAAGCATAAATATAAACGGGATCCGCGAGCGTCCGGCCGTCGGTTTTGATAGCAAAAGAGAAGTCTCACTTGGACTTGGTTTCTCGAAGCCTCGACTTCTTGATGTCTCGACCGTCCGTGACGATGTCTCTCTTCAGCTTCTCGTAGTCTCTAGTCTCTCGTCTCTCGTACTCCAACCGTAGTCAACCCCATGGCACACCATGGCCAGCGACCTGCCAGAGCAGAACCGTCAGCCGAAGAAGCGCAAGGAGCGCACCCCGTAGATCAAGCACACGTCGAGAAGAGTTGCTTATGATCCTGACGGCCACCCCCCCTGCCTGCCCGTCTATCTAACCGCCCGTGTCTTCGTTCGTCTGGCTCGTCTGTCGCTGCTTTGTTTGGCTGCCGTGTTTCATGCGTGCTGACTACGCAAGCCCCTTTTCCCTGTCCTGTCCACGCAAGCTGCAGCCAAAAAAAAAAGGTTAACGTGACTTTCTCCGGGTTTCTCCAGAAAGAAAAAACAACATCTTCAAATTCTCTCTTCACTCTCGCTCTTCTCTCCCTTCTCCTGTTCTGAGAGACCTCTTCATCCATCTTCTTCACACTCGTTCGAGTCCATTCTCCGGGCGACTATTTTCTCTTTCGTAACCGCTCTCGTTTATCCTCTTTTTTATTTCCCCATCTCCTTTTCGCTACGGCTCCTACTCTCGCTTTTTCCTGCACCTTTTCGTATCTACAACACGCGAGAGATAAGACATTGTTACCATGAAGTTTTCCTCATTGGCGGCCGCTACGGCCTTGGTTGCCGGCTCCGTCGTCGCTGCTGACCTCGATCCTATCGTCATCAAGGTTGGTGCCCGTTCTGCGTTGATACCTGGCTGGCCCAGGGGGTTTTGATAGGGGAAAGAGTAGAAGGACTGAAGACTGACAGTCGATATCGGAACTATAGGGAAGCAAGTTCTTCTACAAGTCAAATGGCACCGAGTTGTACGTTGCATCTCTGTCCCGTCATATGTCGTACCTCTTGACATCGTTGCGCTAATTTGACTCTTATAGCTTCATGAAGGGTATCGCTTATCAACGTAAGTGGACGGCTTGATCTCATACACTGACTACCAAGCTCGACGCCTAAGTGGCATACAACTTACACCTGGATAGAGGAATTCTCAACCAATGGAAGCACTAGCGCCGACAACAGCTACCAGGACCCCCTTGCAGACGTAAAGTCCTGCCAGCGTGATGTCCCCCTAATGCAGGAGCTGCAAACCAACACCATCCGTGTGTACGCCATCGACCCCAAGAAGGACCACAAAGAGTGCATGAAGTTGCTCCAGGATGCTGGCATCTACGTTGTGGCCGATCTTTCTGAACCCAGCACTTCCATCATCCGCGATGACCCCAAGTGGGATGATGACCTGTATACCCGCTACACCTCAGTCATTGACGAGCTGGCCAAATACACTAATGTTATTGGTTTCTTTGCCGGTAACGAGGTCTCCAACAATAGCACCAACACCGATGCTAGTGCTTTCGTTAAGGCTGCCGTCCGTGATATGAAGGCCTACATTAAGCAGAAGAACTACCGTCCAATGGGTGTTGGCTATGCAACCAATGACGACGCCGAGATCCGCAAAGACATGACCGCCTACTTCAACTGCAATATGAATGAGGAATCCATTGACTTCTGGGGCTACAACATCTACTCTTGGTGTGGTGACTCCTCTTACACTAAATCTGGTTATGATAAGGTCGTCGAGGAGTTCAAGAACTTCAACGTCCCAGTCTTCTTCGCCGAGTACGGCTGCAACGAGGTTCAGCCAAGAATGTTCACCGAGGTCCAGGCACTTTACGGTGACAAGATGACTCCCGTTGTCAGTGGTGGAATCGTGTACATGTACTTCCAGGAAGAAAATGACTACGGTAGGTTCCCTGCTACTAACATGATATCCATCAGATCGACCGCCAGCTAACTTGCTACAGGCCTCGTCAAGGTTGAGGGTGGTAAGCCTAAGAAACTCCCTGACTACAACAACCTTAAGAAGCAGATTAGCAAGATCAAGCCCTCTGGTGTCCAGATGGATTCTTACAAGCCAACCAACACCGCTCTCAGCACCTGTCCCACGAGCTCTACCTGGAAGGCCAGCGTGAAACTCCCACCATCCCCTAACAAGGATCTCTGCTCCTGCATGGTCAAGAGCTTGAGCTGCGTCGCCAAACCCTCCGTCACCGGCAAGGAACTTGGCAAGCTCTTCGGAACTGTCTGTGGTAGTGATAAGGATGCTTGCAAGGGAATCACGGCTGATGCTACCACCGGTACCTATGGTGCTTACAGCATGTGCAGCCCCTCAGAGAAGCTTTCTTTCGCTTTCGACCAGTACTACAAGCACCAGTCGGCCAAGGGCAATGGAGCCAACGCCTGTGACTTCAACGGCGCTGCTACCACGCAGAAGTCTGAGAAGCCGTCTGGCAGCTGTGCTAATCTCGTCAACCAGGCTGGCCAGGATGGTACCGGAAGTGTTACCTCTGCTCCCGGAAGCGGCACCAACAAACCTGACCAAGGTGCTGCTTCCACCGTCTCTGCCCCATCCGTCAACTTGGGCATTGTCAAGCTCGGTGCTTATGTCTTCTGTGCCGTTCTTGCTGGCGCTGGTATGATCTTGATATAAACATGCGCGGTGTAACCAAACAAAATCCCTCTCAGTTCTTGTTCTCCATGATAGATACCAGTAATACATGAACTATACCATTCGTCCATAACCCATCGACACACTGAGCTGCTTCCTCTACCCCAACTTGCTTGTCTTTTTTGATTCCCTCATTGCTTCTTCTTTCTAATGGTCATGTCGATACTGGATCGGCCGATCCTCCTTTTGCTTTGTTTTTTTCTCCCGCTACACCATCTGTACGTACCGTAGCATGCACTTGATTCCCACTTCCTTTCCTTATGAGTTTGTAATAGTGATGAAAACTGACTCCTTTTGCCCCTCTATCTTTTCACTTATGGGAGTAGCCCGGTAAACTGGCACCAATTGATTCCTTTCCTTACTTTGTCTTGCTTAAATAAGTCTGTAGAGTGTGTAAATGGTAGAAGGTAGCCGTTGTTGTCACTTCTGTGGTTGAAAGAAGCTTTTATGCCATATTTTTTAGACGGTTGCCCCGCCAACGTCGAAACATCAGCCGCATCTCTAAAAGCTAACGATGAAGATTCAGTCAGTGAATCCAAGAAGACATCAGCAAATTCCTTACTCAGACTCCATGGTACTCACTTAGCGAACTTCTTAGACTCAGCTTTCTCGAAATACTCCTCATTTCAGTTCTTTGCAATGGCGAGACTTTATACAAAACCAAGGGAAACTGGTCAAGTGGCGAAAGGAAGCACGAAAGGCGGAGAAAGAAAAGCTGTAGAGAATGAAGCTGTTGCCAGATCTCAATCTACAGCTGGGGACGATGAGATGCAGGAAAAGATATCCTCTGAAAGCGTCAGAAAAGTGAAACAGAATGAGAGCGAAGATGGCCCTAGACGAACTGTTAGGTCAAGGAGGCATATCGATGGCCAGGAAAAGCTGATATCCCAGTTATCTGATTTGTCTTTGACCTCGAAGAAGAAGGAAAAGGCATATCGAGAAAGAAATGAGGAGGAGGAAGTGGTTGAGAGGCTTAACAAGCTGGGACTTCAAGGGACAGATGAGGATGACGAGGAAGGCCTGGTAGAGACAAAGATACCTGACGAGGAAGATCAAACGGACAAAAGAAGAAGATTTCGCCGTACATCCAAGAAGAATTCTAGTTACAGTGATGAAGATGAAGGGGAAAATGAAGAGGATAGTACCATGGGACGTGATGAAGGGGATGATACAGAGGATTTCGATTCCTTGGATGACTTTATTGTTTCTGATAATGAATCGTTGAGTCTATATGAGGACTCGGAATATGAAGATGAAAAGGATAGTGATGAAGAGGGGGAAAAGAAAGAAAATAGCAAATCTCACCCTTCTCCTGACCATCATCTAGATTCTGATGCTGAAGCTCAGTCTCAGCCACAGCATCGGCCACGCAGAAGACTCTTCAGGGGTAGAAAGCAGCGTTACTCAACTCCCCCTCATATATCAGATAATGAATCTTGTGAGGGTACTGACAGACCTAACAATACCCCAGGTTCTGACACAGAGCTATTGTCATCCAACAGCAAGGGGTACAACACATCTTGTCCTGTTAATCAGGAAGGATATGAGCAGGATACAGCCTTCACAACTGATATTCTGTTGGAATCCAGGCCATTTCTCCCGCCTCCAATATCTCCTATGTTTCCAAAAGAGCCCAGAAATCAAAACAAAAAGTCTGTGGGTTCAACTCCTACAAAAACCACGAATAGCCGAGCCGTAGATAGCTCTCAAGGGTATGGAACATTCCCTTCCAATTGACTCTATCTGTATTTGGATATTAATTATCATTGTCAAAAAATATCTCTGCTAAGCTGAAAATAGGGCTTCCCCTTCTTCTGTTGAGTCTCCCGAGCAAGACAGCTCGAACATGGACTTCGTTACTCCTCCAACCTCCCCTACAAAGCCCCGCCTTAAGTCTCCCTCAAAGACACAGAAGACTCGCATTCCTCCATCCCCTCACAAATCTAATATCGACATGTTTTGGGACCAGGAAGCTGTCAATGAGTGGAATGACAAGTTCTCCCCTCGAAAGATCAAAACTCCCAATTTTTACAAACGGCATTTTGATATATTCTCTGACACAGAGGGTGAGGGTGATGATGAACAGATATATGGTAGTCTGGACAACGATTGTGTGATTACGGATGTGTCGATTCCAGGGCATCTGGGTACTCCTGAAACTGATGCAATCAGTGACAAGTTGCCTCTACATACCTCCCCGATCAAAAAAAATGCCAGCCCGGGTAAAAAGCAAGCCAAGGCATCAGCATCGACAAAGAAGGCATTGGCTACCAAGAAGCGAGAATTCGATGAACGGAAACATACTCTTGCTACGGACTTCTTTAACGAATTGGATACCATGGTGACTGGGGGCGAGATTTTGAAACTCGCTAAATCCGCCGGGGGAGTAAACATTGTTTGGAATAACAAATTGACTACCACGGCTGGTAGAGCTACTTGGAAAAAAGAGTTGATCACACGCAACAGAGATTCAACAGAGCAGTTGCTTATCGACTCCTCTTCAGCGAACTTCTGCTCTCCGAATACTTCCTCTTCACATGGATCTTCCTCGGCATCATCTTCAACTACCAACTCGTTACCTACGGATGAACTTTTGATATCGTCAAGCAAATCGTCTGTCCACCGTTCAATAAGGCACAATGCAACCATCGAGCTGGCCGAGAAGGTAATTGACTGTGAGGGCCGGCTGCTTAACACATTGGCGCATGAATATTGTCATCTAGCCAACTTTATGATATCCGGTGTTCTCGACCAGCCTCACGGCGCAAGTTTTAAACAATGGGCTAAAAAGTGCAAGACAGCACTCGACACTCACCTAGAGTACTCGGGAAAGATCGAAATTAGCACGAAACATTCATATCTAATCAATTACAAGTACATGTGGTGCTGCACGAGTTGTGGGCAGGAATATGGTCGACACTCAAGGAGCATTGATCCGGTAAAGGTTCGGTGTGGAAAGTGTTATGATGGGAAGCTATTGCAAGTTAAGCCAAAGCCAAGGGGGAAAGCGAAAGTATAAGAGGCATGATAACGAGTCTGGATAAGGTTTGAATGATCTCATGATGTACGATGTTTCTATTATTGTTTTTGCGGGCGATTATACCAGTGTTCAATTTCTGGCTTTGTTTTGTTAAGATCTCTTTAGTTGGCAACTACTCTTTGCAAAACCTAGGGGTTTTATCATCACTCGCTGACGAATTCACTTCATCATCCGTTCTCGTACAATTGCAATTTCGCTGAGTATCAAGAGCTTGTATTAAATATCTAGACCGAATTGATTATAAATGACATTGATTTTTCCTTTAATATACATAGTTTTATTACTTTTTGTCCCTGGTGATAAGGCACTTTTCCCACTTCCATCCCTTCGTATGCTCACTGCGCTTATTCCTGAAGTGTATGTGATTATCAGCCTGGCGACTAACCTCCGAAAAGGCAATAGTCAATAATTCCCAGGGACCGCATCATATTGGCCATGATGTCATGCGCACGCATTTCCTCCTGGGCAACCGCGCCGGGAACTCCAGATTCCTCAAGCATATCGTGAGGGACATTGATATAAACAAGTATATCAGTGCCATACTGTGCGAGCCGTACAAGGAAGAAATGGCAGGTTGAAGTTGATTCGTGTTCGGTTATCGGTGCAGTGACGGTCGTACCGGCAGTACCAGCAGTACCGGTTGAGGCTGGTGTTGATGTCGATGTCGCTTGCTGCGTAGAGTCTGAGAGCATGTTAAGCAAGCGCTGAGTGTCGGATATCTTCCCCTTGGCGGTCACCAGTGCCTGGCAAGTATACGCTGGAGAAGGTATGAGTTGAACAGGGTACGGCTTCGGCAGATCGAGAATCTCATAGGTGTCCCCATTGGAAGTGCACATGTCATGCAGATGATACAAGACAGCGCTGAGTTCCTCTTTGTTGGTATCCGAGGATGTTTCCAACTGAGCCGCCACCTCTTCTGGCAGGGTATATGAGCCCGGCTCCAGTCGTTCGACCAGTTCGATGATGATGTTTGTCTTTGTGGAGGTAGACCGGAAGACCTCCTGGTTATCAGGGATTGGATAGATAGACCTTTTTATGATTGAATCCGTCGGGTTGTCTTAGCAGTATGTCTCTTTTGAGTATGATTTATATTGCTCGATGCCATCCTCGCTCAAATTTGGGCTTATCATTCAAAAAATGTCCACTTGGAGTGCTGGTCGGGAGCCCAGCAGGCAGCAGCCCCGCCGCGGGGGTGGTGCAGGCGCAAGAAGCAGCAGCGGTGGCCATATAGAAAGCAGGGCAGTATAGGGAAGAGGAAGAGGAAGAGGGAGAGAAGTAAAAGCAGGGTAAAAATGAATTATATCTTACCCCATGTTTGCGAATCCCTTCGGTATCAGGACCTTCATCGCGCCGCCATAGAGCTCGGCCAGCTCATATCCTGTGTCACTATCGGTAGTAGACTCCGCCATATTGCAGCCCCTCTAGAGAAAAAAATCAAATGGATTGTAAAAGAGGAGAAGTAAAGGGGATTATGTCTGTACAAATATCTAGGAGCTGGAGTTTTAAAGAGGCAGAGGTACAGACCGGCAGAAGCCTTTAGATATATAAGGATATTTTGAGTTTTATAATGTCAAAGGAGTTTCATAACCATTAACTAGTTATTTGTCAGACAAGACTGAGAGTGCTTCAGGCATCAGGCTCCAGCTCTTCGTCCCGATCTTCACAGTGGAGTCGAGAGCAGTCGCGGAGCAAAGGGATACGCGGAATAACGCAGTTATTCGCAAGGCAGAAGCGCAGCAGGCATTCTTCAAGCCAGTGGAAGTGCATGGCAGTATATAAAACACGGCATGTCCCAGGATCCTCAAGGGTCTGGAGCTGGTCTATCACTGGCAATGGCTAACTAGATGGGAAAGGTAGCTGGACATTGGCTGAACCCCTAGATCTCTATCATCTAGGCAGCAGGCAGAAGCACAGGCAGCAGCCGTGGCACTAGGCAGCCACCGGGTGCTGATTCAGGGTGTTTGCCTTGCATACCCGAGTTTGAGGGCTTTCTTATGGGAAGACCATCAGGAGCGATCTTTGGTAGATCTTGTTCGTTGATGAAATTCTCTAATTTAATTTACAGGCAGAGGCAAGGAAGATGCATGAGATATTTAATGCGTGGATAATGTACTACACGGGCGAGGTGTCGACAGGGGAAATCTAATGGATAAGGAGTGCAGGTAGCGGAGATGCGAGCGAGATTACAGAAGTACTTGTAGATGTGTATTGCTTTATAATATTCAATATCAACTAACTCATGTGTACATTGCAAACGCAGATGTATATACATTGCTGAGTATTGTAAAGACATGAATTAGCTGTGTTGTGGCTTAAAATCAACTACACGCGGAGAAATACCCTATTAAGAATATGTCAAGCGGTAAGTGACTTCGTCCCGAATCATTCCCTGTCAATAAAAGGACCCTTACTTCAAAGGGTAATTTCGAAAGCCTTCATTCAGCAACGTGGTCCGACAACCACGGCTAAACCCGTAATGAAACGGACTGACCTCCTGTTTTACCAGGAACACCAGTTTGCTTATGTAGCAGGAATCAAAACGTGTTTAAGGACCGGGAGTAAAGAAGAGACATGAAGGGAAATCATAGATCCAACAGATATTCAGCATATATATCAAGCTCAAAAATCCGAAATCTAGAACCCCATTTGTCGCGAAATGATTTCCGAGTGTAAGCACGGCTGGTGATGGAGCTGAAACTAACCAATTCAACATACCAACCCTTACTCAACGCGCGGTCAACCATCTTCAAGAACCCATCTGAATACTCAGCCTGGGCAGCGTCGCCGGTCGCCAGGACAATTGTTGAGGGAGTATCGGTGTCAACGATGCTCTCCAGTATCTTTAAATGTAGAATCTCATCTACAGCTTGCTCAACCCATCTTTCGGAGGAGGTTTGGGCATTCGTTTCGGAACTGCTGGACTGATCATAGAGTGAACGGCGCGAGGCCTTATCTCCACCACCTCCGGAGAGTTTCGTCTTCCGGGGCGATGAGCCCTTCGCCTTGTGTACTCGTTCGAGAATGTTCGTCTCGTAACCAAGCGTTTCTGCTTCGTCAATGGCGGGATACCGATCAGAGCCAACGAGAACTCGCTTGCTGACTGGCCGCGCTCGTTCGAGGACGAGGGCAAAGTTCTGGAATGATAAGGGCAATCGACGAACTCGAGTAGTCAGAGGTATGTCCCTTGACTTCTTGATGCAGTCGTGGAAGCCAACCATGATCTGTAAGAGTAGTTAGAATAGGCTTAAGCTTTGTCGCTATCGGCAATCAAGGCACAGCAACTTACGTTAGACATATCGACAAATACGTGAATACCTGCTGGTGCCGTCTTTAGAGGGCGACAGAGGCATTCACGTAAGTTCCCGTGGTTCAAGTTATTCCTGACTTTGGCATGTTTTTCTTCGAGCAACGAGACAAGAGCCTGTTGTCTTTGTATAGTAGAGCCAGTCAGGAGCGGCTCAATATGGATAATAGAACCAACTATCCTCTTGCCTTTAGGTGCGGAAGGAACAGCCTCGGCCCCAGCGATAGCACCAGCAGTAGTAGCAGGAGGTCTGCGAAGTATGGATTTAGGCGAGTCCAGGACGGTCCCACTGGTAGGTGCTGGTAGCACCGATAACCCCGCGGAATTGATGTTCTTGGGGACATTCCCCTTGAGAATCACTTTCTTATTGGGAGACCTGCTCCCGTCAAGCTGATGCTTTAGCACTGCAGCTGCCTCTAGCACATCCTTTTTGCCACTGCGAGCATAGATGGCCGAGTTGTCAGAGACAGTACCAAGCTTCGGTGGCGTAGTTTGGGAGAGAAAGGTAAACAGGGCGCCAAAATCTCCAAGCTTAGGTTGTGCACCTTTCTCACTCTCGGCATCCCCTAGAGAATTAGAGGCGAACGTGGCATGGCTGATAGGGCCATTTGCAGTTTGCTTTGGACTCGCGGGGCGTTCATGTTGACAGCCTTCGAGGCTAAAAGAATGTAACAGGCTGATTGCCGGGGTCAGATCCCAGGAAGGTGGTGATGTGTCAGGGACAGACATTAACAGCCAGAATTATAGAGGGGTTGTAGAAAAGAGGTACACGGCCCGTCGTGGGGGAAGGAGGCAAAAAAATCGAAAGATAGCACACTTGTTATCTGTATGGAGTTGCGGCAAAAAGACGGCAAATATTGGTGTGGGGTGTGGTAACAGCAATGCGGCAGGGTGTGGCAGGACAAACAGGAACAAGGGTTAGAAAAAAAGAACTTCGCTCGAATAACGGAGCAAGAGAGGAGGCGTAAGCATCATAAGCGGGACTGGGTAGCAGCCATTTCGTGGTTGCGCTCGGCGGTTGTTGCTATGTTGGTGACTCGAATGATGGATGATGTTGGGATGAAGTTGATGGAAGCGCGAAGACGCTTACGGAGGTTGCTCCGGGTGGAGCACACGGATCGTTTATGGGCCTCGGCACCCGGACGCCGGAGAAACTATGATGCAAGAGAATGACTAACATGGATGGTCTTGGTCATATCACGTGATTTAGGACTTGGAATATGATGTAATTATGAACTCTATTTTCGATTGCATGCACAGCATGGATGGAAGAGGATGAAAGCTCTCCACAGCGGACCTCGCGCTGAGGTTGCCAGTGTGCTTGTTCGTCATACCCCTTGAAACGACAGGCGCCGGGGAGGGCAGTGTTCCCAGTATCGAGATACGGATGACGACGTCATCCCAAGGTTCTTACTCAATCTGGCCCTGAGGGGATGGCTATATAAAGGTCGACGATGTCCCTGAGATGAGCTACTTCTTTTCATCATCATCACACAACAAGACGAACAATCCAATCAATTCCAATCTCATAACATCTTTTCAAACCTCCCAAAAAACACTTCTTCTATAACAATCATTCACAATGGCTGACACTGGACGCAAGGATTTCCTTACCAGTATGCGCTTTCTCCCCCTTCTTTACACCCCTCTCTGAAATTCTGAAAAGTATCCCCTCAACTCTAACTTCCTTGAACAGAGGCGAAGGAGGAGTTGACTCCTGACAGCACCAAGTCCCAGCAGGACAAGATCGGCGAGGCCTACACTGACACTAAGGACCGCGTTGCTCGGTATGACATATAATTCCCGCAGTCAATCCTGCCTTTCTCAGCGATATACTGAACTGACATATTTCGCAGTGGTCTCCAGCCTGATGAACAGAAGGGCACTGCCCAGCAAGTCTTTGATAAGGGCCAGCGTGCCAGCGACAACCAGAGCGGCGGAGCTGCCCAGGCCATGTAAGTAGTGAATTGCTTTCCCCGCTCGATGAAAACCTCCCGGGCATTGCTAACAGATAGTTTATAGTGGCGACAAGGTCAAGAGCGCCCTTGGAATGGACACCAAGCCCGAGTAAATGTGGAGGGCTAAACAACTATCATGCATGATTTCCCGGGCTTGTCCTTATTGGCACAGTGATATGAAGGCTAAACACATATAGCTTCCATTTTCTCTATATATTTAAATACCACCAATTAGTTCATGATTAATATACTTTAATGCACTTATGATATTTTCTGTTCAATTATAACTCACCGTTTTCACTAATTATATATTTTGATCTGACTTCCTAAAAGCGTGAAAACGCTCTTGGAAGAGTGGTTCACTTCCGTCCAACGTTGAGCCCGGAGTTGTGGTGAACCAACAGCTGGCCTCCAAAGAAAGCTCGAAAAACTGGGAACAACCCCTGGGATAATAACATCTCGCGGGCCATGGGTCTCATGATTCTGGGTCATCGAGGAGTTCAAGAGAGTGGGGAGAGATGACGAAAACCTTACATGTTGTGCATCTCATCTAGAGGAAGCTCATGAGATTTACTTCAGAGTTTAGTTGAGATCTCAAGCAGCCGCATTTTCATCTGGTCTGCTATGGTATGGTATCTTGTTGGCCTGTCCACGCTCTCAATGGGGTATCAGTTTTGCCTCTTTGACTGAGATAACAACATGGCTGTTGCAATACCGAGACCATTATCCTTTTCCAAGACTCTTGCAAAGTATGCTCTGTAGCGTTGAGTAATCTATTCGTCGGACCACCTTTTCCCGAACTCTTTTTGTGGTATGTGGTATATGCTAAAGTTCGAAATCCTGCTCGCTGCCTTGGAAGGATCCCGGCTATATTGTTAACCTAAAATGAAAATATATATATGTACTTTTGGTGCCAGGATGTGCCAACCCGGGTTGGTCGGTGCTGGTTCTTGGATGTTGCTCTCTGTCCAAAAGCAAATATGGAAGAGCTTTTGAAAAAGGCTTCCACCTGCGCCTTCCGAGGGACAACCTTAGATTACATAATAAGACTTAACCGCGGAAAAATGAAGGGCCGTGCACGCTTCGAGTAACGCCCGGACCACCCGCTGTCCGCCAGACCAACCAGAGAATAACACCCGAGATGCGAGTTGAGATATAGATAAGCTGGCTACCAGGATGGCTACTCTTCGTTCGGGCGGAGGTATTGCTGCCGGCTCATCTCCAAATGGCATGTCCTCGCCACCGCCTGCTGGCGCGAATGTAGCTCCGCGGCAGACAGCACTGGCCAACCGACTCAACTCCGCTCTAGCTGCGTCCTATGCGGACTCGGAATTCAGAGATGCGCTGGAGACATTGGATAGTAGGGGGATTCAAAATACCGCGGAGACCAGGAGAACCCTTCGACTTGATGTCCAGAAGGAAGTTATTGATTCCAATGGCAAGATAATACAGGATTTCGGTAGGGTTGCTGAGGTGGGTGTCTCTTTATGACTTGGGGTGAGAAGCTAGACTAACGGAATGTCTCTGTACGTAGCAACTCTCTCGAATCGGCGATGTAATAGCCAACCTCAATACGATATGTCAGGACATGCGAGATCGATTGTCAGTAGCACACAAGGAGACTGGACCGGTACTTGAAGAAGCGTCTACCTTAACGACTAAGAAAGAGGAAGCGGAGACGAAACAGGTCCTACTCAATGCTTTCAACAAACACTTCATTCTTCCCGAGGAAGACGTGCAAGTTTTGACCTCTCTGTCAGAACCTGTAGATGACAGATTTTTCAGCATCCTCGGCCGGACAAAGCAAATACACAAGGATTGCGAGGTGCTGCTGGGCAGTGAAAACCAAAAGCTAGGGCTGGAGATCATGGAGCAAAGCTCCAAGAACCTCAACTCCGCGTTCCTCAAGCTATATAAATGGATTCAGAAGGAGTTCAAATCACTGAACCTAGAAGACCCACAAATTGGAGGAACGATCAGAAAAGGAATCAGAGTCCTTGCTGAGAGACCGAGTCTGTTCCACAGCTGTCTCGACTTCTTTGCCGAGGCTCGAGAATATATTCTGTCCGATGCATTCCATCACGCTCTTACGATAGCTTTGTCCGGCGAAGGGGCAGATGCAAATACCAAGCCAATTGAGTTTTCTGCACACGATCCACTCCGGTACGTGAGCGATATGCTTGCGTGGGTGCATTCAGCTACTGTGTCTGAGCGAGAAGCACTGGAGGCCCTCTTTGTTTCGGACGCAGACGATCTTGCCAAGGGGATGGAGGCAGGTATCAAGAGCGAACCGTGGTCTCGCGGGGAAGAAGGCGAACCGGTATTTGATGGCCAGAAGGCGCTAAGGGAGCTAATCACCCGGGACCTAAGCGGCGTTGCTCGCTCACTGCAGCAAAGAGTTGAACTAGTTGTTCAAGGTCACGATGATATAGTTACCATATACAAAGTGGCTAATCTGCTGGCGTTCTATGAAACGACGTTCAGCAAGCTTGTAGGGGCTGATTCGGCGCTAGTGCATACGCTTTCGTCGCTGGAGCGCTTTGCAATGGAGCACTTTGAAAGCCTGGCTCGGGATCGGGTGAAGACTGCTTCGAATGATTCCGCTGGCTTACTACCGCCAGACGACCTGAGTCCACCAGAATACTTTACTGAATGCATCGAGAGTCTCGAGCAGTTGATGAAAGCGTACGACTCATCCTTCAGCCATGCGGTTCTTAACAAGACTTTTGGTGAAGGGGAGGAAAGAAACGAGTTCACGCCTATCCTTCGCTCAACTCTTGATCCGATGCTGGATCTAACAAGGAAATCCACCAATTCGCTCAAGGACGGCTTCTCTCGAACAATATTTGAGACTAATTGTATTCTTGCTGCGCGTACAGCGGTGTCGGCGTACGAATTTGCATCCTCGACACATCTGGGCAGCTTATCAAATACCCTTGCCAACCTACGGGCCGAGCTACATAAGTTCCAGCACGAGTTCTTACTGGAGAAGTCAGGATTGGACATGCTTCTTCGTGCTCTGGAGGGATATAACGCCCGTAGCGAGTCAGACAGCAGCAGCAAGAACCAACTAGAAACTGTTGCCAAATTGCCTGAGTTCCAACCGGCTGCATTATCAGCTGTGAGCCAGCAGCTAGATGACTTCCTGCCTGCCGCGCTAGTTGATGCAACTGATAACCTCAAACGGGTGAACAGTGCTGGATTGGTAAAGGGGGTAACGGAGGAGGCAGTGGAGGCATTTGCGAGCGATTTTGAGTTTATCGAGGGGATGATTGTTGGTGCAGATGAGGCGAGGGCGAGCGCTGGAGATACAGATAAAGATGCTGGTGAAGAAAGGGATGAAGGGGAGGAACAGGAGTGGAGTTTGAGAGCGCTGTTCCCGCGTACAACGGGGGAGATTAGAGTCCTTTTAAGTTAGATAGATGGGAAGTAAATAAAGTTCTATATTACATTATCAACGAGAGCGAAAGGGAGATCACACCTCACTCCCGTTCCGCCAGCAGACCACCTGGTATGGATCTCTATCCGACTTACTAACATCCACACATACACTGTCATCTGCAAAGATCTGCTTCAGCATTTGTCCTTCGGGTGATTCATCCTTGACATGCCTCCCCAGATCATTGTCGGCACATACTCCCCTCCATTCCCTGGACAAACGTTCATGCAAGTTCGAATGCATGTACCGCTGTAAAAATCCCCGTTCGGAATTCGAGTGGGAGAGAGTGATCACCACCGAGCCAGCTTCTATCGCAGCCAGTGCTTCGTGATGACTTAACTCGCCAGTGAGCAGCAAGTCAGCCACTGGAGTCCCGCTTTTCATGAGTATCGACGACCCCGAGCCTGGACAAGCTGCAACAGAAGAAATAGTGATGTCTGATACGGAGGATCCCTGGGGTATAGCTATAGAGAAGCCTACGATGTGTTCCGGGTAGGTGCCAATAACATTAGACTGGGGCAAAGCAGTCTTTGCAATGGAGCCGATCATGTCGTTCAAGGGTAGAGGCTGTTTGAAAGTGATTTTCCGTCCCATGCCGGCATCTTTGAAGTCCGGGTCTACTGGGGGGTCAGGAGAAGGATATATCGTCTCTGTTGTGGGACGGGGTTGGACGGAAGATGGTACTGCACACTGACACAGCCAGTCTGCCATTGCACCTGGAGTAGCATCGACGGCTGTATGCGGCGAGTAAACGCTTATCCCTTCCTGGGCGAGTCTAAGGAGCGATTTTTGTTGCGAGTTGGCGAGGGTAAGGGCCTTGAGACCTCGGAATATGATTGGGTCTTTGTAGTGTTAGTTAGTAAACCCTTTCATGCCGTTTCAGTCATGCGTTAAACTTACGGTATGCAATGATGATGGAGTCACCTCTGGCGATGGCCTCATCGGCCACGGCCTTTGTGAGATCGACGGTCAGGAGGACTGAGTTTTTGAGCCGGCGATGCTTGTTCAGCGGTGCTTCCAGGAGTACTTCCAGAGTGGGTGTTAGCAAGTAGGCATATAATGTGTAAAGGGCTAGGGTACTAACAGCCAGTGTTATCAAAGCTCTTATCCGCAAGAGACTCCGGGTACCTATAGCAGGCCAAGGTTAGCTAGATCCTAGAGCCAGTGAAAATGGTTTCTTACATCTTCTGCATGCAGCTGATGACGGCCTTGGAGAAGGGAGAGCAAACGGTAGCCATCCTGGACGTGTTTCTGAGAGACGTAGCAAGCATTGGCTGTGAACCTGAGCAATTGGTGCGAATGAATGGTGACCGGAGGCGACGACGATGGATGTTGATAGGTATTCGCTGATGCTAAGCAGTAAAACAACACAAACTAAGGTGGGGCGGCAAAAATTCTCCACATCGCGGCTAAACTAAGCGGCGGCTAGACACGAGCGCGCTTTCATCCATCCATTACTAATGCGCGGCGTCAACTTTTTCTCTTTCAATCCACATTTACCTTGATCGCATCTCACGACCAAGGAAAACTTACTTATTCCTCTTCTTCTTCTTCATCTTCTTCCTCCTTCCTCTTCTTCACCCCTTATGTCCTTCCGCCTCGCCTCCCGCATACTACCAGCCCTCCGCCGGCCAACCGTCATCACAACCCCGAGAGGAACAACCCCAAACCTCTTCGGCCCAGATTATTCATACTCTACCATGGCCCAACCGGCGCCTAACGAGCCGCAGTTTGCACCGGCCGTAACGCCCGACTCCATCAAGTCCATTCTTACAAACAAGCTTGAGGCACAGCATGTAGAAGTCGAGGATCTATCAGGTATTCCCTCCTACTCTACCTATATGAATATGCGCATCGCATTGCATGGCTAATGGGGTGGTGTGTGTGTGTCTGTAGGAGGTTGCGGCCAAGCGTTCCAGGCGATAATAGTATCCCCGCAGTTCGAGAGCAAGACGACGCTTGCACGGCACCGACTGGTCAACTCTGCGCTGAAGGCCGAGATAGCAGCCATCCACGCGTGGACGCCCAAATGCTATACGCCCGAGCAATGGGAGAAGACGAAGCAGTAGCGCGAGCATTCACGAGCAAAGAGAGAGAGAGAGAGAGAGAGAGAGAGAGAAGAAGCACGTTGCATGCTGGAACATGTCACGATAAATAAAGATAACTATCTTACATGAGAATGAGAAGGTTCTATATACTGTTTTATCCATCTATCCCAGCACCTTTTCGGCCCGGGAGACTATAAAGCAGGCAGGCCAGTCAGTATAGTATGAATGTGGGTGGAATGCAGTAGGGAAAGGGGGAGGTGACATACCATCGACGCTGGTGTTGTCAGGCTCGACAAAGGCCTTGACTACTCTCCCGTCCTCGACGACCAGGGCGTATCTCTTGCTCCTGTCGTTGCCGAAGACCTTGGCCGAGCTGAAAAGCAGGTCCATCTGCCTGTTGAACTCGCCTGATGCGTCGGCGAGGAAGCGAACACCGCTCTTCTTGTGCGGGTCAAGCGATTCGCCCCACGCCTTGGTTCTAGGGAAGTCAGCAACCAACGCATTGAACAGACAGTTAACGGGGGCAAGGACTGACACGAAAGCATCGTTAACCGAGACGACGAAGACCTTGCCTGCGTCTTTGAGCTTGGGATGGTTGAGGAAGCCTGGTACATGCGAGAGAGAGCATCCGGGTGCTGCATAGATCGTTAATCAACTATAGACAAGCAGAGAGTAGAGTATGGTGAATAGCGAGTAGGGTCAACGCACTGAAGGCGCCGGGAGTGCCGACGATGACGCCCTTGCCCGAGGCCAGCTCGGAGGCGAGGTTGACCTTGTTTCCGGGCGAGTTCTCAGTCAGGACGTCGAGGTCGGGGATGCTGTCGCCCTGGCTGACGGCGAGCGGGCGGGAGGAGTGAAATGCGCGGGAGACAGAGAGGGAGACAGAGGCCGAGGCCCGGGAGAAGGGGAGTCTGAACATGGCTATTGGGCTACTGCTTGGTGTCTTACGATGGATTGAGGTTGCCGCCGATGCCAATTGATGTGGACTGATGCTGCTGTTGATGTTATTGTGTTGATGTTATTATGTTGATGATGAAGTTGACAAAGACGAGGCTGGGCATGTGGAGGCTTCGCCAAGTAGTTGGACAGACAGGGACAAGGGATGATGATATAGCAGTGAAGTCGAGATGGGGGATGACGCAGAGGATGAAGCAGAGGATAAGTTGAAGCAGAGGATAAGTTGAGTCGAGATGGAGAAGTCAGGATGTATGGCTGCAATTGTTACTCTGTTGCTACTTGAAGCTTTGCTTCTATCTTCGCTATCACTACTAGGTATTAACTTCATCACATGACCCCTCTTAAGTGACTCCAAGACTAAAAGAAGGAAGGACAAGAAGGACAAGAAGGGCTAAGAGGAGGACCTTAAGGGGATAAAAGAGGATAAGATGGCTAAGAGGAGTAAGAGGGTCTTTTTGACTAGTGGCAGCCTAGTTAGCGGTGGCAAGACATGGTAGTAGAAGCAGACAGTAAAGAGAGAGACGACGACGACGAAGAAGAAGAAGAAGAAGAAGCGGTGACTTGAAGACTTAGACACGGCTTGCCGACGGTTAGAGAGCAAGAAGAGGTTAGGGGGAGTTAGTGAGTTAGGGGGGGGTCAGTTGGCCGGTGGAGAAGACGAGGAAGAGTTTTCACAGCAAGATGGAAGAAGAGAGTAAGAAGAGAATAAGAAGAGAAGTACTCGAGAGTAGCGACAGGTAGCTATAGCCATGGACTGCTAATGCCGTGCATTAGTAGTAGTTGTTAATACTAATATCTGTCAGCCAAGGGAGAGACAGCAAGGCCGGATATCGAAGTCCTTGAGAAAAGGCAGAGAAAAGGCAAAGAGACATCCTCGTATTCCATCCATCCTGTCCTGTTATATTTGCTTCTTCTCTTGTCTCGCTGTCTCTTCTATCGCTTCTCCTGCAGTTATATCTATCTCTGGTCTCTCTCTATCTATCGCTGCTTCTCATCCGCCCCTCCGACAAGGTTGACTAACTCATCCAGCCCGACTAGCTAGCTAGCGTTGGCCACTCAAGTCTTCCCTTTAAGTCTTCTCCTTTCACAATCACCGACCGTCGCCGACCTTCTTCTCCATCCCGACCGTCTCTCTATCTCTCTATCTCTCTGTCTGTCTGTCTGTCTGTCTGTCTCTCTTCATGGACTGACCTTGGCCGGCCTCTCGCGACGCCCTCTTGAGACTCGACTCG